ATATGATATGATATGATATGATATGATATGATATGATATGATATGATATGATATGATATGATATGATATGATATGATATGATATGATATGATATGATATGATATGATATGATATAATATGATATGATATGATATGATATGATATGATATGATATGATATGATATGATATGATATGATATGATATGATATGATATGATATGATATGATAAGATATGATATGATATGATATGATATGATATGATATGATATGATATGATATGATATGATATGATATGATATGATATGATATGATATGATATGATATGATATGATATGATATGATATGATATGATTTGATATGATATGATATGATATGATATGATATGATATGATATGATATGATATGATATGATATGATATGATATGATATGATATGATATGATATGATATGATATGATATGATATGATATATGATATGATATGATATATGATATGATATGATATGATATGATATGATATGATATGATATATGATATGATATGATATGACATGATATGATATGATATGATATGATATGATATGATATGATATGATATGATATGATATGATATGATATGATATGATATGATATGATATGATATGATATGATATGAATATGATATGATATGATATGTCATTGTCATTTTCATTAGAGTTTATGGATCTGCTTAATTTGCGGACACATTGGATGCGGAAGATACAAGGATCAGCATGCATACCAGTGAGTTTTACCAGAATCCTTTGCGGCATTTTGTTGCCGGCCCTCGTATTTGGACCGTTGCATGACAAACAGCACATAACCCAATTATTCTTATGGTTTTTTCTCTTTCACAACTCACTTGATCTTGTCTCCCTCTTCTGAATGATGTAATAGTTAAAGTGTAGGCCTCATAGGCCTCACAGCCTAGTTAAAATGCTACAGACATGAAAAATCAAAATTTTGCAAAAGGCTCTCTCCACTCAGGAGTATAATTGGGTACCTTGTCCGTAGTTACAAGCACCATCTCTGGCTGCACTCTGCTATATGCTCCTGTGCATAGCTACCAGGAGGTATTGCGTAAAATCGGTAAAGTAGACTTTGGCTAATGACAGACGACTTTGGCCAACACTTCCCTTCACCAATGTATTTGATGGGCTATGTCCAAGACCCCGTCTACACCGTACTTGGATATTTTAGAATCCACAAATATTTCTCAACGGAAATAGCTTCCGTCCACACTCAGTCGAGGAATTGGCCATTGAATTTTTTTATCGTCTCTTATAATTCGTTGTTCGCAGCCGCCCTCTGTTTTATTATACCATTTTATCATAAACGGTTGCTCTCCGAACTGTAATGCAAATTCCCTTTGAATAATCGACCCGTTAGTATGTGTCACCTTTTGAAATGATTTTTTGCAAAAAACCCTTGAGCTACCAAAATGATCAGTTATATTTTCTTCTTTTAAGCCTTGGATGTCTTGTGAGAGAATATGTCTGAAAAATTAGATTTTTATTACTAGACATTATCAACAAACTGGTCATACGTTTTCAATGCAGTTGGAGAACCAAAGAGTTTGGGACTATACCGGAGGTGAGTCATGCTGAGATTGAAATTTTGATGAGTTGATTTCTCTAAATTCTGTCTAGTATAAAGGCGGATTTCCACTTGATTCGCTCTTGTCGCGCGACTGAGCGTGTTGAGTAGCCAGAGAAGAGACAGTGTGTTTAGTAGTGAAATATATACATAACACCCAAGCATTTACACGAAAACTAACATAACTCAGCTGTAAGGTCGTTAAGAATGTCAAAGCGACTAATCAAGGCGATTACGAATGTCATGTGCTTGGCATGTGACACTACTTGACAGAGCGAATGGACATTGGAGCTTGCGCAAATTGGAGCATTCGCTGCGAATGCACGACCATTCGCTAAGTAGTTCAACTCAAGTGGAAACCCGCCTTAAAGGGGATTTAGGTATGAAGAAACTGGGCTGAAATATGTGAAAAAAATCCTTAAATATAAAAATAAGAGCCGAAAAGTATAAAAAAAAGTTTTTGATTTTTGAGAATGATTTTTTATGGGTTTTTGAAAATGGTTTTTGTACAACGTCGGATAACAAAAATAGTACAGAGGGAACATAGCGGTTCTTAGCCACACCCTTTATAATAAATAGACAAGATTTCTATATGGTCAGTGAATGCATCCGTAGCTTACTATCAAGATTCTGACATTTTGAAGGGAACAACACTTCACACATTGACCAATCACGCAGTTTCATTCTCATCAGTCATAGGCTCTACCTTGATAATTCCAGCAAACATTGTTGAATCTTTCGTAACCTGATTACTTTTCATAGGACTTTATATAGTTTAATACTAACAAATATTTTACATGCCATTTAATTTTAGATAATTATGTTCACCGACTAGTTCAAAATAAGAGTGATGGAAAATTTGTAGCGGTTGACAACGAAACTGATGTAAGACATCATCAATCATAATATTATATTATCAAGCACTGTATATTATAATGTATGTTGTACAATTAAGTGTCATACCAAGCTATTTAGCATAAACAATACAGATTTGATTGAAATATATTGAATATTAGATATTGAAAAACTTGAAAAAACGAATGCCGATGTGTTATATTGCGATTATATGCAAATTGTGGGCCAATATAATATTTTGTCCACAGTTGGTGTAAATAACTTAAAGTTTCACGACCTTGTTTATAGAAAATTCTAGATGGTATTAGCGTATTCAAAAAGGAATTAAACATACGTATCTTTTTAAAAATTTAATTGAAGCAATAATGCTATTCTGTTCCTTGCTTATTTTAGGTTGTCAGTGAGGAAAAATTGGATTCATTAAATTTAGAGGTGAGATGCTATGATTTGGAGATTAAGTACGTTATTTCTTTGTGAATGAAGTTAATTAAGTCTTAATGAAAGCTTGCTCGGGAGCTTGCAAGCTGTTGATGTGTAATTACATTTAACCCAGAGTTTACTGGCTTTATGACGTACCGGATTCACTGACCCAATTCGATACTAAAGTTATTTTTACTTACGATACGAAACGATACGAAAAGCTTTAGTATACTGAAATGTTTGTTTTTTCGAAGCCATTTTTAAGTTTTGTACCACCAAAAGATTGTTTGTATTTTTACTTGCTACTACTAAGCGTCCGAAGGTAGTTTTTAGGACAGTGCACGCATAACACACTCAAAGCTGAATGATTTCAACAACCCCCCCCCCCCCCCCCACCCCACCAAAAAGATGATACAGAGTGTATAAGATTCAAGCGTTGTCGTGTAAACAGAAATCCTGTCTGATCTGAATATAGATAGATAGAAAGGTAATCCGATATTAAATGAATCCCCTTTCCTCTGTCAGGGCCTCAGATTGCGTAATTTGCAAAATAAGAATTTGGTATTATTTCTATGAAAGTGGTTAATTGCTTATTTAAAGTCAGTCCTGGATATTCAGCAAACGCGTCTTTTATTCTCAACCTACAGTCTCAATTACAGGGCTTTAAAAAGCATTTTGTGCATGGAATTTTAATCAAAATATGCTTGCCAGTGCCCAATAAAGCTTTAATAACGTAACTAGCAGTTCTTCCTTTACAATATGTAGTAGGCGTCTTTCCCTGTAACTCCTAATTGAACCCATGCTCGACATCTCACGTTGACTATTTTGCATTTCAGTATACGTATCTTTTAACAAGTCAGCTTGAGTCGCAGCGTCTGCATTTCGAAGAGAAAATGACCTTGCTAGAGAAAGATGCCATGGATAAGGTTTTTCTACTTTGCACATTGATTATTTTGACTATTCATTGGGTACTTGGTCTCCAGGTTTCTCTGATTTCGCATACATAGCAAGCCATTTTCAAGATGATTAATGCTTCAGTTGAAATGCTAATGGAACGCGAATAACACGTTTAAATTCACAAGGTCTTACGTTAGTTGTAACAAAGGTAAGTCAGTCGCACAATCAGAAAACTTGGCCTGAGTCCAATATTTTCAAAATAGTGGTAGGAGATTGTCCGAATTCGTTGACCGTTTTCGTCGTTCAAACAACTGGCCTTGGTTATCCAGACAAAAAATGCTATTTGGCCGATCAATGCTGTTTTCAAGTATCGTTCAACTTGACAGATATATTTGCTAATTACTCACATTGTCTGTCTTCTTCGTCCAATCTCTTGATTTAACACATGTTCACTATTTTTGTTTCTACCAAAGTTGCTGCGTGATATTGTCTTTTGACATAATGTAGCATTGTAAAGGCTTCTGTGCAGTGTCTTCCCACTAAGACAGCATCGCACATATTTACTCAAGACAATTTTGCATTATTCTAGCCAAAATTACTGAACATGTTTTCTAAAGAGAGAGTAGCTATCCTCAGTCAAGACTTTCAATGGGGCATTTAGCAACCAATCTCGAAATTGGACTTTCACCTTCTGTCAAAACAAATACACTTTCTTACATACACAGTCTCTATTTACGGATCAAATATGGCACCCAATACCCTCACTTGACCTCCAGCCCCTATCTAAGTTGCAGAAAGTGAAGCTTTGTTTTTGGTGTATAAAGGTTTACACGCCTTTCTCTCACGGATAAACCACCATTCCATTGGTTTATTTTGCAGATAGCAAGCATTGAAGGAAGAATGAAAAGTGTAATTGAGGATAATCAGAAACTGAGTGACAGACTCCAGCAATTAGAAAAAGAGAAAAAACATGTCGATAAAAAATATACACAGGTTTGGATTTTGTTTAACTTTTGATACATTTGGATTTGTATGTAAGAGATTTGTAAGTAATGATTTATTTAGAATGTGCACGTGTAGAATGTTTTTCAAATAGATCAAACGGAGAGGATGGAGCAGTACCAGTAGCTGGCAATTGTTTATCCCTATATATCATTCACCCTGCTTTGTCTCATTATATGCTTTGTATGTGTATTAAATGAATATACTGTCGACTTATATATACATACTTTACATAATCGATAGTATGTGCCTATAAACTAGCCTATAATATTGTGTAATGTAATCCTATGATAGCCTGGTAACAAATTTGGTATATAAGCATATGGAAATTGCTGTTTTACCTGTCTTTCCATGTAGTGATTGATGCAATATAGGCAGAGCTGTACCAATTTTGGTGTAATAAACAGGATGGTGTACGCTGCAACTTCGAGTCTGTTTGATGATTAAGTTTAGCATGAGACTCGGAGCTAGCCAGCTTAGCACTGCCCAGTTCTATACACATAAGCGCACATATATGATCTATAACCAGATCCAAAGACATTTTCAATTAGTTATTCTTTGAATTGTTACTTGCTTTTTGTTATGGAAGATTAGTTATTTTGTATTTTTCTTTAATTTTCTTAGTCCTAAAAACTTTGTCATGTATTGGTGAGATTAATCATTTATGAATGCATGTTTTAAAAATCATTGCAGGTTGTAAGTAAAGTTGGAACTCTTGTGCACGATTTAAAGGAGGAAAAAGAGGTGAGATCTTGTAGAAAAACCAGCTGTTTTTTCTTTCATTTTGAAACCTCTTCTAAAATGTCTTTTCCTTTCATATTGAAATATCATCTTAAATGTCTTTTTCTTTCATATTAAAATGTCATCAATCTTATTGTCCTTACCTCGCATTCGAACCATTTTTATGCGGACAAGACCAAGCTTGCATACAGGTGTCTATTTTGCGACATTTGTTTAAATATTTACATTAATGCGAGGCTTTCTTTATAAAGAGGTTTAAAGGAATCATATACCCATAAAAGTCGGGTATCAAAACAGCATCTGTTGAACTGGGCGCTGAAAATAACCTGACACTCTCCAGCGATTTCACTTTGTATTCAATCAATAAGAACAATTAGTTTGTTCACAATGACTAACCTAGAAAGCTTACAATTCTTTCTTTGTAAAATCTGTCTGCCCGTGAACGGCGTGTGAAGTTCAGCCCCCTAGTTAAAATTCAGGGAAATTTTGGAGGAGAAGCCCCCGTCTCCTTTTCAAGCCAGCACGTTTGGTTGAATGAATTCTTTTTTGGCAACCCTTTAATGTTCGATTGCTTCTGTGAATATACAATTTCCTATCAGTCTTTTTGAGTAGGTGAATAGTTTGAATGATTTTATGAACACAATTGAGCAACTTTAAAGAAAATTCAAATATATTCGGTGTGGTCATGGATGTTGCTTCTTGAAGCTGCCTACACCACAGCCCCCTCCTAACTTTTTAGGAATGCATCTCTACATTATGCTCTGTGCTGGCACTGTGATATCTCGTTTATATATTCATCGCACAATCTCTTCTAATTTAAAGATGGCCCTTATGATATTATCAGATTGTTTTATAGCGTCATCGACGTTGGCAGTATTGCCGTTTTTCGCTTTACGTGCATTCATGACATTTTTTAACTGCTAAAGAAGAAACCTTGAAATTAAAGATTTCCACAAAATTGCATGAAGGAATTTGAAGCTTCGCTGTCTGTCTTTTGATGGCATCAATTTTAAACTTTAGTTCTTCTCTAATGAAACAAGGGTCTCGAATAGGACACTCACTAACTAAAAGAAATAGTTATATTTAGTTTTAGTGTGGACAGGCTTAAATTGCATTTCCCTTTTTAGATGAACACCTGTATGTTAGAAAATAAAAGGATATTACAAAAGAAGCTTGATGAGTTAGAAGAGAAATCAGCCACATTGGAAGTGTCGAAAAATTTGGTACGTTTTTTATTTAGTATGGTACATTAGCTTAATTAACTTAGTTTCCTGCCGTATAGATCTGAATTAATTGCATTCTTGAATGACCTTTGTCAGAAACCATATTAAATCCATAGAAATTTTGAAATTATTGTGGTAATAGACAGAAACCATAATAATTTAAAAATAAATCCCTAATGGAACACATTTTACCTCATTTGAAGCCAGACTGGGAAAAGTCTTCCGTGGTACATTTATTATATGTGATAAGGGGGTCAGTCATGCTGGAGCAGCCCATTGGCTCTTTGTGGCTCTCGACAGACATTTATAACCAGAATACATTAGACTGTCACTGTTGTTGTTGTTGTTGTCACTTTTCCTTGGTTTCAAACGAAAACATACATTAAGTGCCCAAAAATCTGGTGCAAAACTTTCGTTGGATTGACTCTCGGTGGAAAAAATATCAGTCTTTTTAAAAGTTTCGGTGTAAATTTCGGCGAGAGCTTGAAAAGTTTCGGTGGAAGAAGAATTATCGAATGCAATCATAAAATTTACAAAATTCGAATATTTTGATGCCAGCTCAATGAATAGAACTGAAGAGTTGTCAATAATTTCATAAACTCTTATTTAGAGGAGGTATTTTTATTTTATTTTACATACCGATGGAGGATAATAAATTGGAAGCGTTTACAGATCGCAATATTTTCGATCACCATTCGCAACAAGGGGATTAGAAATTCTGACCGATTATGATGAGTTTAAAGTTGAGGAGTCCAAATTGAAATCGCTGGAATGTTAGAGAGAAATAATTTAAAGCAACTATAAAGAGCCAGTAGAAGCATCAGTTCAGCTCATAAAGAACTCAAATTTCTAGGATGTAGGGGGGGGGGGGCCAAAGGAAAGAAAGTGAAGCTGAGCTGGATATTTTATTTGTTGATGACGGAGAAGAACCAGAAACTAAAAACTGATCGGATGAACTAGACGTATAGTAATACTCAAATGATATCAAGAAAAACTATTTTTTAATTAGAAAGTCCATCAGTTAAAAACGAGATTTTCTATTGCTTGCCCTACTTCACCGAAAAAAATCCCACCGAAATGTTTGGTACTTAACGTAAGCGTAAACTTCGGCGTAAACTTCGAAATTTGTGGAACCTTCTGGTAGTTGCTTTTACTTTGTTTCAGAATTAAATTTGAGATGTAAATGCCATGCTCTGTATACATGTAATTTGTTTCAAATTGAAGGAAATCGCGGAGCTGAAAGAGCAATTGCAAGATCTAATGAGGCATCTGTCTATTCAATCTGCTGTTGCTAGCTCGTCTGAAGACACAAGAAAGGTACGCATTATTCTTCCAAACGTTTACACATTATCGGCTGTGGGCTGGTTTTTCTGAGAGGACGAGATTGGTGAAAAGGGAGTCGGTTCTTCGATACCTTTTTTGAAAAACTAAAATGGCTTTTAGTGAAGACCGTGTAATAGCGTCTAAAAGGAACACCTTTGCTGACCATTAGTCTGAATTTTCACGCTCGCGTTCTTTGTTTTATTCAAATTCACGCCATTGCTAAGTTGCTTCTCAGCTTTTTGAGCAGGCGAAAGAAATCGAATGTGTTTTACGCTCGGGAGGAACACGCCACTGTGTATTTTCACACAGGAATCGAAATGTGATCTTGTTCCTACCTCGGCATGCTTTTTAGATGGTGTGATGTCTTTAAATCTGCTCTTGTCTGCAAATAGAAATGATGGAGTGATCATATATTTAACATCCAATTTTTCGAATGAAATTTCAGGAACTTCAAGATGGCCAAGTTTTTGTAAAGGAAAATCAGACTCAGCCACGTGCTAAAGCATCGCCGAGTAAAAAGGGGAAAGGAAACAGGGATAGATGACGTCATAGACGACATCAATAGTCAGTCTGATTTTTGCAAGAAGCTTTGTAAATGTGATTATCAATTCTATGAATATTCCGAAATCTTTTGAATCAATTACGCCTGTAAATTATTGTTAATTTGGTGTGGCCTCTTCCGTAACACATATAGTAAAACACCATCAAGGATTAAAGCCTGGTTTCATTATAATTTTTATGCGTCGGCGACACGTCGTTATCTGGCTGGGAGAATATTATGTGAAATATATTTTTCAAAAAGGGAACTTTCTAATCAAGGGGGCCTGTGCCCCCATGGCTTCCGGCTCTGGCGACCCTGAATTTAGTTTAGATCAGATGAGAGCTCTACAGACAACCTACTGTCTCTCTCACTGGCTCCGTGTTCTCCGCACGTTGAGAAGAACGTGCTTGGTTGGAAACAACACGTTTGTCGATGGGTGGTTTTAATTAGTGGCTGAATTGATCGATGTTCCGATGCACACTAATGTATAAAGGTTCTTTGAATATGTCCCCTTCACCCGCAAGGCAGATGCTATTTTTGGAACAATCATAGAGTAGTAAATCTTTTCAAGTGTTCCACAAGGCAGAAATTTCATCTTTCGTAGCACTGTGTGTGTCATACACTGTAAATGATATGTGTGTATCATACACTTTATTTATATGTTCCATTTCAACTCCCTGTCATTGTAAACACCTAGCATCTTCTGTTTTACATGATCGTTCTGTTTGATAATTATTAACTGTGTCATTGGCGATTAGCACTAAAGGGACCAACGAACTTATTCTTTTAAATTAGCATTGCAATATAAATACCACTGCTCGATGCAGTATAGGCAGAGCTGGACATGCTTCCGTGTATAGAACAGGAAGGTTCTAAGTTGCTACGTTTTAAGCTTAATGCCGTCATCAGACAACTTTATATCTTAACAGTTGCCTGATAAATGCCTAAGACACAGTGTTACATAGGTTGGAACGTGATACCGTAGAGCACTTTTTGACAGGTCTCTCTCAGCCGAATTTGGTACGGATGGATCAGTATTCACTTTCCTGGAAAACATAGTTGTCGCTTTAAAACCCCATGTTGTATTTTCATCATTGTTATCCCCGCGTGCACGGTAGAAGCAACACTCGAAAAGCGGCCTCTGATTGGCTGAAATGTCAAAATGTAAACAAGGCTTCTGATTTGCTTAACAACTAAAAAACTGATCGACTTAACAAACTGGCCGCCCGTGTCGATACCAGAGGGATTTGTAAAAGATTTAATCCAGTGTGTACAAAAATAAATTTGTTGTCCAAGTTAAAAATTATGATATATGTAAAAAGTTAAAATTTTCAAAATCTTTTAAAAAGCTAGATACTTCATTCATAAAACGCCATACGAAACAGCAAGAAGCCGCCGCTTCAGTGGATGGTACCATTGATTGAATTCTTGTATTACATGAAGTATTTGATTTTTTGTTGTGTTACTTGGAAGTATCAGATATGGTGGGATGACTCTCTAGTATTCTGCTAGTCGAATGTCTTGATTATACAAACTTAAGCATACGATTTGAGGGGGATAAAACGTACTGGGCATTTTCCAAAAGTTAAGAGAAGCAATAGCTTTGCAAAAGCATAACATCAGCACCCCCCTCGGGTTCTGACACCCTTGTGTGGTTGTAACGTTAAGGGGCTCGTCTTGTGTCAGTTGAATTGCCCAAAACATCGAAGAAAAAAGAAGCAGATTGTTAGGGCCTATTGGATGTCAAGAGTTTTGTTTAAGGTGATTCGTTCTTGCATTTCTAATGCTTAGTGCTTGTAAGAAGTCTCTTTTAATTAATACTAGGCCTTAAAAATATGAAATTAGTCTAATCCAAAAGATGGTCACAAGCAGTGACCTATACTGTGGTATTTTCGATTCCTTGTGTATTGTTCAAGAACCCAGAGGTTATTATCGAGGTGCTTTCGTCATCTGCACAATTTGGAGGAGGGATTCTGGAGCTGCTTTTCAGGGCATGCATAGCTGATCTGCAAATGTACCACAAGTACAGAGGAAACACACCGGCTGCCAAAGTCGCCACGAGAAGGATGACATTTATCTGTAAAGTAAAAGCAGATTTTCAGGACCTGTTTCCACGATATCGGATTCACTTTTAGGACTTATCCGATACGAAAACTATTCCAGCTCATACAGTGTAAGGTTAGCTTTACGCTATATCTCTAATGTTTCATAAAACATCTCTCGTTTATCACAAAAAATCCCTACTATTTTTGACAAAACTTCTGCGTAAAACCTGACAGTTTAAAGGAAATTCCTGGAAGAAAGCTAATCGGAATCCTGCGTTCACTCGAAACGTGATATGCTCCCGTACCAACTTCAAGGCAAATTGAAAACCACTCCGCAAAAACGTAACGGGACGGTTAGGAACGAATAGTAAAGCTTCCCTGTCGCGAACAGAACGCCTTGCTCGGATAAAAATCGGTAAGACATGAAATGAATCTGGTATCATGTGAACGGTACCAAAGTCCAGCCGAAGAAAAGCTAGCAGAAAGGACGTTTTAAAACAGGTGGTAGCTATGTTGAAGATGAAACTTGAGATTACGTCGAAATTGCTCTGAAGGATAAAAAATACTTTTAACCTGCAGCAAGGGCCCAAATTTAGTTGGAAGGGCTCGTCTCTTTGATCCAGTTGTTGTTTCTTATTTGCTTTTTGAATTTTGAATTAAAATTAACAGGTATAATTGTAGACTCTAAACTAAAAGAACGTGTAAACATTGCATGACTGTTGTTAATGCCAAGTTACTTACCAAAAATGGGTCATTATTTAGATGTGTCTGCGTTACTGAATGCAGTGGGTATTCAAGAAACCCGAACACTCCAGCCATGCAGATTCCAAGACCATTTAACGTCGCAAACCATTCCGGTCGAAATCTAAATGACAATGAGAATATTTAAGCCAAATAATTGAATTCAAAACATAACAATGATCATGAAATGTTGGCTGCGCCCTTTATGTATCAATTAAGAAGGTAAATAGTTCATCGGATATGAGCAAAATAGCAAAAATGGAATCGTACAAATTCAACGCAAACATACTTACGCAATGGCAATGAACGACGCATGCGAGGCGTAAAGGAATGCCCTTGTTATAACGTGGAATACGAATGCCAGCATCTAAAATAAATGGTTACTAAAACATCAAAGTGTCCGAATATTAACAAAGTTATAGAGTGAAAAAAATTGACGTCATAGGAGCCTAATTCTATTTTTTCAATATTAACTGGATGGTTTAAAAAAATTATCACAAAGTCCTGACTGTGAAAAAATCAATCGAATCTAAAATTGTCAAAAGGTAAGGATATTATCCTTACTATTTAAGCTTCCTCTCTTTTTCATTTACTGGAAAACTTGGGGACAATGGGTATAGAAGCCTGCGGAGGTGAAACGTGGTTCCTTATCAACAATAGCTACTTACTTAAAGTTGACTGGAAACATAACCCGCTAACTCTTAAGAATTATTGCAAATAGATGCACTTTTTCGAGCTTTAATTGTCAACACGAGCTCAACAGAACTCGGCAGAAATTTAATCACAGATCACACGAAGTTTAAAGGCCGGTTTCCACTTGATTCGCTCTGGTAGCACGACTGGATGAATGGACACGAATGTACATTGGAGCTTTCGCAAACTGAACTTCCTCATTCGCCACGAATGCGCGACCATCCGCCGAGTAGTTCAACTCAGTTGAACTACTGAGCGACTGGTCGCGTTCGCCGATTCGCTGATTGGTTGATTCGCTTTCACCAAGTCGTGCGACCAGAGCGAATCAAGTGGAAACCAGCCTTAAGGCCAAGTAAGTGCAACTTTTCTTGCCTTGCTGCAAGGAGATAAACAATGACTCTTTAGTTTCTTGTTGTTAAAAATCTTAGGCCAATTTTTTGTAACTGTGAGACCCACGATTAAAGGATAAAAAGTAGTCGAGTGGTTTGTACATCTGTGATTTTTTTGCTTTCATTTTAACTCTTCTGATCTGTGTCAAGAATAAACGATTTTGTATAGCACTAAAGAGAGTATAGATCAAAAAGACTCACCAGAGCCCACGTCGTGCGCACCAATGCAAACAGTGATATTGAAACGCAACATAAGGTTGTAATCATAAATGGCAATATACTCTCTCTGATTCTTTTGATGCGTGTCTGTGTGTGGCTTTTTATCAATGGTTCTGCTCCTTCTTTATCTTTATGACAGCAATTAACCGAGTTTCGGTCGAATATTATACCCGTTATTGGGCCAACGGCTAGACCAAAGAACTGCGTGTATGTAAAATACGTAACGTAGTCCTTCACTGTAAAAGCAAAGAATCTATTATCAGTGTCAGTCAATCACTTCGTCAAGCGATCAATCGAACAGATCAGCCAATCAGGTACTCCAACATTTCACTTACGCCAGTCCACCAAAAGATTAGACACATGTTAAATGATCAATAATGCAAATCAATCAAATCCAAATCAAATAATCACTGCTGTAACTCAATTATATGCAGCTAAATAAAAGGGCTGAAATATGAACAGCTAATAAAATCGACAAGAAACTGCTAAATGGCGTATTTAGTACCATCGCATCTTTTTTAATCATGTTAAATAATGGTTCCCTTCAATTTTTTCTGATTTTTTGCAGCAAAATAGCTAAATTAAAACTATGATAAAAAAAATCACAGAAGTCAAATTCCTTTTATCTTCACTTGAAAAGGAAAGAACTTGTTCACAGCTTTCCTTCTTTCACTTCAGGTAGAATCACTGGCCACTTTAGTCACTGGCCACTTCAGTCACTGGCCACTTCAGTCACCGGCCACTTCAGTCACTGACCACTTCAGTCACTGACCACTTCAGTCACTGGCCACTTCAGTCACTGGCCACTTTAGTCACTGGCCACTTCAGTCACCGGCCACTTCAGTCACCGGCCACTTCAGTCACTGACCACTTCAGTCACCGGCCACTTCAGTCACTGACCACTTCAGTCACCGGCCACTTCAGTCACTGACCACTTTAGTCACTGACCACTTTAGTCACTGGCCACTTCAGTCACCGGCCACTTCAGTCACCGGCCACTTCAGTCACTGACCACTTCAGTCACCGGCCACTTCAGTCACCGGCCACTTCAGTCACTGACCACTTCAGTCACCGGCCACTTCAGTCACCGGCCACTTCAGTCACCGGCCACTTCAGTCACTGGCCACTTCAGTCACTGGCCACTTCAGTCACCGGCCACTTCAGTCACCGGCCACTTCAGTCACCGGCCACTTTAGTCACTGAACACTTCAGTCACTGACCACTTTAGTCACTGGCCACTTCAGTCACCGGCCACTTCAGTCACCGGCCACTTTAGTCACTGGCCACTTCAGTCACCGGCCACTTCAGTCACCGGCCACTTCAGTCACCGGCCACTTCAGTCACCGGCCACTTCAGTCACTGGCCACTTCAGTCACCGGCCACTTCAGTCACCGGCCACTTCAGTCACTGGCCACTTCAGTCACTGACCACTTTAGTCACCGGCCACTTAAGTCACTGACCACTTCAGTCACCGGCCACTTTAGTCACTGGCCACTTCAGTCACTGGCCACTTCAGTCACTGGCCACTTCAGTCACCGGCCACTTCAGTCACCGGCCACTTCAGTCACTGGCCACTTCAGTCACTGGCCACTTCAGTCACTGACCACTTTAGTCACTGGCCACTTCAGTCACTGGCCACTTTAGTCACTGACCACTTCAGTCACTGGCCACTTCAGTCACTGGCCACTTCAGTCACCGGCCACTTCAGTCACCGGCCACTTCAGTCACTGGCCACTTCAGTCACTGGCCACTTCAGTCACCGGCCACTTCAGTCACTGGCCACTTCAGTCACCGGCCACTTCAGTCACTGGCCACTTCAGTTAGAGTCAAGGGGGCCTTCGCTCCAAATCTTCGTTCGTTGTGTTTTGCTCTAGGAAGTTTCTAAAAGCGTGTCTTTACCATATACCTTGCATTTACGATAGAAACCATAAAAACCAGAAATGTATGGCCTACCTGCTTCTTTGGAATCCGAAGATTGAAGAGCTATTTGCCATTCAAGGCTGCCAATGAAATACCATAGAGAAAGCTGGCATATACTGAGATATGTTAGTTCCAGAATAAACTGTGCGGAGAACACTGACTTTAAAAACGTTTCTAGTGAGAAGAACGAAATAAAACAAGAGAACTTAGCATAGAACGGCAAGCAAAAAAGCAAACAATTCATGGCGGTCATGTTATACAATTTAAGGAGGGATGAAAATTCATCATCAAGGTGAATGCATTTTCAGTAAATTCCATTCATTATTTTCACTATCCTGCTCAACTGATGAAAAACGAAAAAGAGTAGCAGCTTTGCATCTATCGACTAAACTGTAATAGATAATCTAACAGGGAATGAACGGATAAACAACTAGCTAAGGTACACATCTATAAATCATGATAGAATTCCATTTTATTAACAGACATTCCATACAATTTTGTTCTTGGAAACAGCTCATTGCCAAATCAAATTCAATAAAATTCGAGATCATTTATCAGAACACTAGGATATATGTCCGTTTATACTTTTCAAAGGCCTATTTTTGCAAGATATGAGTGGGGCTAGCGTATTGATAATTCTGTTGGCCATCCCAAATCAAACTGAGACATGTTTATAACAGGAGCAATTGAACGAGTAATTTGTCACAGACCATAACTTGTTTCTTCCAAAACATTCGGACATTTCTTTTGACAAATGAAACGCTCAACGTATTACCTGCAAGCATGTCTTGGACAATACGATAGAAGAATTGTCAACTGGTTGTGCAACTGACGCACCTAATTATCTCAGAAACATTAAACTGCCTACCTGGAACTATGTTCTTTGGCAGTGCTTCAAGTTCTTCAGCTTCCTCCCTGAAACATATGTTACAGCTATTATCACGCAATTAAATTTCACATGTTTTTTCTGTTAACTAACATGAATGATAATAATAGGTTGGTATTACGGGTAAACTTACCTTGGAATGGTTGGCTCAACGCGCTTGGCTTCCTCGAATAGAACATTGTATGAGGGAGTAAGAAAAAACCCTGATAACGACACCAGGGCCAGGCAAATGGCAGAATAAAACAAACTGATGTCTCTCAACGAGATCCCAGCGTCCCATATCAACTACAACAAAATAGAATAAAACTTTACAAATTGAATCAAAGTATGAGTGTGGAAGTACCATGGTACCAATTCATCTAACCACTAGAATAAGCTTGGCAACTCAGAGAGATACATAGTTATTACTAACCCAGTGTTGGGACTAGACATTTTCATACAAAGATGCACAGCCTTCCGGCAGGGGTTTAAACTATCCTCCTCCTCGCAGGCTTATAACAACAACTTTGATTTTGATCTCTCAAAGGAAGGGCTTGTATACCCCGATGGTGGTCTCTAGTCCCCTAGCCCTTCCCTACTGTCACCCCTGACCGCTGATAAAGCAATCAAGTAGTTGTTATGGATTGTTTTTGCAGGGGAGTTTGAAAACCTTTTCATCTTTTGCCCCTAAAGAATGAAACGTTGCTAAAGCAAAATAAACGATACTTTAAATGTCACAAAAAACTTTTACAGAGGTCAAACATACAAGGTTTCTGAAAACTTTGACGTTTTAGTACTATTTCTGATATTTTCTTTTCTTGCTCTTTGCAGAACTTATATTGGATATAAAATATAATAGATTGTAAGGAGGGGGAGTAGAGCAAACGAAGAAAGGAATTTTTAGCAAAGCTGATTCATTTAAGAAATATCATTCGAGAAATATTATGTTGCAAAAAATATGATGCCCTTTAAAGCTGACTCTTTACTTGACAATTTCAAATATAAAGCTATCCTTTTTTGCTATAGTTAGAAAGTAGTTGTAACGACCAGTATTTAACACGGGTCTCCAGGGGCGCAGTGGGAGTTAACTTTTTGGGGGGGCAAAGCTGAAAATTTTCCGATAAAACTATGATTTTTCCGACAAATTTTTTCTCAATACATTCCTTGAAGATTACCCTTGCTGCATATACTGCAACACTTGATACTACAATATCACGAATGGATCTGGAAATCGTTAACGAATGGATCGTTCGTTATACACCTTCAAGTTCAACAATAGCCTTTATTCTAACAAAACTTACCAAATATAAATCGCTATGAACAAAACTGCAACTAGTTATAAATTTACACCCTACAAGTCTTCTCGATATACTAGACAATAAACTGTCAAGTTAGTGTTTATAGCTGTTTATAGCAAAAAGTTTTTTTGGCAAGTTTTAAGTCGCATCATTATTACTTTGCATTAATTTATGCTAAACCTTAAATAGATATAACGCGTCCAAAAGAACAGTTTTCTTTTAACTGAATTTATATAAACTGTTACTCAAGCAGCATCTTTCTCAAAAGAGGTGTGGCAGCATACAAATCGATGATGTCACCATAGTCTATCGACTGTAAAATATCACTTTCGACGTTGATTGTTATCAGAGAGGAAAGGCGGTCTTGTCCCATCGTTGACCGTAGCCGATTTTTTTACAATCCTCAGCTTTGAAAAAGCTCTTTCATAGTTTGTTGAACCTATTGGCAAAGTGACGAGAACCTTGTAAAAAAGGACCAGCTGTGGAAAGGCACTTTGCAGGTTATACTTATCATCAACTGAAGAACTGAATGGAACTGAAAAGTTTTCTCTTTCTCCTGCAGCCGGGAGAGGGTTGCTCTTTTCTCTAACTTTCCAAAATTTATGGTAATTATTGGCGAAAGAGCTGTACTCATCTCTTAATTTTTTGTCATCCAGGCCGTAATTCTTCGCAACCTTTTTGAATGACACTGCACACAACTGCCTTTCAATTGTTTTTTGAAAACATTCAGGGTTGAGCAAGGCAAAATCTGTCAAAATTGCCTTATGAGACGTGAATCTTGTATTCATTGAGCTGATAGCTGTATCTACTATCACGATGACATACGGATTCCCTATTTCCCTCTAATTCATCTATGCAATTTTCCCCTGGCATCTTTTTCTTTCTGCGTATTCGTCGCTCGACAAAATTTTCCTCTTCTAAGTCTTTGCGAAAATAATAACTTTTTGCGTCTTCTACAACACCAGCGAATTCATTTCGAAATGAACTGAGTTGAATTTTAACTGTCGGAAATGGGAGTTTATAAAATAACTGAGACCAGAGCGTTAATTTCCTTTACAAATTTCAGCAATGCGATGGTTCCGATAAATACTCTAATGAAAATAAGTAAGAAGGGTTGAGCATGCCCTATTTTACGACAGGTTTAAAAAAATATGCGACCTTTTGAACAGGATCGATGAAAACTTTACATTTTGTCTAATATTTCAAATTTTCCGACAAACGTTGGATTTTCCGACAATCCGACAAAATTTTTGCCAGGGGGGGGTGGCTGCCCCCCTGCCCCCCCAGCCACTGCGCCCCTGCGGGTCTCTTAACATTAAATAAACCATTAAAAGAGAAAAGCTGTTGACCATATTCACACGTTTAGTGCAGTGTAACAAGACTTTCGTCATGGATTGTAAGTATAACTTTGAACATACCTTGATAACGACGAGAACTGCAGCAGAGGCATCAAATGATCCGCTAAGGATAGATATAACAATTGACCTAGAGCCTGTGAAAATCACCCTTACAACCTAGAAAAAGAAAACGGAAGGTCAGGAGCAGACACAAAAAGGGAGATGTTTGAGTCATTAGCATAACGTCCGTGATGACCCAACAGAGGAACGAGGAACGGAATAGGACAGTCACGGTAAAGGGGCGTGGGATTGTCATTCCCCAAATCGCTCCTGCTGTCGAACCAGAAACAAGTACTCCCTTTCTCTATTTTCCATTGCGTCACCTCAGTAATTTTCCAAGTGTCAGCTACTGTCAAAAAATGGTTGTTTAGACAAAAAGAAACTGTTTTTTTCTTGAGTAAAATGAACAGAATCATTTGATCCTATTCCTTTCAGTACGATGTATTTGTTCCTCCGTTTTACTTTTATGGAAAAAAGAAACGAAACCAGTGCAAAGTAAACTCGTTGACATTGGTCGAAATATGAGCTATCGTGCGACGCATCAGTAGCCGCAATCCAACATTAACAGAAAAGCCTCTTTCCAACTCAAAGATCAGCCGCGTTTCAATCGTGACCAAACAGCTCTGCTCCCGATCGTTTACATGGCGGAAAACAAGCAAGACTTGGAAATGGAACCAAATAGCTAGATTTTTGAAGTAAGATCAAAAAAGGGCAACACCGTTCTCAAACTATCACGTATCTAAAATTTTAAATCGAAGCGGAGAGCTATCGTCGCTTTTTCAGGCAGGGAAACATTTTGGGTTTGTTCCTTTTTGTAGTGTTAAGGGAGCCTAAGGCCTATTCAGGAAGTGAGCTGGCCTGCCTACCTGAGATCTAGCTTGGAAAACAGCCTGGATGCAAATTCCCCATTAAACCCAATTTGGCGGAGCAGCCCGACAAACCGGGATGCAACTATATTTACAGGGCACATGCAGTCGGGGCGCATTTTCAAAACGGTTTCAAGCATCGACGTGCGGGATGAAACACGTGGCACCAAGGAATGCTTGGAAAATCCATTTTCTTCAATCTTATACATCCTTCATGTTGTTTGAAAATTCTTGGTGACAAAACCGCGCATGTCAAACACTAGTGTAAGAATGTTATACAATAGTATAAGATCTTTCATATAAAGGCGGGCCAACAAAAACCTTGGCAATTGATAGAGCAACCCTCCATATAACATCGTATCAACAAGAAAACCCAAATTAACAGAAACAGCCAAACAAGGGATGAATTATTTACCCAATTATTTTTTTTCAAAAGTCAAAGCCCTACTTAAGGGTCTGTGACATGAACTGGGCTTGCCCACTTAAGAGGGCTGGTTAACTCAAGTGAAACCCGTGTGTTCTATAAATCTCTTTGTTCTCTGTATTTGCGTTTACATGGAGAGTGGGCCAGCCATAGGGCCAGCACGCTCAGGTGAGATCCGCTAGAAAGGCTGGTGAGATCCGCGTCGGGTGGAACGGAAATTATCCATGTAAACGCAATCAGATGGGCTAGCCCACTCACTTAACATCATTGCGCGTGCGTAAAGAAAGTTGGCAACAAACTAAACCGAATCATGTCATATTTACGTACGGATCGACATTAACTGTTCAGATTCTTCGGCTAAAAAGGTAGCAAAAACGTACAGAAACACAGATGATTCAATTGCTCAATTGAATTAAAAAAAGGGGCCAATCGCGTACGTTAGCTCAATCACAAATAAAATTCCGTGTAACTGAAGTAAGAAACCGAGCATCTCGTAAAAGTAACAGGCCTGTTGGAACCGAGGGGCTGGAGGCCCCCAATAATTATCAAACTGTAGTATATTCCCTTTTAACAATGTACTGAATGAAACGAAATACAATAGGCAGCCCCCCCCCCTCACAATTATGAATTTCGTTCCGACGGCACTGATTCAACGTTCCGGAAAAAATCAAAATTGTGGCACCAAAAACCAAAACTCGCTTCCAGTGAAAAACTCATTTTCAGTTGACAGGTGTAATTGTCACTTGCATGTAAGTGTTCGCTGTATAGAAGTATCTGTTAATCGAGATTCTACTGTATACTTGCAAGTTTGAAAACAAATGCACGTTTGCATTGAGATACAACCAAAATACCTACCCGAAACTTTGCATATGCTATGAAAACTCCGCCACAGCAATAGAAGATGAATATGGGGAAGAGAAAAACTGATGTTTCTGCAAAAGAACACAAAAGGAGTCATGATATGTGAAAACAAAAGCGAAAATTATTGCAAGTTAAATTGAGCCGGCTGTTATTTTAGTAACTTTGACCCTGGAATTGGTTAATTAACGGGAATAAAATCTAAGGTATCAGCATTGGTTGAAGTGGACCTGCCAGTTTCAAATTTAACTGCTACATATCGTTTCGTAGATATACAAGTAAAAAAGCACAGTCACTTAGCATCAAATTTGATTCAAGTAACAAGGGCGTCGTTGCGAATGAATGCTAGAGGGCGCCAGAAAGGAAAAATTTTCCCAAAAATTTCTTTGATTTATCTTAATCAAATAGAAGCATTTCATGTTAGTGCAAGGGGGGGGGGGAGAAAACACATAGCCTTTGCCTTAGTTAGAAAGATATTTAAAATGCACTTTTTATCTTATCTCTGTTTCTTCATACTTACTGTAAAAGTCCCTGAAATCTCGCAACCCTATAGATCGGTTGATTAGGACAAGGGTAGAATAAAGTTACTCCCTGAGGCAAAGTTTGCCGCCGAAGGGCAAAAGTTTTTATGATCTAAATACTTCAAGTTCGCCGGAAATTGCATTCTTTGGAGCAAACTTTAATAACAAAATTTTACTCTCAAAATGAATATCCACTGGCGGAAAGCGATGGTATGGTATTGATCGATTTCTTCCTTGTTTTCCCTTATGCGACATAACTGCATAAATTTTCAAATCAGGGACTACATTTTCAAATCTGGCGATAGGCACAAAATTGGCACTGTCGCGGTCTTCAAAATAAGATAAAGGTATAATTCATGACCAATATTGCAAATTGTTTTTTATGGAAATCTAGAATTTTCTTTACAAAAGTGCATTGCTTCTCGATGATACGATCAGTATTTTAGTCCAAGTAATTTATGCCGCTAAAAGGTTCGTTGCACTTCTCCTTTTTACCCAAAGCTCAAGTTGAATAATATTCCGAAAAAACACTGATTTTTTCGAAAATCTGTCAGATTTTGACAGCAGAGGGGGCCAAAACCCCCCTGGCCCTGACGATGACGCCCCAGTCAAGTAAACAACTCGATATGCTAAACGAGATGCAGATACCAACAGCTATTTTTAGGCCTAGGAAGCTGGTTTTTGCTCTTTATCTTTACACCAAAATCATTGAGTTATAAAAACGAAGCCTATTATTTATGTCATTATTTGAAAAATAAAATGCATGTGTTTATACAATTATATTTAATCCCAAAACTCCCAAAACTCGAAATTGACGTCATTGCTAACCAATCTTTAAAAGCACAATCTGGTCATACAATGACGTAGCTGACATAGGCTCATTGGGTGCATACGGAACGACAGGTTTAGTCTTGATTAATGCGAGGGGCGATTCACTTTTGCAAATAGCGTACGAGATTTTGCCCAAACAAAAGGATTTCCGGGGATTTTCAGATGAAACAATAGGATTTTCACAAAAGGTGTACGAGATTTTCTTGGAGTGATTTGCCCCTCGGAATAATGCAGGTGAATTACCTTTTGTTACGAAGGCTTGCCCAAGTCCGGCAACAACAAATAAGAGGCTGAAACGAGAGAGTGAGGTAAAACAAAAGGGTTTTTTAATGGAACACAAAAAAGTATCTGCACCCAGCTCAAAGGGCACAATAAATCCAAAATGCAACCTTCATGTAAGCACGTATTGTTGGGACCCTCGTTCATGTAAGCAATCATGTAAGGTGAAGGGCGTCTATAGAAAGAGCAGAGACGTGTCGTTTTGGATAGAGTCACAAGGACACTGGGTTAAGGACCATTCATAAAGGACGTCCAAGCTGAAGGGGGAGAGGTGAGTTTGGTGAATCAAGATAAATTCGGGCATAGAGGGAGGGGGTGTTTTCGCAATCCGGACGTCCAGGTTTCAAGATATTGGAACGAGACATTTCAAGTCTCAGTTTGCACTGACCTTAACGTCAAATATTCGGACAGTCATAAAACCAAGGTATCTTCCAGGCCTACTTCTCATAAAAAGAAATTTTTAAGATGGGCTGCAGTTGGCTAGTATCGGGGAACAACCTGTCAAAGAAAGAAATATTTACACGGGTCTTCTGCAAACCAATGGCAATATCGCATCGGATATGCCCTCAAAGGGGGTGTAGCTGCAACCAAGTCCACCGAGAGGGAGGGGCAAGGAGGCAAATTGCCCAACAGCCTTAGGGTGTAGATATTGAAATGGGTAAAGAGAAAGAGCGAACTAAGGCTACGTTCACATTACTCCGTTTTCGATTAGATTCGTTTTTGGCAGCAAAAACGGAGCTGTTTTTATCTCTGTTCACACTACTCCGTTTTCAGGCAGAAACGGATATCTATTAATTGGTGTTCACACTAGTTCTCAAAAATACATCTGTTTTTCTCTTTCTGAAAACGAGGCTTCTGATATTGGCGCGAAAACATTCAACGACCTGAGTTCCAAGTTCGCAAAGTGAAAGTGAAGGCACTGATTTCAAATAAAAGAAGTGATGCCACCTCGTCCTCGTAAATCAGCTTCAGGTGAAAATACCTGAATTGGACTGATGATGAAGTTCTTCTGTTGCCTAATATAGCCGTAGAATACAAGACGCATAATATATCACAGGGTAAAGATTGGGAGAGCGTGCAATCGAAATATGTTGACATTGCCGAAAGAATGACAAAATATTTAAGAAATTGTGGAGAAGCAGACAGAGTTGGTAAAGATTACCCACATAGTCCCGATGATTTGAGCAAGGAGAAAGTAAGCAGTAAGCTCAAGGCAGTAAGGACGAAGTATAGAAATGCAGTTGACTCTGGACATGGTGACAAGAAAGAGTGGACATGGCAGAGTGATCTCGCTGTTCTTTGAAGAATGTGCGCAGCTGTGGGGTGGGTCTCCTGCCACATCTAAGATAGACAGATTTTGATAAACTTCGGGCCCAAAAATTGAGTTATGGCATTCGTTGTGCGTCTAATTACAGAACAAACGGTTGACTTCGCAATACCAAAGGAGTTAGCAATTTTCCTGTAATGAGCTTCGTCAGATAAATAATATAAAGTGACAGCAAGCTGCGTCTCCACACTCAAAGGCTTGCGAAATTTTGACCAGGTTTTGATTAAGAATTTCACAAGAGTCCGTTGTTGCCTACGGCTAATAGCAGCAAATGTTCAACCCCCGACCCTTAACCCTCGACTTATGATTGGATTGCGAGCAAACAAAGGGCAAAGACAATCCATTTGTAATCCATCAAAATTGTTATCCAAACAATAAGCCCAATTTTCACTTTCAAAAGGTAAAAGACAAATGAACCATTCCTTGATAAAGGGATGTCTCTTCGGCACGCAATTCTGTGTCAATAGAATCTCAAGGAAAGGGTGATGTAATTTGCAAAAAACCTGTGCCGAAGATTTTATATTGTTTAGGACTTTGGAGAGTCAGATCGCGAATTACGTCGTATTTCGCTGTACCCTTCACTGGATTTTTTTCTCCTACAGCAAAATCACTTTTCTCAAAGGGTCTGCAAAATCGACGGCGTCAACTCGGAGCTGAGATTGAATAGAGAAATAGAATCTCATGTCGCAGGCAAAATAGAAACAATAGATCTTGAAAGTAAGGGCATCACACATTTGAAAGCAAACACTAAGGTAATCGAGCCTTACCATCCGAGAGCCTGTGAAGCTCTTGGACCATATTTGTCATTGAAAAAACCAGCTGGAGTTTGACAGAAGCACACAAAGCCAACAGCGACGTTAAATACAAGATTAAAGCGATTCTTTTGGTCATTGCAAACAAGGTTTAGGCCTCTTTCCGTTGCAGTAGTTGAATTTGTTACATTAAACGAAGCTTCGTTCTCTCTGCAAAGATAACTAAAGAATCCTTCTTCTCTAAACACAATTTCAATTGAGGCCCATCCAAAAGTTATACCAGCGAACAGAATCATCTCCGACATTGCACTTAAAAAGTAAACAATCTGAAAGTTTGTGCTTCGAATGTCCCATGACGCCATGATCGTGATGAAGCCAGACTACTCTAAACCTCAGTTAAATACAAGTATGAGTTGATTACGTTCTACGCTTGAGAAAATCCTCTGATGCGAAGAAAGATAAAATACATAAGAAGGGTATTTACTTCCGGACTCCACCGGCCTTTGCACGTGGGCCGTTCTGCAGTCAGGTATGCTGTGTTGTAAGACACACTGCAGCCGGGGGTCATGCTGCCCAGCAGAGACAATAGCTATTGGTAAGTCCTCGGCAAATAACAATTATTTCACTACAAAAAACGATAGTCGTTTAATTTCAACAAATGAAATGGTTTTTCCACCTCAATGCTTTGTAATGAAAACTGTGGCGTGAAAGTGATTAAGAGAAATTATTTTCTTTTTTCGGCAACCAAGTGCACGAACCAAATCACAGAATGAAAATGCGCTTGGGCACCATTGCAGCTTTCAGCCTCACATGTTGATAATTACCTATCAGGGGCGGATTCAGGGTGTAGCACAGGTCGCACGGAAGAACGTCAGATTTTCAGAATTTAGTTTTAGTCTTCAGTCGTTGAAATAAGGCAATCATGTTTATCACAATCTCTTATTTCCCTCCTTACAGATGATAAATTTACCTCTCTTTACACAAAAAAAACAGGACCGAACCACCCGAACCTTGGTCGATCTCGCACAAAATGCCACCATTTAATCCAATATAGAAGAAATTCAAAAACAGTATGATTTTTAGGTATGTCGCCCGTGCCGCACAAATATGCAAGGCTCTTTGTTATGAAAATATTTTACCAAATCTCACCAATTAAAATTCGAGTTTTCACATATTTGTGCGGCACGAAAAGTCTGTAAACACTATGTTAGATTACTGTGCCGCACAACTGCTGGCAAGGGAAGAAAGTGGATGAGGTTGAAAGTTGTGAAGGAGAAGAATCCCAATTTTTCTTTATCCATGCGGAAGAGGTGCACAGGAAGTGTACACTTCTGAATCTCAAGATATTTTGTCTCAATTGCGTGTTTGGATTTGCTGGAAAATTTGGAAAATCTTTAAAAAGGGACTAATGTTTGACTAAACAATTTGAACGTTTCAGGGCCCCAGTCCCGTCGCCACTCTCAAAACTACTACAAGGCCTGCAAACCTCGTTGGTGAGGCAACTTCCGAAAGTGTATCCGTCTTGCTTAGCGGGACAAATCGCAGTTAGGTTAGAAAGTTAACGCATACAAGACATTAAAATAATGTTCTAGACCAAAAATCAAGATGACTTTCTTGAAAAATGGGCGAAATTATTCCTTTTATTTCTGATGGTTGCAATAATCGACATTGTGGGCTTTAGGGTTTTTGCCTTTGAAATTAAACCTAGCTGCTCTCGTTCCGGGGGGGGAGGGGGCTGGGCCCCTATCATGGCTCTACCCTTGACCATGAGGGAGGTCCCCTAGACCGCTTGTTAGGTAATGTTTCTGTGCGACCGTCAACTTTTACTCTGTATCCGCCCCTGTTACCTTTAGGGGTCTTGCCAAGTACTCTTCAAAAGAGACTATCGAGAAACCCTTTCTTTGATTTATTCAAAAGTAACCCCTTTATTCAATCAAATTTTTTCTCTGGACCCGCGCCAGAAGCATCCCCAGAATTAAGTACAGCACAATCTTCAGGGCCCTTCAGGACAAGGGCATTAAATAAAGGTTTCAAGAGAGAATCAATTCTCACACTTGCAAATAGAGTATGAGATGTTCATAAAAACTAAAGGATTTCCAGGGATTTTCAGATAAAACAATTGGACGGTGTACGACGAGGTGTTCATGGAGTGACTTACCCCTCGGTGTCCTGCTTCCACTTATTGTTTTGTTACCGATGTACACCTTTTTTTTATAAGAACCAGTAAATTTGAGTTCAGGCTGATTGTTCGTAATATTTTCAAAATCTGAGGCTGGATTGTTCTCAATTTGTTCGTAACTTTTGACCGATTTCGAGGCTCGTGTTCTTATAAAATTGTTCTTATAAATAAGTGTACTTCAATTTGTGTTATCTGATGGTTGCTTTATGTGATATATGCTTTATTTTGTGTGATAAATAACGCTTTCTGCCCAAATGTTTAAATAGTCATAACAAAACCTATTATTCACATTGTTTTGTTTGACATCATTTTCTCCTACAAACTTCACAAAACCCCTTCAAAGCAAAAGCTAACCCCCGGGATTGGAGAGAGCTAGCGGCTTAATGACCTTTGTCTTGTGGCCCTTGGTGCGTTGATTTGTAGTGTGTATCGTTGTCGTCTCGATGTGACTAGAGAGTCGATATCAAAGAAACATGCCACTGTACAAGTTGGGAAACAAAACAATTTTCCAATCTGTTTACTTCGTGTTTACAGTTCTTGAAATCTTGCTGCTTTCGGGTATTACATATGGTTGGGCTTCAGTGGTTGTCGTATTTCAGTATGAAGGCTTTTTCAATTATCTGTGTCCTAAAGAGAACGGAACTGTCAATGGAATGAAAAGTCTCCAACAAACCAATGCTACGAGTTTAGGATTTCTTGGAAGGCAGCGTGGTTATGAAGAGATTGTTTGTTCACAGCAGAGCAAAAGGTTCAACTTAGTGTTTAACATTTCAGTAGCATGCCTTTGTTGTTTCAAGTTTCCTATTGGATTGTTTATTGACAAATACGGACCTAGAGCGGGACAGATTCTTGGATGGTAAGTTTGCTTAATAAAAACCTTCACTTCAGCATAATGTTTGTGATAATCGAAAGTAATCTTACAGAATATGCATAACTTGCAATCGAATTTCAGGTTTAGAGTAGAATCCTGAGTTGGATAGAGCCCGCGCCATAGGGGGAGGGCAGGGGGGTCATGGTATCCCCTTTTTCACTAAATTTAAGTTTCAAATCACCTCCACTTTATTATATATTAGATTACAACAAATACATTGAACAAAATTCAACCAGTAAAAAAGCGTAAGCAATATATTTACCACAATGGAGCTAGAGGGTGTAAGAGGAAACTTTACATTGACGGCCTCTCCAAATTAGGATTAGTGGTGCGGGCCCTGTGGGAGCATGTGGTGTACCTAGAGAAACACCCCCTCCCCTTGGGAGGTGTTGTCAGCCATACAATACAGCATGTACATTGATACTTGCCTCTCCCATGTACAATTTTATTTTAAAAAATTTGTGTTTTGTGTTATGCCATATTATTTCTCGGAAACAGTAAGGACTCATTAAACCTTGCTTCCACTATCGGCTAAGATGAGTTCATGTCAGGTATTACTGTGATCTGAGATGAGCTACTCGCGCTAACTCACGTTATCTCGTGAGCTTGGAAACAAAATTTTTCATCTTACGACTTACACTCATTTAAAGGAAAAATTTTATAAGAACAAAAGCTTAGAAATTAGTGAAAAGTTAGAAACAATTTAAGAGCAAGCTGAGGCTGAACCTGGGAAGGAGGAGAGGCAGGGACCGAAGAGGCAGGGGGGCTACGGGGGCTTTGGCCCCCCAATAATTTACACAATGTACTTAAAACCATACAAAAATGCCCTGCTCTTGGTTTTAGCATGTTCAGCTCCCCAAAACGTTTTAGCCCCCTCAATCTGTAACAAAATGCCCAACCGTAGCAATCACCCCTCTTTTGTATATACATACCTACTTGTAAGGATTTAGGAAAAATATTTGCAAATATTTAAAATTTACGAAACCAACTGAAAGTCATTAACTACAATTGCCATGTTACATTACGTGGCAAACATGCTTTATTTCTAATGCTAAGAACGAGATAATCCTACGGTACCTAAAAGCCAGTTTCTATTACAGGTTTGTACCCAAAATTAAGCTTTCTCGACCGTAAAGCTTACCTGTTTTTTATGGGTATCAATGCATTTTTGAGATCCATGTTTAGGGCTTTAAAAATTTCAACCCATCCTTATGGGCGACACTACCCTGCTCAAAAAGTAGCCCGCGGGGAGGCTGAGCTACCGTACAATGTGATTTCGAACAATGTTTAAAAATTTATCTAGGGGGTGCTTTTTCGGTGAAGTTTCAAATTGTCGGCAAATAAACAAAGTCTCACTCACTTTGTTAGTAAAGCGAAAAAAAGAAACAACACGAGGGCCACTGCAGCTCAATTTCATGAGACTCACTGCAGGCCTCCTTGATTCTAATAATTTGAGAATAAATGAAGAATAATCCAGCCTCAAATTTTTCGAAAAAATTAAGAACATCCATCACAAGACTATTTTCAGTTTTTTGATAAAACATAAAAGGGGTACAAGCAGCACGACGTAAATTCTCCTGCTGGTCGAATTTTTGTACCCAAAAATGTTTACACAAATTGTTGATATCAAATTTAGTTTTTGACTGAAGGTATCAACGAATTATAGGTTACCTAGGGCCAGGAAACGCTCTCCTACCAATATGACATCCAAAAAAACATTTGCCGTATCCGAATTCATTATATTCGCTGCCCAATTTCGCTGTAAGCACTTATGTGAAATATCTTTGACCACACCCAATTTATTTGCTTTTGCTAAGTCCCTCTCACAAAGAGCAAGATAAGAGGCTAAATAACTTGGATCAGCTCTGAACAAAAAAGCTTTATTTTTAGGCAAGTTGCCCTTCTACAATTACGAATTGCCAGTTTAGGGGCAAAGAGTCCATTTATCTAGGGGGGGGGGCAAGGATAAAGAAACTTTTGAAATTACGTCATAAAAATTTCAAAACTTTCTGACAAATTCAGCATTTTCAGGTGAGCTACAGCCCCCCCTCTCAGCCACTGCGTAACCGCAGCTGTTATTTTCAAGAAATGAAATTCTCCATAAAACCTTAGTAAATACAAAAACACATTCACAAACTTGCAGCTCAAACATGGAGGAAACCAGAACATTCCCTTGGTCCATAAGACATGGGTACTGGGAGGGCTTCAGGCTCCATTCGGGTAGTTCTATCTCAATGAAATAACATTATTCAGGCACGATCTATACACTGCCCCCTCCTCTATACGTTTTGTATCCACTGCGTCAGTAAGAACTGCCATCACAATGCCTTTGTGCGTTTCATGGCTTGTTGTGTTATATCTACTTTGTTCGCTTTTTTGAATTAACATGTCCCACTGATAATAATCGGCGTAAATCTTTGCATGTCAGTTGCCACTGACAGCAACAGAAACGGCACAGGTGTGGTCAGATTCAAGTTCAAATTCTCGTTACTCAGTTGACCTCGTCGACTTTGCTCAAATTGGCCTCAAATTTTAGTTTCTTTAATGCTTCTTCTTTGAGAGACCTACCATTTCTATCAAAAGTCCTTGGAATGACCTGTTGCTTAAGTGCTGTTTTGAAACAAGTAACTGTTTGTGGTATGAAAGAGCGACAATGCACCTCTTCTTCCCCTTAACAACAATGGTTGTAGAGCTGGTAATCATAGCTGTCTGAAAGGAATCCAATGGACCGCACTGAACCTCTAAGCTTAGAGGGAAATGCAGTATAATTTTGTGCGGTGTTTTTTGGCAAGCATTTTATTTTTTTCACATAAATAGTTATCCTTGGCAAATACCCTCCCAATTGTTATCTATATACCAATTCAATTAAAGCAAATCAAAAATTAAAAATTGTCTTTGTTTTATAAGTTTTGCTTTTATCATCTCAACTGGGTTTACAATTGTAGTACAGTAGAAACCCGCATAAAAGAATTTGTTTTTATAAGAACCTCAAGGCTGAAATTTCATTTTTAAACCCCTTTTATAAGAACCCCCAAGAAGCTGAAACTTGAAAAGATTCCTATGTATATGAAAAAGAGTGTTTAGACTATGGTATTCTTATAGCCTATTCACATGGGCAAGTTAAACCAGCTTGGAGTAAATCAGGTTATGGTATGTTGCATTCTAAATGGACAACCCAAAAAGAAAAATGAATTTGAATGGTTAAAATTTAACATAAAAAATAAAGCTAATTTAAATGTGTCAGTGAGAATTTCTGCAGTGGAAAACATTGTGCAAGGCCTGTACGACGTATGTAAGACCCTTGTTAAGAACCTTACAGGCTAGAATTTAGAATAGCAGCCTGTTAAAAAAGAACATATTCAGGCTGCCAGAGAAGAACCTAGACTTTTTATGCGGGTTTTTACTGTATGATATTACAAAGATACAAATGCTACTTCAACGCTGTATTATAAACAAAATCACAAAACCAGTTATTAAGCAATTCCTGAACATCGTTCGCAGAACATAAGCCTGATTTAATAAATTATATGGTTATAACCTGGTTGATTAGTCGATTCAGCAATGAAAGTGTAAATATTGCAAGGAGCTAATTATTTAACTGACAACCGCAAGTCTGCATAGCCAAAAAATGGCCTTGCTTCAATGCATGAGTCCTTACAATTTCGTCTTATTTAAAAACTGTGCGTACATTTTGAGTATGGATAAGTTTCACAACAAATACTAAGCAGTGTCTCTTTGGTATAATTACATTGTAAAATATTTTGTAATGGGCTTTTTAGTCTTTCGTGGCACTTCATGAACTAGAACATAACTTTCCGTTATTTGATTGGTCAATTTCGGGGGAACTAGCTCATAATTTTCCATTATTTGATTGGTCAATTTCGGGGGATGTGTCTGCCGAAACAGCCAATCAAAGATTCGGTAACAGGGACCTTGGAAGCATTGCAGAGTTAAAAGGGCACAGGTAGGGAGGGACACTGTCTCAGAGCTTTCCAAAAACATTATTGTGGGCACGTGGCCCTAATAGACCCCTATCCGATGTTCCTTGCTTTTAATGCAAACAAGCCATCATCCTTTACTGCCTCAAAAATCACTAACCCAAGGAAGCATTTATCCTTAACTGCCTTGCTAATAGTTTCATGTGATCATCATACTGGCAATTGTCCTTAATAGGCTAATCAGTACATTTTAATTTTCGTAGTTTTATCTTATAATTGTCTCAGCATGTCATTATTATGAATTTTGGCACAATGACTGTAGGAACGCAATCCTTTTGAGTGGATGGAAGGCTCTCCTAGTACTGTTAACAATACGAGGATCAGGCGCGCAACCAGAAACTTCAGAGGGCAGGGGTCCAAGACACAAAAAGGGCACTAATTAAACTTCGTTAAAGGTCCACCGGGGCATTTGTTTAGATACGCCGAAAATATGAGTAGTTAGTAAATCTGTAAATATTGTACGCCAGAAAAGGGAAACTGATCAATAGAGAAAAGTTGTGGTGTACGATTTATTTTGTGGTGAGGTGTGATTTATTTTTTCCTTTTAATCTTAACTATGCACATGACTTCTTTCTGTCTGCCATCCAGTGCCGCCGAGAAGTTTAGGAGGCCCGAGGGAGGGGGGAAATGGAAAAAACAATGCCTCTTGCGAGCGAAGCGAGCAAAAATTTTGTCACCACACCCTTGCAAATAGCTTTAATTCACTAATTCGTTTAAGATGTTTTACTTTTTTAATTGTAATTTTGTTACTTTTAATAAATTCCATTTAAAAACGGAATTCATTGCTTTGTGAGGCTCTCTAGACCTCGAGGCCCTAGGGCAATTTGCCCCTTTGTCCCTCTCTCGGCGACCCTGCTGTCTTCTCCTTTTCCCAGCGCCAGCTCACTTTTGAATAGCAGCCCATCATCTTCCATATCCGAAAACATTTTGCTCTTTAAAATATTATAATTGAATTCTTTGCTTCGCACTACAGATGGGAGGAGGTTGAACAGTTCCACGAGCTTTGCCTTCAGCTGGTTTCTGTCTCCAAGTCTTGCCTTCAGCTGATTTGTAATACTGACAAGGAACGGAACAGCTGAACATCAACTTTTTGTGCCATCTTTACTGCTTGCTAATACCAGTCCGAAAATATTTCTCTGCATTCGCTCGTTTCATGCAAAGGTCTTCTATGACCCTGTCAACTATGTGACAGGCTTGAAAAATGTCTTGGTTTCTTTCTTGTTACTTTTTACCAGAGGTCGTAGAGGCTCTATCCCGTTCAAAATCTTGTGCCTTTATTTTGGTTTTTGAGTCCCAGAACCATTCTTCTTCAAAGCCAGTGCGTGACGCATCATAAAACACGTTGTAGAGTTGGGGCTTGAAGATAGACTCTATAACTGCAACATGATGACGTTCGACCCAACAAGTGCGCGAAAGTTCGACTAAATCATTTATCTGTATTCCTGCGAGGTCCATTACATCTCCGGAGTGTGTTATTTACTGTATGACCAACCATTTTAGCGTAATAACTAAAATATTCAAGCAATTATCCAAGAAAAAGGGCACTTTTCCCCTTTTGAGAAAAAGGGCAGGGGTCTGGACCCCCAGGACCCCCCCCCCCCCCCCCGTAGTTGCGCGCCTGAGGATAGACAACCCAGATTGTGCCAAAAGCTGCAATGACGACATTTCGTTATTTGATTTATCAGTTTATATCTAATGAAGTAAATCAATAGACTTTCTTATCGAAACTCCTGTGCATCTATAGAGTTGCCAACGCGGGTAAATTTTTGTGTACGAAGAATGAGTACATTACGTGGTGGGTGAGGGGAACGCATAAATATATGAGGGGGGCACTTTTCCGTGCCTTTTTTGGTATGCAAGGCATGCTCGTTTCCCTGTGATTAGTGTGCCAATTTCTATTGCTTGCGGCCACAAAATGATGATGACTCAACGTCGTCAGCAAGCCAACGATCCAGAAAACTATTTTCTCATTGCCAGAAGGGAAGTTGGGACAGCTTTTAGCAAAAACAATCGACTCTTTTGTGGCATCATGTAATTGAAGATGCGGATGTAGTGGCAATAAAGTTTTGATTGGTAATAATGCATTGCTTTTGTCAATTTTGTCATTGTTGTTCTTCGCATTTAAGGTCCTGTGCGCCTACCTTGAAGCTACCTCCGCATGCACTCTAATTACTGAAAGTTCAAACTGAATCCTAAATGCATCCAGGTAATACTGTTGATAGAACTGAAATAAAGCCACCTTACGCACCTTCTATGGTTTGAATTTAAAAAGTAAAAGCTCTGTCGGGGACTTTTACAGACAAGCTATCTAATAGTTTAATAGCCCGAGCCTTATTTACTACCGATAGTTATAGTCAGAGGGTCTGGAACTCAGGCTAATAGCCCAACAAACTGAAAAATAACCAGCAGAAAAGTAGTTATTCAAAAGAACGTTGACTGTAGCACGTGAAACGTAGGGGTTAGCAAACCGGAGTCAAGGGAGGTACATCCTCTTTTTGGTAAAGCGCACATTGTTTTACTGGTTCCCTCTTAAGAACTTGCAGAGAAGACACTTTTTTTCTAAGAACCAGTTTACCTCTTTAACTCTGCCCTTCCTAGCTTCGCAATACTTAACTTCTAGTGCCCTGAGACATAGTCTATGCCTAAGGCAAAAACAAGGCAGGCAGATGAAGTTCATCATTGACTCTAGACAGACCTGGCAATGAAGAAATTCACCGCATCTCTTTTTATTTTTGTAGCAACAAATAAACGAATTTTTGTGTACGAAGAAAATTTACTCATTTCGACGTACTCATAACTGTCTTCAACAGCATCTTAAGAGTACCAGTATTCTTCGTACACAGCGACAGAATACCTACCTTCTTATCATTTAAGGTGCTGTTTGATTCAACTACATTTTAATAATTGTTTGATATAAAATGATTTCATTCATCAGCCTTTTTCCAGTGAATCACCTTTTTTCTTGTTGCTTTGCAGCTCCATCTACGTAATTGGTGGTCTTGGACTTGCTTTCATAACCAAAGGTAACGGCGCCAAAGATTTTCTTCGACTCCACAACGGTTTTCTTTTTAAAAAGATCGATAGATATTGTTACTGCATTATAGATTTAGTTGTTTATGTTTTTGATATGGGCTATTTGGATATCTTATAATCCTACACAAAGATTTCTTTACAGTACCAATTTTTATCGCGAACTAACAAGAAAGCCCGAAAAGAGTAGATTGTCTTTAGATTTTCATTCTTTGATAGAACTTTTTTCATGCTGGAATAAAAGGAGGGAAATACCGGGGACTGCTCCTTGTAACCCCACCTCTTGTTTAAGACCAGGATGCATTTTAGCTAAAACATATTTTATTTTAGTCGAGTTTTGGAGAAGTGATCTGCAGCTTGACTGTTCTACCCGAATCTCCGTCCTGTCAACTTGTTTAAATGATTCCAGGGCAAAACAAATTTTTCCGAGAGTTAAGACAACAACAGCAACATTAATAGTATGTAATATTCGTTACTCCACACCCAATTTTTATAGTAGCGGTACACCCCTGCTTTTACCATGCATTGACATTACTTTGTTTCAAAGACAGGATTATAACTTTTTGTTTGGGGGGCCAACCCTGATAATTCAATTTAATGACAGCCATATATAAAATAAAAGTATTTTACTTATGCAGCTTTAGTTTCTTGGGGGGGAGGCCAAGGCCCCCCTGGCCCCCGGTATCTCGGTCCTTGCTTTGTTTTAGAGAAAAATGCTCTTTTCTATAAGATTAAAGGCTTCCCCCATCTCTAGTCATATAAGTGGGGCTCTATTCGCGAGCAAAGGGCTTTGGGTGCAAGGATCTGTGGTTTGAGTCCCTTTCTTACCTTGACCAAAATATTAGTTGGCTATCTATTTGTAATTCCACATTCGTAGCATACGGATATCACGAGGTGTAGTGTGGTCACATCGAGAGGAATGACCAGGACACTGCTTGATAAACACAGCTTCTCACTGTCCTAAAAACTGTACATTCGGATGATAGGTAGTAACAAAAACAAAAGTACTTAAGGAGGAGGAAACATCAGAGGATGGCGAAGGAGGATCCATACCAGCAGGATCTGTTCGGGATCAGGATGGCAAAGAAGGATCTATTCCTAAAAATAAAAACTAAAGATTTCTAGAGAAAATTGCTGGCAGATTGCATGAGTTTGACTAGAATAAATATGTGCCAAAGCCAAAAAACATATTTCTTCAATAGGTTGCTCGGAAAAGTTTATCCTGCTCGAGTATCAACAGCTCTTACTTTGTAACTTTGCCGCTAATTAGTTGCTTTAAAATTTTGTTACTTTCTCTTTTTGTTACATTTTACAGAAACGGCATTTATTCTTTTTCCAACCTTCATCCTGTTTTGCATTGGAGGCGGACTGATCGCAGTGGCAAAATACCAGGTAAAATTTTGAGTCATATGAGCCTAGGCTAAAGTGAACTCTGGGTCAGTGTTCAGCCAAGCCCGGGAATTTGAGTGAATAACCAGAGTGAGTTGACTTTCTGTACACTGCTGAATCCGTTACCTGGCGGGTCCACTCTCATTGTCAAGTGTAAGCACCCGTGTCTTGAAGATCTCTGAGAAAGGGGTTCAGGCTTTTCTACAAAACTTTTCGATTACGCACTACCGAGTCCTGATTACGCTAATGTAGTCAGTGTCCTCGCTACGGGGTGGACTGGGATGGACATGTCCACCTTAGTTTCCCAGAAGTCGACTTTCTAATTTCCCGAAATCCGTTGAAAAACCTTGGGGGGGGGGGGGGGGGGAGAGAGAGCTGGGCTGATCAGATATCGAAATATGAAATAATTGAGATTCTCGGGATGAAAATATAAATATTTAGGTTTTTAGTCTTGAAGTATGAATAACTTTGGTTCCCTGTATGAAATATAAAATATCAACATAACTGAATACCTCTTTAAAATGTTGTGTGAGAATTATCTATTTGATAACAGCACTGACTCAAGTGACTATTAATCTGTAAAGTTGTTAAGATTCCATGTAACGCTTGGGTTTTTCTTTTAAATATTTCAACCTTTTTAGGAGTTTAAAAGGATTTTCATACTTCACGTTTAGGAAAATTACCAACATATATCATGTATAATAATAATATTGTATAATATTGTATAATAATATCATGAAATGTTTTTATCTACATTGATTTTTCCACATACATACTATGAACTCTTTCTAAGACTATTAAACCACAGTATTGATTTGCTGATAGTAATATTCAAAAAGTTATAGTTCATTCTTCAATTTTTTTTATTTTGGGCTAACATGTTTTCCGCCAAGTTATTCTTATCTGGAAAATGTTATTTCTGGCCATATCTTTGAATTCAGTATGGTGCCAATAAACAATGCTAAAAGTGATTAAAAGTTACGTTATTTGACGCAAAACGAAATAACTATATTAGATCAAACTATAAGGAAATATTATCAAAAGCCATGAACACGCAACCGTAAAGAGAAATTGACCCACTCCAATTGTTTTTTCAAACTCGATAAAAGTCTTGGGAGCATTCTGGGAATTGACTGGAAGTCGCGTTTCGGGAAGCCTGAAAAATGCACGGTCAGAAAAATTTCGACTTTCGAATTTTTCAAATCTAATAATACCATCAGAAAGAGCTTGTAACGTGAACGTGATTTCCCGTTATCTGCCAGAATGTTCCCACGGCTTTAAATTATCAGTGGCCTTTACTCTTATGATTTAAACCTTCACAATTTTGGCTAGGCTGGTTGTTAATGGTTATGCACAATTTCCAGTCAATCTGTAATATTTATTTTGATTTCTCCTTGAGAACATCGTAAAAGTTGATTTCACTTAGTTTTAGCTTCGCACTAACTTCATTTTAGCATAATTTCTTGCTATTTGATGCACCCAAGACTGCAAGTGACTGGAAGTAACAGTATGACTATAGTATGAAGAATCAATTAAACAAATGAGTTTTCTGGTCATTAGGGCTCTAGGCGGTCAGCAGAGCCAAAAAAGATGTCCCGAAATTCAAAATTCACAAATCCTTCTAGCACAGTGTGTTTCCCAGGCATGTCTGTGGGCCCATTCTGGTTGTAACCTCCGAGACTTGGACTATTAGTTTTGGTACATATATGTTTAAGAATAAGCTGAACAAAACAAAGATAAATATTTCATCCGGTGTTCTTAGATTCCCCACAAAAGTACCAAATGATCACCACAGTTCCAAAGAGAATGAATTCCCTATTTCTACGAAAGTACGGGGCCCTTTGGCTTTTTTCCGAATAAATTCTTTATACATTTTCAATATTTTTAGCTGCAAAGATTGGTTTTGAAGACTCGGTCAATTTTGTATGTGAGTCGGTCCAACTTTTCCTGACACCTGAAGGCAGAATGGAACATACGACAATTTCGAAATACTTTGCTTTGGTAATTTTAAAATATGAAATAATTGCAAGGTATCATTATGAAATATGAAATAACGTCATCCCCCTTTATAGGGCCTCTCTGAAGGGCGTGGCCGAGAAAGTTTGTTTTTGTCCACCCCAGTTTTTTTGAACTGGCAACGCTACTAAATGTAGTTAAGTTTATTTTCATTTACCACTTATCTCTTGTTCTAGGTTTGCAGATATATTTACACTGATGTTCGTTCTTTGGTACTGTCAATATTACATGGAACATTTGACTCTTCTGCAGTTATTTTGGTATTTTTTAAGGTAGGTGGATGCAATCCGCTCTTAAATGTTCCTAAAGCCTAAGTGTATCTAAAATGTAGCTCCGTCTAGATATGTTAGTAATATGGCTGTCTAGTACTAATATCAATTTGCGAATCGTCGACTCAGACCCCCCCCCCCCAAATATTTCCGAACATTGTTAAAATTTGGACAAATACTAGGAAAAAATAATTCGGGCACTGTAAAGGTTTTTTGAAATACAACTTATCAATAGAGCACTTATCAATATTCTATTTACATGTATATACAAATATAAATAATATATACATTGTAATATGATATATGATAAAAATATGATTAAATACATTGTATACACTAACTATTTTACATTTTTCATTCAAGTCCCTATCAATTAAATTTTCGGGAAATTTATGGAAAACGGGAAAATTCGGGCAAAATTTTTTTGACACCTCCCCCCTGCCAATATTTCAGGTATCAATACCCTCTTGGTCGAAACAATAGGAAAACACATTGTAGCGATTGAAAATGAGTCCTCGTTAGTATCAGAGACGAGTTGAGGACCGAGCTTAAGTAACCGTGGCTTTATTGATCTTATACATTTAAAAATATCTTTAGAGTGAACGCTCCTTTCCAATGAACTTTCTCTCTTCAATATCCAATGGTATTTTACACTCTCTTAGTGTCAACCCGCCAAACTCTTTCCGTGTAAGTTCTTTATGTATGTCCCCAAAATTGTTTCATTAGTTGCTTCAAAATCTTTCACTAAAGCAGAGAATTTAAAAACATGGCGGCCTAAAGGCCAGCCATCTTGGGTAGATTCGTGATACTGAAGTGCCACACTCAAAACCCAACCCTTTTAGTTGTTTTTCGTAGAAGTCTTTTAGAGTTAAGAGGTTTGTTTGGAGGGTGGATCAACACTTTACTTGACTCCGTAGGGTAGCTTTCTATATTGGCTGCCGAGTTGTTTCAAAATAGATAGACCAATAAAAATTCCTTACAAAACTAAAGCAGTTCTTTTTCACAAATACTTTTCTCTGTGTTACAGATTAGAGCTCAAATGTGCTGCATTGTTTGCTAATAAGGGGTTTTTTTAAGGGGAATTTAGAGATTCTGTCAATATATGTTAATTTCTATTTACAATATTCATACCCGCTTTCAAAATAATACCTATGACTTTTCCATTGTTCTTTGTAGCTGGCATGGGAAAGTGGAATTAGTCTGAGGGACATCAGCCTTTTTTACATTGTTCTTTCATTTATCCTCGTGTCGCTGTCGACTTTTGCTCTTACCCCTCCATATGATCAGTTAAAAAATGAAAATGGAAGCTCCGAGTGCACGATTATAAGGTAATATTCAATTTCAAAATAGATTCCTTAAGTTTCTTAAAAGTTTAAAGTGACAACATCCCGCATGTAGTATCCATGTATCTTTAAAATTTTGTCAGTATTTCTTTTTCTTAAAAGATGGGCACATTAACAATCGTGACAAATGACGCATAAATTATATTAACAATAGGCACATAAGTTCTGGGGACAATGTCTCATAAACCCAGGTGACAATGTCGCATAAACCATGGTCACAATAGGCACATAAATTCTGGTGGCAATAGTGGCATAAACCCCGATGACAACGTCGCATAAACCATGGTCACAATAGGCACATAATTTCTGGTGACAATAGTAGCATAAACCATGGTCACAATAGGCACATAAATTCTGGTGACAATAGTCGCTTAAACCTGGTGACAAGGCCGCATAAACCATGGTCACAATAGGCACATAGATTCTGATGACAATAGGCACATCAACCCTGGTGACAATGTCGCATAAACCATGGTCATAATAGGCACATAAATTCTGGTGACAATATCGCATAGAATCTGGTAACAATAGTCACCAGGGCTGGAAAATGGAATTAGTCCACAGGAAATTTTTGGAACAAATTAACTGCAGGAAATTGTTGATGTTTGCCAGGAAATTTTTTACGTGAAATCTCCATTGCTTGATTTAATGTTACAATATTTCTACGGAATACTGTTTTCTTGTGATATACATACTGTATAATTTTTGTTCTGCACTACCAATAAAAAACGAAGATTAGCTTTCAATCATCTGGTATTATAAGCATCTGTTATGCCAAATTTCCGTGCATGATTTTAAGCTATTAATTTGATTCCAGCAACCCAAAACAAAGTCCATTCCTTTTTTTACATTAGCCATTCTATTTATGTAAAAACATTTAAAGACAGCCAATCTTGTTACGTCAATTGTTTTGAAGGTGAACATGCCCCAAAACCTGTGTGGATGTGTCCATTATTATTCTTTTTTTTCTACTGGCATTCACATATATTTTTCATCACTTGCTTTATAAAATGTAAGCGTTTTGGTCTTAAATCTTTGCCTCTAGCACCACCCCTGATTCAAAACATTTATTTTAACCATTAAAAAATAAAATAGTATCCTTACATGTTGTATGAACTACTAGCTTTGATGATAAACCCACCCAGAGCAAGATGTATAGATATATCAATACTTATAAGGTTTCTAGTTTGCTAGTACTGATATGAAATTTAATCAAAGTTATTATAGATTTTAAGATCTACTTTCTTTAACCTTGAAAACAAACTATGAGTATCGTGCTTGATCATGTTCTCCTTGATCATCTAATACAGTATAAACAAAATGATTCCTGTTCGAATAGCTATGATCAAGACTGCAGGACCAACAATTAGTTCTTTTTAGTGTGACAGTTTGTTTTTAGGACAAATTTTTAAATAAATCAAGCAATTTGAAATATCAATTTCATTGAAACTGGCCGTGATCAATAGTTACAATTACATAGCTCCCTTCATATAGCACTGTAGAGAAAATAGAACTTTTGGGGGGCACCGCAGGTTTGGTAACAATAAGATATGTTCATTAGAAACTGGAACAGTAGCAGCTACTATACTGGGGTAGGTCGTGATGATGCAAGTCGGAATCGATTATCGAACACCTCGCATATTCACAATTGTTTTAATGTCGTGTTATTTGTGATAATTTTGTCGTCTTTGTTAACCTGCTGCACTCAAATTAATTAAAAGACAGCTGTATCATTAGAATTACAATTTACATTTTATGTCAGCTAAACTTTTCGTATATCCATATGTTGATTGCGCTGCCAATAGCTGATACATATATAGTCTTTGTTACCGTGTTTTTTTTTATTTTTTTGTTTTATATGATCTTATTGTATAGCAACCCAGCCTCGATATCATATATTGATAAAAAGATTTATATTTAGTTTGATTGATATGATAAAGTTGAACTGAATTGAATTTTAATTCACACTATTGATTTTCCCAACTAGTGAGAGAGATATCGATGAAAATTCAAATTCGAAGAAGCTTTCAGCGCCCGGTGAGTAATAGCTTTGTATTCAGAAGTGAATCAGGCTGAAGAACTATACTCGAGGTATGAAATACGGGGCTTTGGAGACAAAAAGTCCTTCTGAAAACACAGCAAGTTTTTACTTGACTGAGTAGGCCAAGGATAGGCAATTCGAAGGAAAACTGAGACTGGGTTGATGATGATAAGTTTCATCAAGCAGGTCTTGCTACCTCTCCCATCCCTAGAGCAAATTAATCAGTAGGCCATCGGGGATACATGAATTGTTCCGTTTACAGTCGCATTTTTAAAACAATATTTGGTATGACTATAACCGGAGTCTACTGTACTCCTTTATGTATTGAGCCAAAACCTATTCCGATAAGCTTGTACCATATAGCACCTTGTGGAAATAATTTCCCTCTCTCAGCTTTGGCCTTCTTAATTTATCAATATAAATATGTAATCATAAGGCAAAGGCTGACGCTCTATTGCTGCTCTATTGTATCGAATCAATGGTGCTTTCCAATATAGTAGTAATGCGTTAGACTGTAGTGACGTCAAAGTAGTGTTAGACTCTTTTCTTTTAATGATTTTGGTGCTTAAGCTTTGCACAAAAACTGATGCAATCAAGGTTAAAAACGTTTATAGCCGAGTTTTTTAAAAGAAAATGGCTGTCCCTGAAGTTATGCGCGTAGTATCTTAGTATTGCTTTGTAGTTATTGTAGCAATAGTATTTTCTGTAGGCAAAATAGGAATGTTTCTAGGGATAAGTGAAGTTGTTTTCTTATTTTGCTCTTATGAAATCGTTTGGAATCTTTATATAATAAAATCCATCAAAGTGTAAAAGATGTCCCTTTCTAGAACCTTTTTTTATGTGAAAGTATCAAATAATAACAAGCAAATGAAATGTTTTTAAGAATATATAATCTGTTTTAAATGTTGCTTGCTTTGTCCCTACATTTTTCTTTTTGTTAATCTGAGTTAAACTATGCATCTTTGAATTTACTTTTCTAGATTCCCTCATAAAATCAATAACTTCTCCGCTATTTTTGCTGGAGCTGGTATTCATGTGTTTTTGCCAGCTTCGACTGTGGTTTTTCATTGGGAGCCTTGAGGAGCTCATATCAGTGCACTTTCCAGACAACGAGGAGTCCGGTAAGAGCTTCATTTATATTTTTGTCAGTATTGTTGGAAACAAGTGATTTTCTGTTTGAAGCTATACAGTTCAAGTAAACGTTTGAATTTCATGAGTGTAATTGAACAATTAACAAAGAATTTGGGGGCTAGAAATATACGACATGTCCCGTTTTAGCACTCGAGACCTTCTTAACGTCTCTTCTTAAGGTCCCTTGCTTGACTTACATCTTTAGAATATTATTCAAACATGTAGCCTTTTATCATTGTATTTTTTACAATTAACTGTTATCACAATTACCTAGGTTTTGCATTTATTAACTGTCAGATGTTATCGTTCTCATTAACTATGTTCTACATTTATCATCTACTTATTCTATTAATCTTATTATAAGTAGTGTAATGCTATCAAAATAACAATGGGTCTCTTGCACAAAATGACGCGGAAAACAATAGCAAATGTAGAAATTTGCCAATGGTCGGCACCAGCAAGTGGGGCTCAGCCCCCTCCCCCTGAGCCCCCCTCCCCCTCCCCTCTCCCCTTCCAAGCACTACACCCCTGCTTATTATCAACTTTTATATTGCAGTTAATCACTATAGCACCTATTTCGGGTACGCTCAGCTTTGCGGCATTCTTGTTGGCCCGTTGATTGGGTATTTGTTCGATAAAGATACTATAAAATGTAAAAGAGATAATTTTGATGACAAGAGTCCATTGCTGGATGTTCCTGAAAAGCGACGCGTTGAAAGAATGCAAGCTGGTGTGTTGCCGTTCTTTCTGACCAATTTATTGTGTGCAGCATTCGCTTTACTGTCGCTGGCTCCGTGGTCCTGGGGCCTGGTAAGTCAGCTAATAATTCTTGCACTTTGATTTTGTTCTGAAATCTATGCGAGTTTTTGGATGTCTATGACCTGAGCTGATCACGACCTAAGGGCCTAGGCCTAGTATTTGTTGCTGTAACCCAGGCCTCTAGAAAGTATCCGAGCACGGAAGCATTGCACACAGAGTTTCACTGGAGTTTACTAGGGTTGTCAATAATATCTCAAATAAACAGGAGGCAGTGATGTATAAATCAAGTTTAGAAATAATGAGGTGTAAGCGAAGCAAAATGAAATACAGTTGCAATCCAGAAGCATCTTTTTGGTTGATGAATTTCCTCTACAATGGGTTCACACAAACATTAAGCACACAAGGCAGTGCTGCATATTTTTTCAGGTATTTTGCAGACTCTCATTAAGTGACATTTGTTACCTCTTTTGTTTTAGATTCCATCATTCATATTGCAAGTTATGACAAGGGGATTCCTTTACTCTGCGCATGCTTCGTACATTGCAATGACGTATGTTGTTAATTAATTGTTTTTATTCTTACATTGTGTTATAACTTGAAAGTTGATGTTTATCTGTTAATTTTGTCAATTAGTATTTAGCGTTGGCATTTGCCACGGTTCCAGTTGCCAATGACCAGATTATCCTGCTGCTGAAATAAGGTTGCAGAATCTCTGGTCGCAAAATAAACAAGGGGGGAGGGGGTGGGTGGAGGAAGGACATGGTCTCCAAAAACATCGAAGCTTATCTTAAAGTCGTCAGCCCTTTCAAAAAATATCTCCTTACAGGCGACGCTTATAGCTTGTGCATAAAAAAGTGTGCATACGATGTAAAATAACAAATAATACGTAGGGGTGGGGGAGTTTTGGGTGGGATGAAGGACCTTCAAAAACGTTGGAGCTTATCTTTAAGTCGTCAGCCTTTTCATAAGTATTTGCTGAAAGGCAACGCTTACCACTTGTGCTTATTGAAAAGTGTGCATACGACGTAAAAGATCAGCAAATCTTTTGATGCATCTTGATGACCCAGTGAGTCGCAAAAGGTCACGTACGGTTGTAGAGAGTTTGAAGGGCATGAAAGCTGAAAAATCTCCCAGGAGGCTCTAGTCCCATATCCTCCTTTGCTCACTTGATCAGCCCTTCCTAATCAAAATCCTTAGGTTTATCCTTCATCACATGGAAAGTTTCCTTTTGCTTCGGCTGTAGAATTTCAAATACAACTCAAGATTTTCTTTTCGCAGTTTTCGCCCGGAATACTTCGCCACACTCTACGGTCTTGGAATATTTGTTGCGGGATTCTTTGGGCTCCTGGAATACCCACTCTACACTATTACCTACCGATTTTGTGGTTCTGATCCTTTTTGGGTAAGATAGCAACCTTTTATTTGCTTATTATTCATTGATCATTCATTAAATTATGATTGTCCAGCACTTCATGCGTACTACTTGATTTTATCACACCTATCCTTGTTTGTAAGATTCCTTTATATATGGTAAGATTCCTGCTTTGCTAGGCTGGTGCGTTTTGTTATTTAGCACACGTGCGATTTCTCAAGTTTTTACTGCAATTATTGATGTTCATTCCAAACCATCGTGAGATCTGTTGACAAGAATGCAATCATAAGCAAAAACGTCTTGAGCACCATTACGAGACTTTGTTTACTCGCCATCCTGTAGCCAATACAATAAACAACAGCTTAACTATTTTACTCTCTAAATTTTCTATCCGGGGTGAAATTTCAAACCGGGTTTGAGTTTCTCGTTCAAGATGAATTCTGAGCTCAATATCTAATGTCTCTGACTCACCCTTCTAACGATGTGTCTTCTTTCAGGTGAATTTGGTCTTGCTGTTCTTGGTTTTATTCACAAATATTTTTCCATTCTATCTATTATACCACTGCAGAATCATGAAGAACTCTATTTATACATCGTTAGTTAAATTTGACAAAGCTAGTAATGGAATTTTTGTAAAGGTTTGAAGTTCGTGTTGTACAAATCATTGAATAAAAACACCACGCTTTATAGTGGGAATAAAATCGAAAAAGCAACGCAACTTGTTTCTTAAATTAATTGATTGTACAAGTCGTAAATATAATAATTGATCTTTTAGTAAAATAACCCACGCTGTGTATCATTCTTCAATTTAGAAGCCATATAGCTCTGCACTGCAGTTATCATTGATTTGGATAATAGTTGCAATCTATCCCTTACTTGATCCTAATCGTTATTTTTTCATTAAAAATTGGCATAAAATGCAAACGAAATTATCTGTCTTACTACGACTATAGTTTTTTGACATTGTGTCTATCGATCATGTAAACTAGGCTATCTAAGTTGATAGCATCTACTTTTAAAGAAGATGTTAATACTGAACATGCCAATATGACCAACTAAGAACAACAAAGTGCTATTCCTTTTTTATACAAGTTGCAAGTTACAACAAGTTGCAAGATACAACAAGTTGCAAGCTACAACAAGTTGCAAACTACAACAAGTTGCAAGCTACAAAAAGTTGCAAACTACAACAAGTTGCAAGCTACAAAAAGTTGCAAACTACAACAAGTTGCAAGCTACAATAAATTGCAAGCTACAACAAGTTGCAAGCTATAACAAGTTGCAAACTACAACAAGTTGCAAGCTACAAAAAGTGGCAAACCACAACAAGTTGCAAGCTACAAAAAGTTGCAAACTACAACAAGTTGCAAGCTACAACAAGTTGCAAACTACAACAAGTTGCAAGCTACAACAAGTTGCAAACTACAACAAGTTGCAAGCTACAACAAGTTGCAAACTACAACAAGTTGCAAGCTACAACAAGTTGCAAACTACAACAAGTTGCAAGCTACAACAAGTTGCAAACTACAACAAGTTGCAAGCTACAACAAGTTGCAAACTACAATAAGTTGCAAGCTACAACAAGTTGCAATCTACAAAAAGTTGCAAGCTACAAAAAGTTGCAACAAGTTGCAAGCTACAACAAGTTTGTCCAAATGTCGACGACAAAAAACGTAACGATTACATTAAAACAAGGCCTTACACATTCATGCAGAAGGGTCAATGTTACACTGTCAATATTATAAAAAAATCCCATATTTCTGCATCATTGTTTCGATTTTGTGTTTATTGACATTTCTAAGAAGATTTTTCCACAAATTTCCAGCCCAAAACTAAGAGGCCGTGCGAAAAAGCTAACATCAAGATTTCGGCTGTCCTGTTAAACTTCAGGTCTTAAACGGCCTCTCCATCCAGCCAAAATATCTTACTTCCTTTTATTGGTTTAAAATATCGTTTCTGTTGCCCACACAATGTAAAACTCTATTCGTTGATAAAATTATGATTATCCATCAAGTTCTACCGCTCAGAAGTCACCCCTTTCAAGAAAGGTTCATAAAAGACGAGTCGATTTGGTGACACAGCTACAATCATTGCCAAAATTACTTGGAACACCTAACACTTTGGGCTGTGCTTTTCTATTTTTTATTTGTTTTCTTGAATACTACCACTTCCGCCCCCCTTTCCCCCTAAAACAATGTTGAAAGTATAGAAAAATATCAAACAATCCACAAGAAAAAGAGTACTCCATAACCCTTCTCTTTCGAACTGTAAGAAGGTCTCGTCTATTGCTGCATATTACGTTAAACAGAATAGCAACACGGAAAGATAAATATTCTTGCTAACAAGGAGGAGCTGAGTCACATGCTTCAGTTAAAGAACTTTATTTAAAAGCTGTTGAAAAACCCCATAGGGGAGGGGGGTACTGCTATTATGGTCTGACAGGGGAGTCCGGTCAGGGTCAAAGAGGGCCAGCGCTAAAATTTTAGAAAATTGCCCTCAAATGGTAATACTTTTTGACAAAACCCCTCAAACAGTAGCATAAAAACCGAAACTATTTTCTTGGTAGCATCCACTTCTTTGAGCATCCACTTCCTGGTCCTTTTTTGACAAATTTCTTCATATTTGATTGTTGTTGTTTTGGGAAAGATAAATCTTGTTCATTATCTATAACAAATCGCAAGCTTCATCAGTTCAGATGTTATGGAAAATGGACTAGACCCCTGTCAGGCCTTAATGGGAGCACCCCCCCCCCCCCGGATTGAAAACATGTTGAACTAAAGCGAAGTCCTAAAAACATGCATATCAAAATATCTTGGGATCCCGTTTGATCAGAGGCCCTTAGTTATCGACCCAATAAGTTAACCTAAATTGCGTTACGCCATTACCTTTTCCCCCTATAACTAATATTTCTTTGACTTCATGGTAAACAAAGATGGCATCAAATGTGTCCAAACAGGTTATACTTATCTGCAAAATGAGTTCAACGTTTTTGGTTGCCTGATTTTTTGATTAAACGCTCCCTCGAATAAGGGCCTCATCGAATAGGTGCTTCCCGAAGAGGCCAAGGTTCCAAATAAGCCCAACCCCCTCGAATAAGAAAGCTCAATAATAATCAAACATATATTTAGTTAAAAGAACTGAAAGATAAAATAAAATGCAAAGAGTTATTTAGGACAATATATGTACTATATTACATATTACAATATATGTACTATATTACTATATTGCCGGTCCGCTCCGCTAGGTAACATTGTATCTGATAAGAGGAGCTGGGGAGGAGCTTCTCGAATTGTTGACAAAGTCTTTTATACAAAGAGATCTTCAATCATGACAATATTCTGCATGCAGCTTTTTGTTGGCAGAGCCGTCAGCATTGGAATCAGTGGCGTACCCAAGGGGGGGAATAGGAGGGTCGGGACCCCCCACTTTTCTAAAATATGATCCTCGAGATTTGTCCAAAAACGATGTAAAATTCATTGAGGGGGGGGGGGCAGTATACTGTATGCTTGTGTCAATAACAATTGTAAGATACTTTGCTATTCAACGAAGCTAACATGAATCAAAAAATGGGGGGAAATTTTGCAAAAATGGCATCTCCCCGCATTTGCGAGTGTTTGAAGGGCGTGGTCCAGAAAATTTTCAGGGGGCTGCGCCCCAGACCCCCCCCCATTACATCAGCCCTGGGTACGCCACTGATTGGAATATCTGAATATTGGAGACTTTTGGTACCGGAAACCAAGACTTTCTGCTAGTAAAAAAGTAAGCAATCCAAGTAAGCAATCACACCAGTGGCTGCCTGGTAGGGGGGCCGGGGGCCCCCCAGCTGACTTTTTCAAAGGAGCGCCAAAGCTTGAATAGGGCGCCGAAAACTCGAAAAAAGTTTGATACGTCCGATTTGTCTGATAATTAGGTCTCTAGGAGGTCAGCGGAGACAAAGAAGACGCCATAAAATTCAAAACTTCATTAGGGCGCACGCCGCCATACCCCCTAGAACGGTCTCATTCAAAGGGCACGTCTTTTTGACCCCTTCAGTACTGTATTATCCAGACAAAACATTTGTTCTGTTCGCTGGGGCGAAAAAATTAATCAATTTTTTAGAGGATTGTCAGGAAACTAACAGTTAAATTCTTTTGTGTGAAGAACACAGCATTTATAGTGCACAAAGACTGTGTTTAAGGTGTCCGGACCCATGCCCCCCAGGGAAAATTTTGATTTTTAATGAGTCTCTTTGGCTCTGCTGGCCTTCAGAGACCTAATTAACAGACAATTTGGTTGTTTAATTGCTTCATCCTAGATTAGTCCATATGTTATATCTCAAGTCACTTCCACAAACGTACAGTTTTAAGTGCACAAGATAACAAGAAATAACGCTAAAAAGTGCATTCAAAGCTAAAACATAATGAAACCAGCTCTTATTAGGTTTTTTCATAAAGGATAAATTAAACAGATGAATCAATGTATGCCTTTCATAAATCAATGTATGTCTTTTAACTCAAACCGTTGACTTCATGTTTCTAACGCGTAGATGCTTCAGACTTCTTTTTAAAGAGGCATACATTGATTTTGACAAGAAAGTTGGGTCGGGCCTAATTTTCTTAACGGTTGCGTTTTGTTTGGCCTTTAATAATATTTCTTTAAAGTTCGATGGAATATTTACTTCATTTTGTATCAAATGACATGATGAATTCAAAGATATGTTAGAAACGCATTTTCTAGCCTTATGAGTAACTGGAATCTTCCACTTATTGGCTAGGACCGACTCTTTCCATTATTTGTTACCCTTACACTCCCCTAATTTACCCCTTGACTGTTAGTTGAGTTGTATGCATGTTTTGAGCTTGTTTAGCTGCCCCAAATTACAAGTTCAGCAAAGCAAAGGTAAATGTTTTATCTGGCGCTTTGGATTCCCCTCCAAGGTGCCAAATGAACACAACAGTTACAAAGAGAACAAAACCCTCATTCTACCACATCGTAGGGTCTCTTGAAAGTTCCCCAAACATGTTCTTGACACATTTTATTTAGTTCATCTATTTGGATTGGCTTCTAAGAGACAGTTAATTTTGTACGTGAGTCGGTCCAACTTGTCCTGACACCCCTATGAAAAATTATTTTATTTGCGTCCCTGTGCTCATGTGGGGGTCAGTAGATTTTGTCTCTTTGCTTCATTTCTCATGGAAGGGCCAATTTGTCTCGACGATACAACGATAGGATGGATTCTTTTCCCTATTACAAAGTAATGAAATCCATTATAAGACTGGAATTAATCAAATGCACTAAAAGCATGCCTAAAAATAGCAGAATTTTTAAACGATTTCAAGAAAATGACTGCAAGAAATATTTTGAAATGTATTTTAAGCTTATCTAAAGGGCGTGGTCGCAAAAAATTTCACCGATCACGCAATCACGCCAAAATACCTGGTAACTCCTTGGCACAACTCTTTTTGGGTATCAGTTCCTTGTGCAAAATTTATTGTTGATTTTTTCAGTAGATTTCTTGAATTTTGCAAATTGTCGTCCTTTTAAATTCCCCCCTCCTCACCCCCAAAAAAGTGCTGAAATTAAAAATCGGCCTGTCAGTAATCGTTTCCTGGGCTTATTATTTACTCGAAGCGATGCGGCTCAACCGCTACGAAGGAAAGCCTAAAGCCTCATTTCAGGGTGCCCTGTGGTTTTGTTGAGTAAGTTGCTGAAAGTTTTAGCGTGTGTAATTGTAAGTGGGAGAAAAGTTAGCAAAAATCTCAAGAAATAACCTTAAGCTCGTTAAAAGGGCATTTGTATTTCTTTCATACGAAGAGATTGATAAAAGCGTCGTCGGAAAAGCGAATTTATCGCTTTGATGTAGTCGAACATTCCATTGTTACCCATTAGGACAGTTCAGTTTAGGGAACCAGAAGACGGTTAGTTTAAACGTTTGAGTACTTGTCTGGATAAAAGCCGAAAGAACAAAAATGTCAGATTGCAGCGACCTCGATCGGTAAGTGAAGTCAGGTATTGTTATTTTATATACGGTAAAGGCGCCAGGCTTAGACTTTGATTTAGTACACATTCTGAACACTTCCCATTGCGCAAGGCCAATTTACTCATTGCTATTTTAAAAGGAAACGTTGTTTTGAGCCAAAGAAGGTTGTGTGTTTTGACAGACTCCCAATAGAGGTATACTCTCTGCCAAGCTCTTGCATTTTTCTAAAAATTGTTTGTTCATTTAAGTTCTTCAAAAGAAACCCTCTGGACTGGATCCCCTAATATCGTCATTTTCCAAAAAGGCTTAGAAGCAATTACCCCTTTTTCCCCTTTACTTTGCCCTATTCTCTACATTGTCGAATTAACAAATACTTTTCATCTTTCTTAACATGATTTGACTGTTAAGGGGATAGGGGGTTAAGCTGAAATCAATTAGAAGTTTTGCTTTGGGACAAAATTTTAATGATTAATTTTTATTTGATATCATAAAAAACCATTTGCAGCACCAATTTTTGCTAGTTGATGGACCAAACCTAACAATTGCTTTTCAAAGAATTGCCTTCAAATCTATCTTTAGGCCAACATAAAGGCTGCCTTAGCTCCTCGAAACAAAAGGCCATTTGGTCGCTGTTTACCCTTTCTCAAAGCACAAAATATCCCTCTAGTGTATACAGGCCTTTGCCAAAATTAATACTTTATGTATTTGTAATAAAAAGTTTTGTAATTTTCTATAACTTCTTAATGACAAACAGATTTGGTTCATCATTTGTAGGCAGATTGAACAACTGAGAAGATGTGAAATTATAAAAGAAAGTGAAGTTAAAGCTCTTTGTGCCAAGGCAAGGTATCCTGTCCAGTGTCATTTTAACGTTATGCTCATAGTTAAGAACTACTCAATACAATTTATGAGTAGGTTTAAGCATGTCAAGAATTTTAACATCTGGCAATTATCACCAGTCTCTTGTCAGTGTTAATCTTATTGAAATGTCAAGATTTGCTCCCTAGCAAGTTTGTTAACAGATTTAAGATATTTCAGTTAAGAGAAAATTTTGTGTTACTAAATAGGTATGGCATTCCTTTAATGTTGATTTTGCAAAGGAGGCAGACAATAACATTATGATTAAGTTTCAAAGGGTCCTCAGATAAAGCAAGAAGAAAATTTTCCCAATCCCCTATATGTTATTCTCTACTCTACATAAATTGCTTATCTGCAAACATTGATTGTCTTAAAAAATTTTATTCCCATTTCTTTATGAAGTTGAATTATCAATTTTGTAAAACCTGACCATGAGAAAAACTGGGAAAAGCTCTTTCCACATTAGCAAAGGTTAGACAAAGCAGCAAGTTGAAAAGCTTTTTACATTTTGGCAAAGACTGCATGAAATCAGCAATTGCTGGGAAATATACATTTGTTATCGCATATTTACCAGTGTCATGGACTTCCTGAAAGACAAAATGAGGGATTAGCCAAAAGTTGTCAATCCAGCAGGGAAAATTTTTGCATCTTGCGTAGCTGTTTAACAGCTATTGTTAGAAGACAAGGACATAGGTACAAACTTCATGGTTGCCTAGGGGCTTGAGCCCCCTGCACCCCTGACAGGTCTGTGAAGCATAGCAGAATTTGGCTAACAACATCCAACATATTTTCTCAGTTTATAAGATGGTAGATCAAAGGAGGTGTTATTAGGACTCTATCAGGCCTTTCCCGGAGACAAGGGCTATAGCTGCGCTCATGCGAACCCTAGGGGGAAAAGTTTTGCAAGGGTTTTTTTCTGTCCATGCAGTTGTTTATAACAACGCTCTCATTCAATCCACTTTGTCTCACTCTCCAATTTTTTAACTACTTACCGCTATCAGGGTATTAAAAAATAATGTCGTGTCAAAGAGATATATGGTTTTTATAAATATTGTTATAAAAAGGAAATTCCGTTTTTTTGACATCAAATGTTAACAAACAATAGTGTTATCTGTTAAAGCTAGCAATAGACAAGGAAATGATTGTGCAGGAAAGGAACCAGAGATAACGTAAAATAGCAAGAATGAGAATTGTTACACAATACTGTCAAGTTTAATGCAAATCAACTTAATCTTAGATAACCCTTAAAATAGCATCGTACAGCTCTTTATCTTTTTGAATAAAGATGAGTTTCATTGGATACTACTCAATAAATCTGTGTTTCTACAAAAAACGTTGCCATTTTGCAAAAAACCAGGTATCTCTTTTGTCATTTTAAGGAGTAGTAATGCACATAAAACAACTGTCTTAAGATAAATCATCTATACAAGTAGGCAAGGTAATATATTTTTTGACTTGACTATACTCAAATATAAATAGATAAACAACAAATTCTACAAGGGCTAAATAGCCCACGCAGCCAAACCAGCAGGGGTCTTTTTTAGCCCGCGTGCTTTTTATTCCCAAAGAGGCCTGATTCTATGTGGGCCCCTGTCCTTTGATTAACCATATGTGCCCCAGTTTTAAACATCTATATCTGGTTTTATTACCTCTTTTTTACTTTTTTTATTCTTTATATATTTTTTCTTTTAATCAAGGGAAATTCTTATAGAAGAAGGAAATGTTCAGAAAGTTGATTCTCCTGTCACAGTAAGTTTTCCCATTCTTCAGAGACATTTTTATTTTCTGATGCATGTGTAATGCCTGATGTTTATATATTTGTATGTATTTTGTATCACAAGTGTCTTGTTGTTTCCATTTCCATTTGTTATGAATTATATTGGCTCATAACATCAACATCATTCATCATAAACTTACTTTTAATTTCATGTCAACAGGTTTGTGGTGACATCCATGGGCAGTTTTATGACTTAAAAGAATTATTCAAGGTATGTGCTAGTTAATAATGTTTTATCCAATTTTCCTTCCTTTATTGTAACAAAACCATTTGAAGTATTCAACCGAAGTATCCCTTTATTTCCAACTGACAATTTTTTCACCCTTTCATATTTTAATCTTTACACCAAGACTAAAGAGATTCTTGACCTAAAGAATGAGCTGGTTGTCACTTCCATGAATAAAAAATGAGTTCAAATCAGCTCATTTAGTCAAAAAGATATTTCCAACATATCAATTATTTATGTTTTGATTATCTCTTTTGTCATGAAATATTGAATTGAAAAGTAAGAGAATAAACCCAGTAAGCTGGATTTAGAGAAATGGGCATAAAGAGTTTAATTAAAACTGTGAACTTGACAATTTTTGTTGTGCTTCAATTTTTTTTTAATCTTCTGATTATTTTTTGGGTTATTAACTGGTAATGTAGATTTAAATTGGATGTGTTAAGGTTGCTTTGTCTTTTTGATGATTAATGTTGTTCAAAGAGGGACGAATACTCGTAATATATATTTTTTCTTCCCAACTCAATGATCTTTGCAAAGTGCAAATGATAACTTTCACAATGACAACTAAATTGTTTTATTATTATGCCCATTTTTAAGCGGAGTTATGGAAATTGGCTATGGCAAGTCAATGATGCATCACACATAAAGCTTAACAAATCCTATAATTGGACATTTGTTAACATTGTTTAGAAATAAAACATCTTTGACACATATATTGCTTTTCCTAAAAAATATATTAGTTTGATGATGAAGATCTATTTAAAGATACAAGGAAAAAACTTAATTTCTTTGGAGCACTTAACTTTCAGAACTTATACAAAAAAGAAGTGAAATTTGAAGGTAGTTGAAACATAAGGAAGATTGATCAGTTCGTTTAAAATGTGGTTATGAATGAGACCAGTCTGAGTAAGAATGAGTAAGCTGCACAGAAAATTGTGTGACAGGACAGGCAGGAGTGGGTGTGGAAACAATTGGTTTGGGAGTCAGGAAATTTTTGGAAACCTCTTACAATATGTTTAGCATGGTCTTGGAAACAAATTTAGTTAAAGGCCAAAGAAGAGGAGGCAGTTGTTTAAAGTAGATTGAGCCTGTGCAAGTGAATGAAAAATGGTAAGCATCCTCAGGTCGAAAAATGGCAAGCATCTTTCCAAAATCAATTGTATACCATTGAAGGTTGGAGCTATGTTCGATCATCATTGCTATCTCCACAATTTGAATATTTCAGTTATATGATTATACAATTTAGTTGTGTCTCATACTGGAAAAAAAGCCAACTATGAATCACTGAAGCGTGAATTTTTACAATTTAAAGTGAGGGACAGGAGAATAACACAAGCAATTTTATGCTGTGCTGCAAGATTCTTGGCTTCCATCAAAGACAGTGTAGCAAACTCTTTTAATTGTCAGTCGTCAAAGGCAATTTTGATTACCTTACAGTTGCCAACTTGCAGGATGAAAGTCAATTTTAACTCGTTCATCTGATTCCAATTTCTTCCTTTTTATTATTTTTTTCTATTTTAAAAATGTATAAAATTTTCACAAAGCAACCATTCAATACAACAAAAATGAAATATTTATTTTGACTTTAATTTTGATAATTTTCTGCTTCTAAGATGTTGCATATAGTTATGGTGCTAGTTAGATGGCATTTTCTTAGCGAAGTAAAAAACTGTTAAAGAAAGTGCAGTCACAGCTATTTTTTTTTCAACAGAATATATAGAGAGACAACAATGCAATTTCCCTATCATTGCTTTATTTTCAATGTTTCCCTCTTACCTGATTCCTTTTTTCCTTATTCATAAAACCTTGTCATGTTGTTAAATCCACACGATTTATAAACACTCTTGACCAGAATACAGATCCCTTGGCTTGATAAATCATTCCACACACGTGAATACAAAACTATAGCTTGCCAATTATCGATTTGTTTACACTGATCTAGTATTTTGGTTCGGAGCTGGTTATCCCATGTTCTTGCAATTTTTTAGGTTGGCGGCGATGTTCCTGACACAAACTACCTATTTTTGGGTGATTTCGTGGATAGAGGATTCTACAGTGTCGAAACATTTTTGTTACTTTTGGCTTTAAAAGTAAGCCCATCCTTGTGCTGTTTACATTACTACTAAAGTCAAAATCACATTTTTTTGTTCTTTCTCGTTGTTCTATGCGCATGCCAACAAAACTATCAAGCATATGGTTGAAAGCCCTGCACGATAAACTGAAACTTTTTAAGAAACTGGCAGGCGAAGTTTTAAGGATGGTTTGAATATTGAACTAGAAAATCCAATAAATAGGTTCTTCCTAATTGTAGACTTAATGCTATGTTCTTGTAGTTTCAGTGTATGATAATTAAAGATTCAAAGGGACTTAGAGATTGTTTTTAGTGGGTCTATTGTAAGTTTCCTAAAATGGAAGACAATTTAATTGGCGGTGGAAAACTCTGTTAAATTAGGTGAGAAAGAAAAATGCGATTCTTTAAAAGCCGTTTACACAGTCACTTTAAACAGTCAATTTTGAAAGTCTAGGGTTTAATTCTGTTGAACATAAAAAATTTTCCTAGAAGCCTACTTGCTGAGTTTGTAACTATTTTATGAAAGAACATTACTCTTCTTTAAATTTTGAACATATGTTTCTTGCATTTCTCTGGTTTTAAATTGTTTGCTGATAACCTAAGCGGGTTTGGTTTGATTTTTGAAATGTAAATGAAAAAATAAAAAGGTGTTTTTCAGCACCAGGAATTTCATTCATTAACGTTCTATTCACTCGTTTTTAGGTCAGATACCCCGACAGAATAACGCTGATTCGTGGAAATCACGAAAGCAGACAAATCACGCAGGTAAGCATCTAAGAAACGATTGTAGAATATTCACTTTATATTCCATAGCTTGGCGTGTTTCGTGAAGAAAGACCTAGCATTCAACCAGCGAAGGGGGGGGGGGGTAGGATACTGAAGCTGATCGATTCTTGTATCTTGAAAAGCTTAGTCCAGTGAACTGCTTCGAAGCGAATGATTGTTTGTCTCCCCAATCGCTTAAAGATATTTTTGCGATACCCCAATGTTTTTCAATAGAACCACACAAGTGTTTGCAGCCATATAGATTTTGTTAGAATGATAACTGGTAGCATACTGATACGCGCCTTCATTATCACACCTCGTTAAGCAGCTCGTTTTGCAGCTGGAAAGTTATTGTCTCATGGCTTACCATTCTTTGTGTTGAGGCACAGTGAAAGCAAGATTTCAGGGTTGGAAATCCTCTAAAAATTCTTTTATTTCTGAAAATAAGATTAAATGAGGTCCAAATTATACTCAAGTATCGAACTTCTGATAAAAGGTTAGGCACTCACCTCCCTGCCATCTCCCCTTCCCTGTAATCTCCTCTTCCCTGCTAGCTCTTCTTCCCTGCCAGCTCTTCTTCCCTGCCAGCTCCTCTTCCCTGTCACCTCCCCTTCCCTACCACCCCCCTTCCCTTTCAGCTTCCCTTCCCTGCCAGCTACCCTTCCCTGCCACCTCCCCTTCCCTGTCAGCTTCCCTTCCCTGCCAGCTCCCCCTCCCGACCAGCTCCTCTTCCCTGCAAGCTCCCCCTCCCAAGCCAGCTCCCCCTCCCAAGCCAGCTCCCCCTCCCAAGCCAGCTCCCCCTCCGAACTTTGGACGTGCACTTATTTTGAACCCATTTCATTAAAATATGCAGCTACCTTGCCCGTGAAAGGGGCCTCAAGACGTCTCTGAAATCAGGGTTTCTAAGAGAAGCAAGAGGCAGTGCTTCAATTATCATTTGCAAGAGGCAGTTTTTCAATCTTTCGCAGACAGATCAACAGCTGAAAACTTTTTTATGAATACTATACCCATTTTACTTGAATAGCGTATTTACAGAGTCATGTTGTTCTCCAGGTTTATGGTTTTTACGATGAATGTGTCAGAAAATACGGATCAGTAACAGTGTGGAGATACTGCACCGAAGTGTTCGATTTTCTAAGTTTGTCTGCAATCATCGACGACCGAGTAAGTCGAAATCTATTCACCTGTTATTAGTGCTTCTAAAATCCTTTTGTATTCTTTGAAAAACCGTGGTAAGCAATTGAGAGCTTCAAGTAAAAAACGACAGGTATTTCGATTGCTTTGAAGTAATTATTCGTCTGATCCTATGTTTGGAAGTTGGAGGTTGCTTGCTCCGTGAATAATGCTTGAAGCTATAGCCACAATAGTGCGTGATTGGGTCCTATGTCTCATAGTACCATCGTTTAGCTATTATTCTATGATTATTGATTTTTTTGTATGGTATTGTATGGTATCAACATCGCTTAAGATCGGTTCTAGAAGATGGGCTGTATGTTGTGGAAGAGGATGCAATACACCACTAAGGAGATGTAAATTGTTCGTTAGTATAAAACTGGGAACTGGTCGCTTTGTTTGTCGTCAAGTATTGTTCTATCCTTGGTCCCTTCTCATCGTTAAAGTATGAGTCCTTATGTCCTTGGCCTCTTCTTTGTCGTTAAAGTACGGGACTTTCTGTCCTTGACTCCTTCAGTGCTAAAGTGGCACCCAGCTCAACAATACATCTGTCCACATTGGAATCTTACTTTTCAGACAACTTGCAAGTGGAAGTCTTCACTTTCATATAGACCCATTTCTACTAATGTCGTTGTATTATAGCAGTTCTTCGAAGCATTATGAACAATGTTAGCAATGCTCAACGTGATTGGGAAATTTGCGGTCAAACCCCCTATACTGTGTTATCGTCAGTCGTTTTCAGCATATGGTTTCCCTATTTTTTTTATGTACACGAGTTTATCCTAGTGCATTTTCATCAACCTCAATATCTTGAGTAATTGTAGGGGCGGACACTTGGTCAAATATTAGGAGGGGACAAGCCTATTGTTTGATGATGACATCACATGCTCACTTTTTTTAAGAACAAAAGACTATTGTCCTCCAAAATATTGTGGGCGACGGCCCCCGCTTGCCTCCCCCCAGGTGTTCGCCACTAAGTAATTGCCATTCTTCAGTTCTGAAAGTCGTCCCTCCAACTCATTGCTACAAAGAAACGGATTGACTCGTTGATCATGCAAGTCATGATGTTTCGAATGACGTCATTTTGCGGCTTACCAATTCGTATTCGTTATCTATCACAGTAATATTTGTTTCTCTAAGTGCTACCTTTGCAAAGAATTAGTGTTATGTTGACCGGTTTTGCTACCCATACTCGCATCCTATGTGTCCTCTATTTTACTGTTGACATGACAAACCTTATAACGCTAGAATAGAAAAACCGATGTTTTTATGCCTGCTTTGTGGATTTGTCCAGAATTAGGTTTTCTGACGGTTTTTGACCAAATTCACGATATTGATCTGAGAAATGTTTGTCTATTTCTCTCATTTTTTATATTGTTGCTTTCCAGATATTTTGTGTACATGGCGGTCTATCTCCTTCGATCACAACTCTAGACCAGGTTTGACTATTTAAAATTCACTTTTTAATCTGGCAGTATCAAATTGTAATGAGAAATCAATCTTAGTAGGTGAATGTGCAAATGTGCCATTACAGAATTTCTATGCTCGATGATTTTGTAATCCTTTAAAATCTCAACCAAAAGCAATATAGAAAATACAGCAACTGTTGAATATGGCTTAGATCTAGGCGTCGGCGTTCAGAATTGCTGTTTGAGCTCTAAAGATTGTTAATTGGAAGACACTGACAGAACGTTGAATCCCAGTTGTCATTCTACGCTTTTGTGACATCTGTCCTTCTTGGTGCAAAGCCCTTCTCAAGCAGGCTCTAGGGTAAGGATAAGATGCCAGAGACAGACCCTTCCTTCATTGTATGATATGAATAAAATGGTTCAGTCATAAAAGCTATAAGAAATATTTACGATTTTTACAGCCTTCAAGTCCGGTAAAAATAAATTATCTGTTATTTCTTGAACCGTGTAAAAAGTAGTAGCAACTTAGCTTGTATTCCTAATGCTCTGTCAATGTTGCTGTTTTTGTTTGGTTGCCGGTTTTTAAAGTAATTACACGATACATATGTGGCTTTTTATTCTAGATTCAATTCAGATGGGTTTTAGAAGTTTAAAAAATTTCTCGCGTTTTAGATTCGAACAATCGACAGAAAGCAAGAGGTTCCCCATGATGGTCCTATGTGCGACCTTCTCTGGTCAGACCCGGAAGGTAATTATGAAATATTCGGGCCTGCTTATTTTCGTTATTGTTGCAATCTCAACATAAGCAATAGCCTTAACCTACTTGGATTCCAGTAAGCAGAAAGGTAACGCTTTCCAATGAATGAATCCACCCCCTTTCTCACAGACAAACAGCACCCACAATTATGATTAACTTCAGTGCGCATGCTCTTGATTTGAGTGACAGAATGCTCTTTTGTTTACGTTGAGAAAGATTTTGGTCTTGTAATTCTAACAATAATCTGATAATAATTTCTACTAATAATCTCAGCCATTTTTTCAGATACTCAAGGCTGGGGTGTTAGCCCAAGAGGAGCTGGCTATCTATTTGGCAGTGATGTCGTTGCACAGGTACGGTCTCACTTTAGTTTTTTCACTTCGAGGCTTGGAAAGTGAACTTTTATCGTCTTAGAAATGATTGTTCATTTGCTTTTTACTGTACCTATATATCTGATCGAAAGAAGTTGTATTGACAGAAATTATAGAAGCGAGGGGTCTAAAGGGCTTGAGCAACCTATATACCAGAAACAATAACAAATAATTTTGCTTTTATTCTTTTGCCACCGAAAAACTTTTAAGCCCCCCATTCCCCTGTCCAAAATTTGCTATGCGGTCCCAGCTTAATCAATGGCCAACGAATGTTTCTGAGCTGAAGAACACGCCTGTTCGAATTTCTGCTTAATAATGAATATCGTCATCATGGCTATAATATTCTGGGTCTGTTGATTTAAAAATCATTGGTTATCTCAATAGACGAGTTACATTAATTTCAACTCAATCGACCTTCCTTATGATGTCATATTACTAACACTGCTACTACAGATTTAATTTTACAAGCCCTGAATTTTTTCAGTAAGATGAATAAGGTTGTATTTTCCTATATGCACTTTGCAAAAGAAATTCACACATAATGTTTGATGGTAGTGGTAACTCGGCTGACGGAGACAACTTTTTTGCAGTTCAACGCCACAAACAACATCGACTTGATATGCCGTGCTCATCAGCTTGTGATGGAAGGCTACAAGTGGCATTTTAACGAAACTGTTTTAACTGTATGGTCAGCGCCAAACTACTGCTATAGGTAAGACTACCATTTAAAAAAGCATTCCTTCAATTTTTCAAGATTTTTGCTTTGTTTACCAACTATAAAGGGTTTAGCTGGACGACTCCTCTGCCTACCAAATAACGATCAAATTATTCAGTTTTTAGTCGTTTTTCAAAACTTTTTGGCTTTATCAAACGTGTGCTCAAAAGGCCGCCTTGTAAGCATAATCGTCGTGCGTTTGCACAACTGTTTGATATCTTAATCATTTGAGCTGTTAACGAATAAAATACATTCTTCTATTTTCTAGATGCGGTAACGTTGCGGCCATACTAGAACTCGATGAACACCTGAACAAGGATTTCACAATTTTTGAAGCCGCTCCTCAGGTATATTTGTCCACATTTTCGCTTGGCTATTTAGTTTGTATTTTTGTAGCATTATAGGCTATTTCTGAAAGTCGATGATTTTGTGTGACCACACGATCAATAAAAAGCATTAAACCCAGTTCATTGTTTTCCGTAAGGCAGGTCTCCCAGGTGGCATTGCAAGTTGAAGCAAATGAAGCAAATTTTATGTTTAGAGTTCTGTGCTTATCTGTTGCAATCGCTATTGCTTTTCTTCAAATCAAGCTGCATTTTGGCACGCATAAACTATCAAAATTTTGGGCCCTGGTAAGACAGGGGTTGGATGTAAAGCAGTACGTACGTGGATCTACTGCCCTGTTGATAGTGTTGTCAGGTACATAGTTCTAAAGTCAGACACAGGGGGGAGGGGGGAGGATAGAAAAGATGCCAGAAATATATCTTTGAGAAATTATATTCCCGTGAATTTCTTGTTAAGAAGCATGGTTTGATGTTGCTTTGCTGGTTTCGTTACCGTTAGGCTTTATATGGTTGTGAAAATTACCGTTAGGCTTTATATGGGTGTGAGACGATTTAATGATGTATAATTTAAAAGAGAAAACTGCTACTTTCAATGCTACTATTTACAAAATTGTCTTAACGTAAGATGAATTCGATATGGTGCTGCAAGACATTTTCTACTCTAGATAGCAAAAACAACTCCGTTCTCATTTTTCAATTGTCTTTCTTTATTTTTCAAAGGAGGTTCGAGGTATTCCTGCGAAAAGACCGCAAGCCGATTACTTTTTATAGAAAGGTAGGCAGAGGCATCGAAGATGATAAAGTGAAGGTTATGCTATTACAAAATGGTGTTATTTCTCTGCTTACTTTGTATTTCCATTGCAAGCGATATAAGAAGGCTCACTTTCCAATTTTCCGTTTTAACAGGACTCGAGTGATCGTTTTTGTTCACGTAAATTACCCCAAAGGCCGTTTCCCACCACAATTACCTGCCAGCAACGATAGCAATCGACGAAGAGTTAAATGAACTTATGAATAAATATGCAAAGAAACTGCGCTTCTCACAATTCAATTTCATCTTTAGATCCTACAAAATATGACTAAACAATGTAAATTTGGATTGTTGCTTCAGGCTTATCTTATAGTTCAAGAAAGTTTTTTTCTCACTTGTATTACAATGTCTTATTTTTGCAAATTTTCTTTTTAACTTTGAGTATGTTAGTGACATTAAAATATTCTTTAAAATATGATTTGGAAAGTTATTCGTGTTTTAATCATGTTTCAATCCATGGAATGAGTGAGAATATATCCTAGAGCAGATTTCAAATGTAGTGCTTTACAAACTATCTGTTGATTGGCTGTCTGACGTTTAAGTAGTTATAAGAGTGGGGCAAAAAGGTTATTTGCTCTTGGGGCCTGGAAGGGTGCAGTTGTAAGGCAAAAGGTAGCTCTTCGTACCACAGATACTTGTGAAGTCCAAAACTTGATGTGGTTTCGCGAGTATCGAAGTGATGACGTCACAAAAACCTATTTTTAAAATGTTTCACTTTTGATCCTTCTGATCCCTGGTACTCTACACGTTTGCCCGTAGACATCATCAACATAGGCTACTGCTGTTTATTGGTCGTTTTCTAAATCTGCCTTAGACGCGTTGAGTTTTGCTAGCGACGCTGGTCAAACAACAAACAAGCTGGGTACTGTTAATTTTTTCAAGGCCCCCTCTTTCAATCTGATATTGGAGAATGATCACTTCATTTACTTTGTAGCAATCTGTCGTCATTAGAAAAACTTCGTATTCGTGCAATGTTTTCGTATGTGGGCGCAAGCCTGTGGACAGAATATCAGAGTATCGTGTCAGGTGTATCAGGACATTAAAAAAGGAAGTCCTTGAATTGAAAGGAAATAGCTCTCTCAGAAGACATTTCCACATTCCTTAACTCAGGTCCTGAGGTTTTATTCCGTCACCCTAGGAAGGCCGTTGGTGCATCTGCACAAATCTGCACAAAATTTATTTGAAACACCAAATATAACCTAATGGACTCAAGCTACACAGCAACTTTAAATTCTCGGCAGGGAATGGACAAAAAATATTCACTTTTCCTCACCAGGGAGCTGAAACATCAGTCCTTCCTTGGATACATAAGATCTGAGAAGGGAAGGGAAATATATCTTACTTGTAATGCTACCTTAAAGTAAAACATGAAAAACTGCGAAAAGAACCCTGCAAATCAATAAAGCTAATGAGGTTTCGAAGAAACACACTTTGCTTTTTACCAAAAGGAACGGATGGTCGCCATAAGAGAACAGCATAAAAAAGCTTTCAAATAAAGAACGATTAACTCTACCCAAAGCATTTGAATACACACATCTGAGTCAAGGGACAAAATTTCGTTCCAAACCCCAAGCTACAGAACTCCTATTACTCTATTAATTCCTAGACATCAAAAGCAGCCCAATGAAGGCTAAATAAAAGAATGAAAGCTACGGGGTTTTTTAGCCATCCCCCCCCCCTCCCCCCGCAAATGATTTCCAAAATGTACTTAAAACCATTCAAAAATTGCCCTTTGAACAATTGAAAAATAGGGAAAGACGGAATGAGATTTTTTAGAATTCGTTAGAACATTTGTGTCAACATCGTGCAGAAATTTAATCTTTGTACTAGGAAAGATTATGAATTTTGACGAGTGTTTTTACCTTGCAACGTGAAATGTGTCTGTGAAAAGTGTCATGTGGAAACTATGCATTTAGTCAAAAAAGAAGAAAAAATGCTTATCAAGGTAGAAAATAAAATCTTGAAAGCTGTAACCTTGATGTTGTAATTAAGAAAAAACAAAGTGAAAGGTAATAAGGTGCAATAACTACAAAAAATTTCGTCGCGACAAAAATTCGGACAAATATTTTGCCGAAAGTGACGAAATTTGTCACGACGAAATTTGTTGCATTTGAGATTTTTGAGAATTTGCATAGAAAACTTTTACGTGAGGTCAGGAATCAAATTTATGTATTATTTTCATCTTTTCAATATCAATTACGTCGTTTTCCTCATTTATCACATTTATATTTATAATTTTCTTTATCGTAGACATCGTAATCATAATTTTGTTTTCACCATCGTTTGGTAAAAATAGTTCTAACTCAGTAGCGTAGGGAGGGGAAGGCAAGAGGGAGCGGACGCTCCCTCCCCCCGCCCCCCCCCCCCCCCCCCCCCCCCCCCCCCCCCCCCCCCCCCCCCCCCCCCCCCCCCGATGACAAAGATGTCTTCGAAAAAGGGCATTTTCTGGCGTTCAAAAGAGTATGGACTCCAATTTTCCCTCGCTCAACTCACCTTTGCTCCCCCCGATGATGGATAACATTGCCAAGTAATCAATTTTAGCCGGAATGGTTAAACCGAGCAATGTTTCCGTACGATGAATTCAGATCAAGATAAAAAAAGAAAACAAACTGGTTATGATTCCAAGGTTCTCTCAATCAGTCATATCACTGAAACACCAATCTATATTAAAGCAAACGTCTACTAAACGATATGCATAGTATATTCATGAAACATATTCAATCTTAATTCAGTACACGCGTATGTGTTCCAATTGATGAATCAAACAATCTACATTCCACCAATCAATCGAATCATTCAAGCAATCCATTAAATCATTCAATCATTCAATCATTCAAATTCAATCAAATCCATCCTCCCTGGATGCCTCGATGAATGCCCTTTATATACATCACGGAAATAAACAAAACAATACTCATTATTAACAGCGTGTCTTTCTCGCCGGTTTAGAGACGGTAAGCCTATAGGCCTCGAAAAATGTTGATTTTTTACCATTATGTTTTTGATAAAGATATGCTTAGATTGCAGTGTTTGAGTCAAAAATAGCGCTCCCTTTGTGTTTTAAAGAAATATGGAAAAAAGTGTCCTATGAAATGTGCAAATACCTATGTATGAAATTTTTTAGAGAAAGTAAGCCTATAGGCCTCGAAAAATGTTGATTTTTTACCATTATGTTTTTGATAAAGATATGCTTAGATTGCAGTGTTTGAGTCAAAAATAGCGCTCCCTTTGTGTTTTAAAGAAATATGGAAAAAAGTGTCCTATGAAATGTGCAAATACCTATGTATGAAATTTTTTAGAGAAAGTAAGCCTATAGGCTTGGAAAAATGTTGATTTTTTGCCATAATGTTTTTGATAAAGATATGCTTAGATTGCAGTGTTTGAGTCATTAATAGCGCTCCCTTTGTGTTTTAAAGAAGTATGGAAAAAGTGTCCTATTAAATGTGCAAATACCTATGTATGAAATTTTTTAGAGAAAGTAAGCCTATAGGCTTGGAAAAATGTTGATTTTTTGCCATAATGTTTTTGATAAAGATATGCTTAGATTGCAGTGTTTGAGTCATTAATAGCGCTCCCTTTGTGTTTTAAAGAAGTATGGAAAAAGTGTCCTATTAAATGTGCAAATACCTATGTATGAAATTTTTTAGAGAAAGTAAGCCTATAGGCTTGGAAAAATGTTGATTTTTTGCCATAATGTTTTTGATAAAGATATGCTTAGATTGCAGTGTTTGAGTCATTAATAGAGCTCCCTTTGTGTTTTAAAGAAGTATGGAAAAAGTGTCCTATTAAATGTGCAAATACCTATGTATGAAATTTTTTAGAGAAAGTAAGCCTATAGGCTTGGAAAAATGTTGATTTTTTGCCATAATGTTTTTGATAAAGATATACTTAGATTGCAGTGTTTGAGTCATTAATAGCGCTCCCTTTGTGTTTTAAAGAAGTATGGAAAAAGTGTCCTATTAAATGTGCAAATACCTATGTATGAAATTTTTTAGAGAAAGTAAGCCTATAGGCTTGGAAAAATGTTGATTTTTTGCCATAATTTTTTTGATAAAGATATGCTTAGATTGCAATGTTTAAGTCGAAAAATGGCGCTGTCTGTGTGTTTTAAAAAAGTATGAAAAATGTGTCCTATTAAATGTGCAAATACCTATGTAGGAATTTTTTTTTGAAAAGGTAAGCCTATAGGCTTGGAAAAATGTTGATTTTTTGCAATAATTTTTTTGATCAAGATATGCTTAGATTGCAATGTTCAAGTCGAAAAATAGCGCTGTCTGTGTGTTTTAAAAAAGTATGAAAAAAAAGTGTCCTATGAAATGTGCAAATACCTATGTATGAAATTTTTTTTGAAAAGGTAAGCCTATAGGCTTGGAAAAATCTTGATTTTTTGCCATAATGTTTTTGATAAAATATGCTTAGATCGCAGTGTTTGAGTCAAACAATAGCGCTGTCTGTGTGTTTTAAAAAAGTATGAAAAAAGTGTCCTATTAAATGTGCAAATACCTATGTAGGAATTTATTTTTGAAAAGGTACGCCTATAGGCTTGGAAAAATGTTGATTTTTTGATAAAGATTTGCTTAGATTGCAATGTTTGAGTCAAAAAATAGCGCTCCCTTTGTGTTTTAAAGAAATATGGAAAAAAAGTGTCCTATGAAATGTGCAAATACCTATGTATGAAATTCTTTAGAGAAGGTAAGCCTATAGGCTTGGAAAAATGTTGATTTTTTGCCATAATTTTTTGATAAAGATTTGCTTAGATTGCAATGTTTGAGTCAAAAAATAGCGCTCCCTTTGTGTTTTAAAGAAATATGGAAAAAAGTGTCCTATTAAATGTGCAAATACCTATGTACGAATTTTTTTTTGAAAAGGTAAGCCTATAGGCTTGGAAAAATGTTGATTTTTTGATAAAGATTTGCTTAGATTACAATGTTTGAGTCAAAAAATAGCGCTCCCTTTGTGTTTTAAAGAAATATGGAAAAAAGTGTCCTATGAAATGTGCAAATACCTATGTATGAAATTTTTTAGAGAAAGTAAGCCTATAGGCTTGGAAAAATGTTGATTTTTGCCATAATGTTTTTGATAAAGATATGCTTAGATTGCAGTGTTTGAGTCTTAAATAGCGCTCCCTTTGTGTTTTAAAGAAATATGGAAAAAGTGTCCTATTAAATGTGCAAATACCTATGTATGCAATTTTTTAGAGAAGGTAAGCCTATAGGCTTGGAAAAATGTTGATTTTTTGCCATAATTTTTTGATAAAGATTTGCTTAGATTGCAATGTTTGAGTCAAAAAATAGCGCTCCCTTTGTGTTTTAAAGAAATATGGAAAAAAGTGTCCTATGAAATGTGCAAATACCTATGTATGGAATTTTTTTTGAGAAGGTAAGCCTATAGGCTTGGAAAAATGTTGATTTTTTGCCATAAATTTTTGATAAAAATATGCTTATATTGGACTTTTATGCTGAGAAATTATTACCAAAAGTACTTCCCAAAGAAAGTACAAATAATAGCCGCAAAAATTTAGAGAAACTATTGCATCGAAGTTTTCTTGAAAAATAAGCATACAGGCTTGGAAAATGCGTATTTATGCCCAATTTTTAATGGGATATGCTTAGGCTAGAGCTATCTTTCTCGTGATTAATTTTGTGGCGGTACAGATCTTGAAAATGGCTTTGAGAAAAGCAAACATTTCCCAACATACTTAAATACTTTTCGTCTGACACTTCTCAGAGTATAAAACGTCAGAATAAGGGAAATATATACCAAGTTGTGGATACCCAGGTATTATACTCAGAAAACAAAACTAAATATACCTATCAAAGACATTGATGTCCTGCAGATTATGTACAACCTTTTATCACAATTTGGCAGACAAGGTTAGCCTTTGACCTTGGAAAAATCAGGATTTTTGGCAAAATCTTAAAATATTAATATTCTTAGATTGGGCTGTGTTGCTCTGAAAATATTGCATGTTGTACTTGTACTTCAGGATGAATATGTTCACGTAAATTTTTTAAAAACTAACAATTATGTAAGTTAATTGATTTGCAGAAATAGAGAATTTTGACAACAAGTTTTTCTTTCAGATCACTTAGATCAACTTAAATAAATAAAAAAGTATTACCTAATTGGATGAACGGCCATAGAATTCAGTGTAAAATAATGATACCTGAGTTTTTCAGAGAAAAGTATACTTCTATCATACCCCTATATAGTTCTAAATTCAACTTTCAATATATTTCACGGAAACATACCTAAAAATCAGAAGAATTTGAATTACAGCTTGCTTTCAAAATTATGCAAATACATATGGCTTTAGACTTGAAAAGAGCATCTATATTTTTTCTTTCTTAAATGCACATCTCATCCAAATTGAGCACAAAAAGTTGCAAACCATGATGCATATTATTTATCATAGGTTTCATTTTAGTTAGATTTGAGTTGTCAAAATTCCTTCAATGGCAGGATTGAGAAAGAAGTATCTCGAAAGAAATTCGCTACAAGTGCAAATAACATAAATAAGAATTTATGTGGCCAGCCACAATACATAAAGCCTCAACTGCAGCCTACCATCATCCTTACCCAATCTACAAAAATATACACCCTTAAATCGATTTATCTTGTTCGCTGCGAGTCCAAAAGAAGAGTTACTTTTTCCTGGGGCGGCAATTTCCTCATGCTTTTAAAACCCTTATTAGTAGACAAAGAAAATAGGGCGTGGTTTGGGTGTGTCAGATTTGTTTTTATTGGTTTTCAATTACCTTATAAGCGCGATGTTTTCCAGGCTCAAGTTTATTGTTATTTCTTCTTTCTAAGAAACGAACACAGTTGAAGCATGGAAGCCTATCTATAGGGTCACTGGTACAAAGACAAACATGAGTTTTTCTAGAAATTCTGCATAAACTCGCTAGAAATGTATACTTCATGAAGTTATTTATTGTCTTGCTTTATCTGTGATGTGACAAACGTATAAAGTGCGATTCGTTTATTTACAGTAGCAGTGATTTCATTAATCCTAATACCGTACTAGTGTTCAAAATGATTACCATAATTAGCTATAATTATTTTTGACAAAAATTTAGTATCTCAAAAGTGCAAAAAGTGCCATTTTGTGACAGCATTTTTCAAAAAATGTCTCTTGATATTTTCTTCTATCGCTGGATTCACACGAAAAGAAATAACTCGTTAATGCGCCTTCTTCAACTGTTATGTCCTCATTTGTGGGGATTTTGATATCAACTTAATCTTGGAGGGAAGATTGTGGAGCAGTAGGGTGTCATCAGGACAGAGAAAGGCAGCATTGTCCCTGTAATTAAATTGTGCCAATACTGGGCTTCTTGTTGTAGGATCACACTGGCATGCGGCAAATACACATTCTGTTTAAATTCAGTGCAGGACAATAGAATCACACTGTTCCATATTTATAATGTAGGCATCACGTATCAATGGAGTGAGCTTCAGAAGCTAGCACTTTCTTGATCACATTTCTTGAAAAAATTTCTTGATCACATTTCTCGATTTTCGGTTTTAAGACAATTGACCGAACAGTTTACGCCTCTGAGACACTCGATTCCTTGGCCAGGTTTTTAGTTTGCTTTTCTAATGTTGATGTCAGGGTGTTTGATTTGTCTCCAGATGATAGCCTCAGTCTGTATTTGTCTTCACTCTGACCATGTCTGAGTGTCTTCCCAGATGACGAAGAGATCGTGGCTCGATGATAGTTCAGCCCTTTGCCAGTAATGAGATGGATCCAGTGATTCCTAGCATCTTCATGCCTCGCCACGTGGAGATAGAATATTACGAAGCCTTGAAGTGAATTGAATATGCAGAACAAATATTGGAAGAACAAGCGGCCATCGCCAATAGCAAAGATACCGAACACCCATGTGAGGCCGAGTATCGCAGAGAATGAGGCAGCAATACGTAATTGTGATATGCCTGATCTCTGTTGGTCTTTTGAGACCTTCCGTTTCTTGTCGCTTGATTGTAGGGCGTAGTATACTCTTGCAAAAACCAGGATATTGAGGAGAATGATAAGGCAAATTGGACCAAAGAGGGTACCGTATGCAGAATAGCCAGATACGATGCAGCTGAAAGATAAAATAACAGGGCATGGAAAAAGCTGGGAATACGTAAAGATGATGCGAGCAAGGAGATAATGGTAAAATACTGATTGTGCAAAAAGGCTTGGCCTAACACCTCTCCATAAAGAGACGCTATTACTATAGATCCTATCGTAAAAAAACTAACGGTCTACATTGTACGACAGAAAAATCTTTCTCATAAAAAGTCTAGAAATGAATGATTCTAGTGTAGAATTCTAGAATTGAGTCTGGAATTGTGTATCTAGTAATGATTAATTTGGCTTTGAAGGTAAGCAACTTCCATAAATGTAAAATAAGTTAATATTTCCAGGCAGGAGAAGCTACTTAAAGTTTCTTATAGTATTTCCGTGTGGGTAAGATACACTATTATTACCATTATTACACATTATTAAACATCCATGATTACAGAAAACTTAACCCCATTGATTTGATCTCAAATTCATTGTAGAGCCAGCTACACAAAAAAAACAGAAAATACGAGGTGAAGTAGTAATCCAGCGAGTAGTAATCCAGCATGAGTGTCACAATTAAAATACAAAACTTACTTTTTTTTGTTTCCATAGTCACTTATTCTCAATGAGGCTGTTATGGCAACTATAACCAGTGGAAGACCTGAATGGTATGAAACAAAAATATTGGTTCATACAACAAACCGCGGAAAATAGACAAACAAAGATGAAACATGAACAAACAACGATTAAACATGATGGAACATGAACAAATAAAACGTGGAACATGAATCAACTTCAATAGAGCACAAAGCAACAGCAATTGACTTTGGACCAACAGCGATGGGACATGAACCAGCAACAATGGAACATAAGCAAACAACGATGGAACATGAACCTACAGCGATGGAACATGAACAAACAACTGTGGAACATGAATCAACTTCAATCTCGTCAGACAGCAACAAACCCCAGTGAAGATAGAAACAATTTACCACGTTGTGTTTTTTGCGTGTTCCCTGACCAAAATGATTAGCCGTTCTTGTCAATCGCCCTTGTCAAATGTTAATCTTATTTAGATAGAAAATGTTGGGTTAAAATGCAAGTATAGTCGAGATGACATCACACAACAGATTGGGCTTTGCAAGTGACAGGAGCTTAAGATTTACTGACAGGCTTCGCCAAACTTTTAACATGTTTTTAGGTATTTAAATGTTGGCCTAAAGGCGATAAAAGCTGCCAACAGCACTGCTAGCTTCTCTTTCTTCAATAAAACTTTGAAATTAACAAATAAACTCACCCCATGCATAGATTGCAGCTTTTAGAATAAACCTTGTGACGTATGAGCCCATCACGACAACAAATGATAAATACAGATTGATCGCTTCCACGCTCATCCATAAGAAGCAAGCCAGTAAGAAGTACTGGATGACGATCGCGAACCCACGGCAAACGTATAGCGACTCCGTTCTATCGGCTCCGATAACAAAGCTTAGCAGCGTGAGAATAAGCGAAAGACTGAGATGAATCAGGATCCTCGATGGGAGCGTGCGACGAAGGCGCCTACAAAAGACATTCAAATGATGCATTTAAAAGCAGAAGAAATTTACTCTGAAATTTTTATGGAGTGGAATGATATCTAGTGGTTCACGGTGGTTTAAAATTGTTACTGAAACTTAACATTAAGTTAGGTAGTATATTTAAAGTTGTTGGCGGTTCTTTAGAGTGCTAGAGGGTAGCTTGGAGTGGTTGGGCCTCGTTTGGTGTGGTTGAGGGAGGTTCAGAGTTGTTTTTTGTGGTAGCTGTAAAACATCTGACAATGTTTATCTAAGAGGAAATTTGCCTTTCAGCCCAAGAGCTTTTTTCAAAGGGTAACTCTCAGAATATACCAAACTAATGCCATTTGAATAGATAAAAATACATTGAGCATATTTATCCTGCATCGTAGCCATTTCGAAGGAAAATCGGTTGGGGGAGGAGTTTATATAAAGAAAAGGAAATACTTTATTCACTGCGGATAGAGGAGCAATTGCCCCATAGTTGTTAAAAAAGGTCCCGCTCCCAACTTATAGTTCTTAAGCACTATTTCAGAACTTCGCTTCTGTAAGGAGAAACATTTTGGCCATCTAATGTTATTGTTGCAGAGGCCAAGATAAGAACAGTAAGAATTTCTTCTGAACAATACCTTTGAATCGAAGTTACAATTTACCTGAAAAGCAGCAGCGTTACTAAAGTAATTATTAGGCCACCAAGAGATAACCCAATTCCTATGAAAGATATTATTCCAAGGACCGTCTCGTGAGTCGGATCATGTGACGTCGCTGCCCCTGCGTAGACATCAAAGATGATGGCGAAATTGGTCATGTGGTCACACTTGCATTCCACTCTACCATCAGCTGCTGACGCTTTACGACAACCCTCGGATGACCAGCCACCATAGCCATCTGCGAAAACGATCAAAACAAGCCATGAACGTTGGAACTACTTGCTTTTTTCGCAATACTTTTCGCAAAACTTTCATCGATTACGGTTATAAACGCAGAGGCTGAATACTCAGAATGCATCATATAACGGGGGTCGTCAAGGTATATCTTAAGAATGGGTGGGACGGTCAAATCATTGTATGTAGCAAATATGAAACACCGCGATACGCCGAGAATAAACAACAATAAAAACACGTAAATCAGTAAAGGCTAATATTTCGCCCCGGCATACGGGGCTTTATCAGAGCAAAAGTTGATTATTCATTCACAAAATCATTGTATGTTGTTGTTATTGGCGTTGCGTCTATTTCGTTACAAGACTAAGAGCACAAACGCATTGCATAAGCAGCCAGATCACTCAGTCATATTCACCTAGCAAACTTCGATGGTCAATGAGAAATTGAGCAGTAGTACATTTTTTCAATTTTCCTTTCTCTTAATTCTTTCAACTGTAACCTGACAAACGAAACTTTATTTCCGGTCACATGATCCAAGGGAATCGTTCTTATACGTCTGGACGTAATACCAACTTGAAAAATACCCACAAAAATACTCAAAAGTTTAGCGCTCTGCATCTTTGAAAAGTTGTTTAACTACAGGAACGTAGGGTCTTCTGTTTCTGATACATTTATTCAGCTTTTAGAAAAAAATTCACACGCATTGGAATACCACAAAAAACTTACTGTTTGCTTTGAAATCCCAAAATACGCATTTATCTGCCTTAGACTGCTTTGTTTGCTGAAACGTTCCAGTCAGCGGTTGACTGAGATTGACTCTGCCTGCACCTTTTACGTGCGCTGATATCACCAAACTGTTTGATTTTGACGAATAATCAATAACCCTACGACCGAGAGCGTTTTTCTTCGTCGATTGGAAGAACTGGTTGCCTCTGTACGCCACAAAACTGACTCGATTTTCACCCTTATTTTTTACGTCACTGCAAAAATAAGCAAAATACATTTTTAAACACTATTCTTTACATCACTGTAAAAACAAGTTATGGATGGAACAACGAAATTGATGGAACAATGAATTTGCAAGCAGCCATTATGGAATTTTAGGCTCCCAGGAACGAACTTATTCGTGTAAAAAAGGTTCGGAATTATGTTGTATTCAAATCGCCTTTTTCAAGTGGCCGATTGAAAATGTGTTTAAAAAACGTTCTTTGCCATATCATGACTGTTTTACATTGTGTCGTAATCGATCATTTAAAAAGCTAGAAATATACAGTGCGATTTTTTAAAATATTTTTTGTAAAGATACAAATTTGTTGTTCTAGAAGGAAGGCCTCGATAAAAACAGAACTGTTTTCATGAGACATTTAGAGGCTGTATTTCTTGTGCAAAGAAATGTCGTCAAAACCAATTTCAAAATTTCCATGAATGATTTGCTTCAAGACACTCTTTAATATATAAAGTATTTATTTGAAGCTCAACCTTTTGTGGTCCAACTCGTAGTCTGGAGGAAAAATTTGAACAGCGTTCAAATAGAAGTTTATTAGAGATTTATTATAGCGGATTACAAACCTTGCAAAACTGACAGGTGCAACTAACTATGTGCAACCTGTAAGGGGCTTTACATTATAGCTTTAATTCTTTCTCGATAATCGTAGAGAGAATGTGAATCAACTTGTATCTAAATATGATCGTGTATTTCTGCAGTTTGGCATTCTAAAGTAAACCCTTCACGCACTTTATTCAGGGATTCCAACACATTGCCATGCTGGTCGAAATCATGCATCATTGGAAGCCAAGAACATACTTAACGACTGATAAAAAAACCAAAAGTTTATTATAAGCCAAGCACTTAGTAAAAGAAGCCTTTACCTCATCAATGTTTCTGGCAACGTAAGCCCGACAGCTACCTCATTCCTATCATAGTTCTGATTTGAAACAACGCTGCCATTTGAAAATGAAGTACTTTGCAAGGCAAAACTCAAACTTGCTTTAGATTTCGAATCAATTCTCATAGCCTGTATGGCAACACCACTAGACACCCTAACTACTGGCACCCCAGTCTTGTTTGGTAAAGGGATCTTGTCTGCTAATGCTACGATTCCATTGACAATCCTGCAAAAAATGAAGAATCATAAAAATTCTACGTGCAAACAGCAATCGTATTATAATAAATATAAACAAAAAAGTTAGAAATTAATCAATTACCATTAAAAAGCCTCAATTAGAAGTCACTCAAAAAACGGACAATAATTCTGGTGTCACACTTATCATTTATCTGGGGGAGGGGGGGGGGGTGGATTCATTCGATCCTTGTTAAAGAAATGAGCTGATTAAGGATAATGTCTTGAAAGACGTTTAGCAACATAGAACTGGCCATATTTTTCCCAAACCTAGTTTAATCAAGGATCTGCTAAGGTTTATCCTTTATTAAAGTTCGAGGATCTGCTAAGGTTTATTCTTTATAATCAACGAGGTTATGGGCAACTATACTAAAATCTGCAAGACTTCTAAGCAACTTTAGTGTATGTTATACTAGGTTTAACAATTTCAGAGCATCTTTGTCGGGTCTATTTTTGAACGGGCAGCTTCAAGTCAAGATTAACAGTTGAAGAGGGTGTTTCATATGAAGAGTTGAGAAAAGAATTTCAGAATGGGAGCAGCTTCAAAAATAGTACATGAAATGATTCAGTCCCTCTTATAACTCGAGAAAACAGACAGGGAGCAAAGATATGAAATAACCTCACAGTTGAGTGTCAAAGATCTAAATAGTTAAACTACGTGAATATCTAAAAGTCACGTTATCTGCATATTTACAGAAAATTCATCTTTATTTGATCTTTAGTAATTTGCTTTTCGTGACATTGAGAGAAAACAAATTGATTCGAAAGTAATGCTTACGGCACATTCTGTTTATACTATTGCTAAACATTTGGGATTCTTAAAAATAGTGTAAAGCTCCAAAAAGTATGTTATCCAAAGTTAATCTTGCTTACTTCGTCAAAGCCTTTCCCTGTGTTTGAGAAGAAGCCAAAGTGGACTCATTTGTTTCCAATATGTTGCTGGCAATCTTAAGCATGTCATCAACAATCTGAAAAAATAAAATTCAAAACCGCTGCAAATCTTTTAAGCTAAAAATTCAGGATAAAGAGTTTGAAGCTGTTTCAAAAAACCAAATATCCTGGTATACAGATCGATAACACATTGGGTTGGAAGGAACACAAGGTCTTCAAAAGGAATTGGCTTTTTGAAACATGCAAAATCCTTTCTGCCAGAATAAAGTCTGAGGACTATGTACACAAGTATTGTGGAGCCAAACTTTCGCTATTGTTGTTGAGTATGGGGCTGTTGTGGTCTGACCGAGGTCAAACACTTCCAAAAACTGCAAAACCGAGCTGTTCATATTGTAACTGGCAGCAGTTTGATGCACCGGCCCAACAACAAATAAAGAAGCTTGGTTGGAGGACCATAGACGAGCTAATCACTAGTGAGTCAAATATCATGGTCTTCAAATCGATTTATCGACTGGCTCCACGATACATGTGTAATCTTTTCACAGAAAAATCCAAGTTAACTTCCAAGTAATCTTAGGAATACATCAACTGACCAAAGGCTACCAAAAAAACTCAAAAAATGGACAGAAATGCTTCTCGTTTAGAGGTACAAGGTCTTAGAATGACGTCTCAGCTGAGTATAAACAGGCAACTTTAAAAAATGTATTGCTCACATGTAAATAGGTGCTAACTATTTGGTCTTTTTATCGATAATGTTTATTTTAAATTACTAAATTCAGATTAAAATAGAGTTGAAGACAAGACAAGACAAGACAAGACAAGACAAGACAAGACAAGACAAGACAAGACAAGACAAGACAAGACAAGACAAGACAAGACAAGACAAGACAAGACAAGACAAGACAAGACAAGACAAGACAAGACAAGACAAGACAAGACAAGACAAGACAAGACAAGACAAGACAAGACAATGGTAACATAACCATCACCTACCTTTTCTGAAGTGGCATTGCTAGCAGCAAGGTTTTCAAACGTCTCACTTGCTAACAGGGTGTCATCTGTCGTCAACATCGTACTGTTTTTAGTCAAATCATTCAGATTTGAAGCGATGGTCTCGGCATTCGTTGAATTGATTGTCACCTACAATTAATTCAGACTATTAGCTTAAATATTGTGTTAGCAATCGTTGACATGTACTGACACAAACTTAAGCTCTCCTCTAGTATCGAATGAACGTGACGGGCAAAAACAAGAACTTTTGCTTATACTCCCATTATACAACTTGCGCTAAAGGTTACCTCTGACAGCATATTCAGTTCGCTTGTACGCTTATTATTGAAATTACAAGCAGTGTCTTCAAGGTCATCCCAAGATGCACCAGAGTTGTAATCCCCTGCGCACCTTCGTGTAGCTGTGGCGGCAGCTGGCCCATGTGGACACGAAATCGTAGCGTTGAGACCAAATGCAGTTTCTGGCCATTGGTAAGGTCCCTTGGAGCCAGCGCTTGTTGTTTCGGCAAAGCAGTATACTGCAAAAGAAAACTCTCAGAGTAAAATCTACAAAAGACTTTGATGCATAAATTGGACCTTTAGGCGACAAACAATTTGTCTTTAGTTAAGGCAACATTCAACTAAAGCGCACAGTACTTGTCTACAGTCTCAGTTAATAGTATTTCATTTAAACCTACATAAACTGGCTTGGTAAAGAAAGAAAACTGTTAATAGAAGAGTGAAAGCATTTTAAGCATTTCCTTATCACAAATGCTCATAATAATTGCTGACCATAAAACCAGCAATGTAAAAGAAAATTAATGAAATTTCTTGTCACGATGTCACCAACAAAGTAGGCAATGGCGTCATCGCAAGTCCTGAGATTTATCGAGTTTATCGAAGAGTTCGAGTTTTAAAGTTTCTAAAAAATGGGCCTAAATCTCAAGGTTAATTTTCTCGTATACTTGGTTGGTCTCATTCCAAGTTAACTCTAGATCAGCCAGCAAGAAATTCACTATGGCCAGGCATATTTGCAAATGAAAAGAATATGAGGATTTAAATAACAGATTTGCATTGTACACTTGGCCGAAAAAAAGTATTTTGATTAGTCTTGTTACGTCAAAGACATTTTACATAGATACAACATACATCAATGTACTTTTAATGGTCATCAAATGAGGTAGATCCATCAATGGAGACATGAAATGTGAGACCTCACGGTAATGCCCAGGCACTCCTGTTCTTGGAACACGTGCTTCCTGCTTGTATTTCATGCTTAATTATTGAAAAGATCTGCCTTCGCCTTATGAAAATGTGCTGAATGCAACATTGCAAGATCAAACCCCTACCTTTATTTGCAATAAGGATCCCTGCAGCAGGAACCTGAAAATCACCAAATCCATTCGACGTTGCAGCTGCTAAAAGCTTGCTTGTCATTTCATTGTAATATGACGTCATTGTTGTACCGCTAGCAACAGCTGAAGCAACACTCACTTGAGCCACAATAGATCCTTTTCTGCAAGAAACATAATAAAATATGTATTTCTCTCTCTACCAACTATAGATAAATAATCGTCGTTTCAGAATACCTTTTCATTTTAACTTTAAATCCTAACTCTAACAAGGTTTTTTCACTGCTACAAACGAACGCTATGGATATTGAAAAATTAAGATTACAACCCAAGTAAGAAGAAAAAGTGATATAAAAAAAGTAAACATTGTCGTCACAATCATTATGTTACAATAACAGAATACAAGACACAAACTGATTGTTATCAATTTCTCTGCACCAGTATTTGATTGCAAGAAATATCGCTCAGATATATCAAGTTTACCTGAATGCCTCCACATTAATGTTATGGCCACTACTAGATGGGACATCAACGATGATTCTTTTAACCTATAAAGAGAAAATGGAAATATATCAGTTAACTCTTAAAGGCAATCGACAGATACTTAAGTGGCTTAGGCCATCTGTCAATTAACCATTGGCCAGTCCAAAAATGAGATAAAATTCTAAAATCGCTTCTAAATCAACATCTTTAAACCCCATAGCTATCAAAAATCGTTTTTGGACATTCTAATCTCATAATAGAAGTTAAAGCTGTTCCAATGTATCTTTGATCAAATTACAATTAATGGTAAATGAGCCCAACGTCAAACCAAACTATACATACAGCAATGCACTGGTTAGTCTACAAATATTTAGTAAGTTCAATAGGCAATATTTGAGTTCAAACAATAAAGTAGCAACCGCCAAAATGTGGAATACCAGATATAGGAATATAGGAATACCAAATAGGAATATAGGAATATCTTAGAAAACATACAGTAATGGGAAATGAATATTTATTGCTCCTTTGTGGCAAATTATGTGGTTTAAAATCTAGCATCTTCGTTATCAAGATGCTATATTGTTGTTTTGCTGCAATTTTTAACAGCACACTAGTTTGTATAACACACTTAGTCTTAAATATGTATAAGTTGATATACTTTGTATATACACTTACGTGACAAAAGTATTAGGATGATGGCCTACTAACGAAGAGTTGGACACCGACAAACAACAAAGAAAATCAGTGAACCATAACAAGATTGACGGCTGACATTTTCGATTGTTATTTGATCCAATAGTAAAAGCAAACATACATTAATTAAATCAAAACAATATCAACTATTTCTGTCTACTAGAACATGTTTTTTCAATATTTTGTTGGGTAACCTCTTGATTTTCAAACAGCTACCATTCTTCACCATAATTTTTTTCTGCACTAGCTTGAAGGTTTTCTTCCAATACTTGGATGTAATTAGCTTGAAGGTTTTCTTCCAATACTTGGATGTAATATTCAGCGTTGAGGGACCTCTGGCACAAAGCCAGCTTGCTGGCGCCATTAGGCCTTTTTATGTATTTGTTGCTACCTAGCATCCGAAGGTAGTTTTTAGGACACTGAAAAGCTAAGCTTATCTAGCAGTGTCCTGGTCCTTCCTCTCGATGTGACCACACCTCATGATTCCTACGCCTAGAATTATAGAGAGCTGGTGACTCTCCCCACTCTGAGTGAAAGTTTGGTCATGCCAGCGCCTCTAACAACTGAGCCATCCACGCACTTAATTAGGCCAAATACAACTCCACACCATGATTGAAACAGAATTGGTAAATGTGGGTCGATAAACATGGAATTATTGGCCTCTTTTATTGTTCGCCAAACCCTTAATACACCTGAGTCGTTTTTTAAGCCAAATATACATTCACCTGAAAAATTACATCGTCCCAGTAATGGAGGGGCCAATCCAGCATCCCCTTGCACCAATGGAGACGGTAGCTTATATAACAGAGACTGTTATTTGGTGACACTTACGGTTTTCGTTTTCTTATGCAGCGTTTGAACCCATATCTTCTAAGTATTCTAGCAACAAGACGTTTGGAAACACTTTCTTTCCCAAAAGATTTACCTAAGTTAGCCTTAAGCTGATCCAAAATTGCGTATCTTTGCTTCCTCGACTCTTTGCATATAATTCTTTCCCCCTATCAGAAATTCTCCTTGGACGGCCTGTCCTTGATTGAGCTTTGGTCGAACCAGTGTTTTTGTATTTTCTATGAATGTAATATTCTGTCGACTTACTGCAACCTACTTGTTTTGAGATTTCAGCAAACGAATGACCGGCTTCACGCAAAAATTTAACTGCCTTTCGTTCACTTTCGGAATACTCTCTTTTTTGTTTGTTCATTGTAATAGAAACACCGATATTTTCAAATTCCCTATGATTTTTTATGAAATATATCTAGGAAAAAAGGTAGAAAACACATTTGTGTTGCTAGGATTTGTATTTTTGCTGACGCCATTTCAACAATCCCACCAAAAAAGCCAGACTTTTAACAACAGTGTTGGAATGCTATCTATGGAAACGCCATCTTAACTTTCATCGTCCTAATACTTTTGTCATGTAAGTGTAGTTGTTAGTTGTATCTAAATATTGTTGTATCAAACGACTGCATTCACGTAAATGTCTTAGCAGACATCAAGTCTGTAGAGCTGTATTGTGACCATTATACAGTAACGGACCGTCACGGCCTGCTTACTTGAATAACAGAAAAAACGCTAGTTGTTCTTGAATAACAGAAAAAATTTTAGAAATAACTCAGTTTCAAAGAAAATCGAAACATAGATATTTGGAACTTCTTGAGATACAAACAACTCACGATTTCTGTTATTTCCTTACTGAGCGACCCGTATCCTGCACTGGAAGTATCAGTCAAATCGGCTGTGAATACTCTATTCACGATTTCCAAATAAACAGATGATGTGAATACATCTGAAAGGAGAAAACATATGTATATTGATAAAAAACATCACTGTCCTTTCATTTCATGAATACAGCTAAGAAGTATATACAGTGGGGGAGGAGGGGAAGAAGTTTGTAAGAGAGTCATGAAAAGCATAATTTTCCGAAAATAACATTCCGTTCCGTTCTTTACCTGTCGAGACAAGACCGTTCTTTACCTGTCGCTAGATGATTTTACGGACCAACTAGGCATGTCCCAGCCTTAAGATGCTCGCCTTAAGATGAATATATTGGAGGTATCTTCATCGCGTTTCTTGACCAAAGCTACATTTCTTTAGTAATTTAACTCCAGCCATAACATCAGCTTTCTAACGCAATATTTTGTAGTTGCCACCCTGTATACTAAAAATTATGCCCCAGACCCAGCATCATAGACGCTTGAAAGGACCTTTAGAAAAAATCCACTAAAAACATCCTTTAAGACATTTAAGAGTTTCCACAACAAGTTGGTATTTAAATTTAAAAGAACGTTTCCTCACAAGAGAAGAAGAAGGCTTGATGTGTCATCGAAAAATTGAAAGTCACTGAACGCTAATCTTACCTTGCAAAACAAAAAGTTCTTTTGGAGAGAAACTGACAATCCCGCTATATCGCGATGAACATTGATAGTATCCTTGATCAGGTGTAGTGGCTGCAGCTATCATAAGGGTGCTGCCTGTCTGGGGCAACAATACACCGTCTTTGTACCACTTTATCTCGGCTGCAATCTGAAGAGATCTTTTGCATGTCAGAACAAAAGGCTGCCCAGTTCGTATATTTTTTGGGATAGTCACTTCAAGTGAATCTAGAAACAAACAGAAGACCATGGTAAAAGTGTACAATGAAAATCTTCGATATCAAATTTATGTTAGATGTTTGTTTAACGACACCAGAACAGTGAAGTTCGATTAGACACCCACACATCGAGCACCTCAATATACACTAGGGTACAAAAAGTATTGCACCACCTTGCTCAAAATGGCGGCACTTTGGTCGTTGACATTTGCAATTCGGCACTTAAAACACAATTAATTTGCATAGCTTTCGATTATTAACGCACCATTTTTCCTACTTCTAGATGGTGCGATACTTTTGATAGGGAAAATAATATATAACTTTACGACGTATGGCATGAGGACGAAACATGGTAAAGAATTCCACGAGATTTTAATCAGTCTGCGATGCTAACCACTAAAATGAGAGGGTTCTTCAAAGACTACTGGCAAAAAATCCTGACCCGAGCCTAATTCTAATCTATACAAGGGTTTTACTGTAAAAATTACATATTCGTTAAAATATTGAGTAAAAACATCAACAAATTATATAAAATTGCATCATCATAGAATTCCCTTCCATACTTCACCCCTACCAATCTGAAAGCAGGATTTGAGACTGTTTATTCAAATTTTAATGCATATCATGCACCCCCTCCCCCTCTCCCCGAAAATCCTCCATGTGTTTTCGTGGTCCGATAAAGAACTCTCCAAAAGGGCAAGACCCAATTCAAGAGAATTGAGCTTGCAGTGGTGTTCAACTAAACGACTTATATAAGCAGCGGGGATAATTATGCTCCATGTAGTTTTATTATTGTTATTAACTAATTAGGAAATTTGAATCCATTAATCTCCACAGGCTAGCGATTAAAATTCGTAAAACATGTTCTGGAATTAATTGAATTTTTATACTAATTGAATTTTAGCACGTTACCACGGTGCTTTCATTTTTTACCTTAAACTTTTAGAGAAATAGCAGGACTCGTCCTGTTTCATTGAAGTCATCAGGATAAAGGAAATTATTTTTATGCTGGCTAAATCCACGTTTGTAATTTTTACTAGGAGACGTAAATATTTGACTAGTGGACTGATTAAAGAATACGACTTAAAATATCTACGTTATCATAAAATAGAACATTTTTTTCTTTAACACGGAAAGAGGATGGAGCTCTTTGTAGCTAATGGTCTACGGTATGAAGCGGATTTATTTTTACTCCACTTTAAAACAAACTGCGCCATTTTCAGTTCGTTATTTCAGATCTAGAAACCTGTCTCGAAAGATTATGCTTTATTCATCTTAATATAACATTTCATTTATGAAAACTATTTCTTGCTCTCAATATCTGTGCAAACTCAAACAGTAGGCTCCAAACCCAAACTTGGGTCTGTCCCAACTTGGGTCTGTCCCAACTTGGGTCTGTCCGATGTGGCTTCTTGCTTTGGCCTTCCAAAATGCACCTCTATTCCTATTACCAACAAGTCTGTGACAGAACTTAAGTTCATTCAAGGGACAGAACGGAGAACCCAACTATGGTACCATGCTAAACTTGACAGTAAGGAAGGCTACGCTTGCCTAAGGCTTGTAATATTAATCCAGCAAATGTTCGCAATAACATGCCTTACCATTAAGCAACGGTGGTCTGTGGGTTATCGTTGTTGTTGTTGCTATCGATGAAGATGTTGCTGGGGCTACGTGAATTGACGAAGTTATGGTAGGCTTCCACGTTAGTACTGTGACTTTGCTTAGAGCGTTAGTGCTTGCTATTATGGAAGACGGGTTAGTTGTAACTGTTGTTGTACGGATCGGTGGCGTTACCGCTGTCAATCGAATGTCAAATGTGCACCGATCAAAAACTGACGAGGCATTGACAGTTCCCTCGGCCTGAACTTCAATTGTAAATACCGTTCCTGCACGTAGCAGTGGAAAATCGAACGGACTCTGAATTCTGACACGCAGACGTCCCGCGTATCGATTGAGGCAAATGAAACGACGCGAGTCTTGGAATGGTTTTGGAGAGCAGAAATATTTGCTAGAGTATCCAGAGAAAGACATGTTGGCATACTCGTAGAGTATGACACGGTAAAGTGAAGGTACAAAACGGGTAAACAATCCTTGATTGCGAAAATGGTAAATGATCTCCCCAGCTGACGTTGACAACGGCACATCAAATGACCGATAGCAAGGATCAGCTAAGGAAGAAAATATTTTAGTATGAATTGAGTTAGCATGTTAATAGTTAATAATTAATAGTTAACAGTTAATAATTATTAGTTATCAGCCACCAAACCATCTCCAACTGCAGCTGGTTAATGCAATCTCAATCACTCAATCAATTAATCCTAATCAATCAAAATGTTACCTAATCAATCAGCAAACGTATATGAGCTAATCTATTTAACAAAATACAGTCAGCCACTTCGATCATTCCAATCAGCCAATCAAACCATCACCCTGCTGCATATTTTAGACACAATAACGTCAATTAGCTGATTCTCTTTGGTAAACATTTCTTAGCAAACTTTGCCCAGTTAATCAATTTGCTTGCTTAAATGCAGTTCATGAATCACTCAAAATCGTTCATTCGATGCACACAATCACAGTTATTTCAAGAAATCACTAACCTCGAACAAAATAACCACTCAGCTCATTTAGATATTCATACAGATCCACCCACTCTAACATGTCACATTTCACTGATATTTTAATTAAAAATCCATTATTAACATGTTACCCATGAACAGAGTCAGGAAAATATCACGGCTCCACAGCCACTGGCCAGTGGGAGGTTATAGAAACAGAAGGAAGTTGAAGAAAGTGAACAAAAATTGGAAACTTGAGTATTGTCTTCTATATTCCAAAATATGGTCAGACACAAAATAAGAGAATCAAGTATCAGTTATAGATATGTGTGCAAAGTTGCTTTGCACTGTAAAATTTGGGCTTAAACTTTTTATAATTTATATATTTAAATTACGGCAAGCTTCTGTTATTAATTGATATAAGCACGTTGCTTTACATTTTTATTAAAAACATCTATAATTGAAAAATAGCTACAATTTTTTGACAGTTTTTGGGAAAACAAAGTTGCAAGGAGAAGAAATCAAGACTAGTTGAATACCTCAAATTTCCTGATTCTATGCCCGAACCCATTTGGCCATTTGGCCCATTTAAACCCATGAAAAAATGAGGAAGGTTCTATAGTAAGATTTTGTTGGATGGAGGAAGGTGACAGCTTATCTGGACTCTGTCTATTGAATTTTGGCTATTAATTAATGAATATCTAAATGAGCTGAGTGGTCATTTTGTTCGAGGTTAGTGATTTCTTGAAATAACTGTGATTGTGTGCATCGAATGAACGATTTTGAGTGATTCATGAACTGCATTTAAGCAAGCAAATTGATCAACTGGGCAAAGTTTGCTAAGAAATGTTTACCAAAGAGAATCAGCTAATTGACGTTATTGTGTCTAAAATATGCAGCAGGGTGATGGTTTGATTGGCTGATTGGAATGATCGAAGTGGCTGACTGTAATTTGTTAAATAGATTAGCTCATATACGTTTGCTGATTGATTAGGTAACATTTTGATTGATTAGGATTGATTAATTGAGTGATTGAGATTGCATTAACCAGCTGCAGTTGGAGATGGTTTGGTGGCTGATTGGAATGATTCGAGTAGGTGATTTGCTAGAATCATTGACTGATCAATATGTTAGCGAACTTGTGGGATTTCTGTGTAGGTAGTGAGAGATTCAGCGCTGAGTGATTTTTTAACAATGAATTTGAGAAAGTTTTCAGTTGGACGAAGGGATATACTTCTGATTATATCTAAAGAGCAAATAAAAAGTTAGGTTTAAATGACAACCGAATTATTGAAAGACGTTCCCTATAGGATGTCATAAATGTCACCACTGAGGCCATTAAAAATCGAGCATTTTACGAAACTTAGATTTGCAAAAATCAGTAATATTCAATACATACAATTGCACTGCTTGAGGTAAGCTTCTTGTAAACCCTCGTCTTGAATGCAATCTCGATTGATTGTGTACCTCACTTTGTTTACAGCGGCCAACCACTTTCTGTACGAGTTCATGCAGAAGGAATCCGGGCAGATGGTCATCTTGGGAGATCCGAATAACGAGAATGTATTCTCTGAATTGAATGTTATTTTCACATTGCCACTTGTTAGCTTCATCGATACATTGACAAATTTTGTATTTGGATTTATATAAATAGGAGGAGATATTGTAATGTTCAACTTTGTTCCACGTACTTGCACAATACTCTCATTAGTATAATCAAGCACTGACGGAACGTACATAAACTCGCGTACATGAGAAGTACCAGGCAAATGAAATTTGATTTCATACTTCCAATAAGATTGACTATTTTGAAAGCCAACCAATAAACTTGTGTCTATGGAAATTCTTGAAATCACAAGAGCTGAAGATGACGTAACATCAATTGGAAATCTATCCCCAAAAAGGGAGATCGACCAGGCTAAACCAGAAGGGAAAGTGAACTTTGATGCTGAGCTGGGGCACCTGGCTTGCATGTCGCTATAAAGGTTTGGAAAAGGAAAGCACTTTGGTACAACGTTGATTCTAATGGTCGTCTTTCGTACAACAGGCATGGCAGAATAGTCTCTTACGACCATTCCAAGCTCGTATGACCTACCGACATACATTGCCGGAATAAAGGTAGCTGACGTGAAAATGTATCCAAATTGTTTATAAATACAAAACTGGCTTCCAAAGTCGTTGACGCTTGGCATGCATGTGTAGGGCTGGACCCTGGATTGTGGCACTTTGAGTTGCTTACTCAAGAAATCCACTGCCTTTTGGTACCTACTTTCATCAATTAACGGCTCGTAGTTGGACTCAATAATTTTGTAAATGGTATAAATCAGCGGAGGAGTAACAAAATCGGTAGTATTTGGAGTGAGTTCCAAAACAGCCTCGCTTGGAAGTTGATTAGAGTAGACGTAACCATCTGGCTGATTGGCTATTGAGTTAAAATCGTCACCTACAAAGATAGGAAGAATGAAAACAGCTTGTCTATTGATAGAAAAATTAAAATCATTCTTGAGTCGGTAGTTTGATCAAGGGGAAAATAACAATCATATAAAATAATTCCTAATTTTAATAATTCGCAAATTACCTGGTTGCCTAGAGTAAATTGGTTAAACTGTTCTGTAAAATTGTTCTGTATAAGACAATAATAATTTTCTTGATTCAGAAGAATTTTTGAGGAATATCGTATGTAGTTCGCCAAAAGACACAAATTGGCATTTCCTTCAGAGAAGGCAAAATATGACCTCGATGTTTCGTTAGTTTATGTGCACCCCTAGTAAACCTATTGACCCCAAAAGAGCACACTCCTCCTAAAAACTGTTACGCTCACTAGAGAGCACTTCTGATACGGCAGCTAAATTTTAACTCGTAAATATGGTTTTTCTTTTGGACCTGTTGGTTGTAAAGATTTTCAATTGCTCAGGAGAAAATAAAAGTATTATAACTAGGAAAATTTTACTCAATGTTTCTAAGAGTACAACAAGAACTTTGCTGAAACTTCACTTGAATTAGTGACTAGATTTTCACCTATTGTACTCGAAAAGGTTGCCCACGTCCCATATGCCGACAAGTTATTGTGCCAGCTTCTATTCGCAGTCCCTTCCATTTTTGAACAGAAATTTGTCAGAGAGGTGTCACATCCCCATACCCTGACGCCCCCTGTAGCTAATACAATATTTTACAGAATATATAAATATTATAATCAAAACATACCGTATAAACATGAATAAAAAATATCTAGGTATTTTAGAACACCAGTACACGGGTCTCCAAATATTGAATTAGCAGCTTCGACCACGCAAGAGTGAACCCCATGGCATTCCCTTGAAACTTTTGACATAGCTAAAGGTGACCTACAATTCGTTTGTGATGACACAGCAGAGCAAGCGTTTTGCGTGGTCCGACCATACATCGCATGGGTTATGTTCATAAAATGGCCGACACCGGCGGGGCAGCCGACAGTCCGTTTGCCTGCGTGTTCACAGATGCGTATGGTGGTCGATGTGCTGGATGTTATTGTCGTCCATAATAGAATGGTCACTGAAACAAAATGGAGGAAAAGGTTTTTTTCAAAGAATATTTGTTACATTTTAAATGTCATTTTCAGAATGCTTCCAGAGTGCATTCCATGTAAACCTCACTCCGAAGGTACGACAAAGTTCATACGCAATCATTAGGCCAGGCAATCCCCTAACCCCCCATATTTCTAAGGCACATTTTTAAGGTAAATCGAAGCAGAAAAATTAAGCAAACGCTTCATAATTTAAAACACTTGACGCAATTTAACTTTGCGAATTCTGCACTTTTTCAACAAACCAAAACGAAATTGCTGGTAGAGTTTTCTTTCTTGGAACTTCAGTGAAAGGAAAAGCCCCAAAAAACTAACGCTTGTTGGAAACATTGACTGCTAATGTTAAACCTCCTTACACAGCTTCACGAATTCATTTTTTCCGAAAACAATATTATGAGCTTATATCCTTGTCTAGTCTTTTTAACAAAGATATTCTTATAAAGATTAAACATCAAAGCACCGGATGTTAGTGCCGAGATCTCCTTGAGTAGATTATGGTGAATTCCATGACAATAGAAAACAAACTCACAATAGCGAACATACAGCAGTCGAAAGCAACTCAACACATTTAGTTGCCCTAGTAACAGTATTCTTCCCTGTCCAGACCAAGCCTAAACTGAGGCTATTTAAATGCAGCTCTTTTTTGCATCAGACAGATTTTATGAACAGGCATAAATTTATGATTTCTGTTAAACTGCAGCATGAATAGCTATTTATTCTATTTTCAAAATCATCACAAGAGTTGGGTTGAAACTTAAGAAGTGTTTCTGCAAATAAAAAGGAAAGTTTTTGCACACAGACTTTTCTGAGTCAAAAAAACCCCCAAAAAGGCCTACTGACAGCATTCACGCTCTTAATTAGAAGGATGTTGCTTTGTGAAGTTAGACTAAATATATATTCTAATGAAACTTTCTGCAAATTTAATTCTCTCGATAAGAAAATTTTGAATGAACAATCGATTTCCCAAGTCCCTTCCCCAATTTGAATCTTAAATGTTCGTAATATTTTGGAAAAATTAGAAGGTTTTGTTCTTAAATAAATCAAAGAGACAAGATTTCCTACAAGAATAAAACAGAGCTGAGAGGTATTATATTATAAAAAATATATACGAATTATTGAATTTTGACAAATTCGGTTAAATCTGCTCAAGGTTGACAAAGATCTGGCTATTGAAAGAACTGACATCTGGTTTTGTTTTTAAAATCTAAAAACCAATCTAGAAATTGTCTACATACATGGTCACAACTTGACACAACGTTACCGTTAAAACTATATTTCACCCCTTTCTAAAAATCCCCCTCTCCAAAAGCTTCCTACCCCTTTTGAAGAACAATTTGAAATATGCCCACTTTCTATTATGAACCCCTTGTCTCATGAGTGCATAGAAACTATGTAATGTTTTACAGACGTAAAGGTGTGCATGAAAACTGTTTTCTGGTGCATATGGCTTTGGTTACTAAGATCTGGTGAATATAAACTTTTCCAAAAGCCGAAAGAATTTCGAAACCAGAATAACCCCCGTCTCACAGGCAAACGTAGTTCAGAAAGAAAGGGGTACGAGATGGGTAGAAGAGGTTTAAAAGTTGGGGGCGAGCACGAGGGGCAAGGTTCACAAATTCGATGCACGTAAGGATGCATTGCAAAAGTTGGTTCACTGTTTTCTATTCGTAAGTTACGAAGAATTTCTGTACAGCGTATAGTTATGTTGCTTTGCTGGGTCAAATTTGTTCTCAAAGACAACCAGCTGTGTCGAGTCTAAAGAACAAAAAACAGTCGACGTGGGCAAATAGTTTTCGCATTTTGCTTGTTTGCATCCTCTAGGCATACTTCTATAACTATTCCTTTGCTATTATCGACGTGAATGTAAAAGAATGTTCATTCTTTTGGGGTATCCCCAGAGTCGATACGATGCCTTACAGTCCGATTGCCGCTATTTATCTGTGGCAGAACCGGAAGTGAAACCTCAAAACCCCTAAAATAACGAAGAAAGCATAGCTAAAAACGATGTTATATATAAAACAGAAATGGACTTGTTACCTTTTGCAAAATACAGCAGAGCTGAATTCCTGGTCTTGAGAACCATGGCAGCAGTTTGTCCTCTAAGGAAATGATTACAGGAGTTTCCTAACAAAATAAAGCTTGAGGTCAAAACTCAGCCGATTAAAAAGATTCTGCCAGTATAATATGATCTGCTCTGGGAAATGCAAAGGTCCTTGACACTAGATTTAAAATATCTAGAATTTAACCAAAGATATTTTGAGCCGATGTCCCGGTAACTCCGACCAACGTCTACTTGTCAGGCGGTCCTTATAACTCACAGGCATGTTTGAATGATAATGATCCTGATTCGGGGGGAGAGTATAAGTAAACCGCAGAAAATCATAGTTGATCATGATCCGTACAGACTGGAGATTCGCCTGAACTCGGATAGATGCAAGAAAGTTACATGGAGATTGTGACAAAGTATCTTTTATAAACAAAACCATAGACTTGAGAGTTTAAATGGGGGCAGTATCCAAAAATTGTCACATTATCATTAGTCCCCTTCCTCGATTAAAGGCCATCCAGCGGCGCACCCAGTGGGGCGCAGCCCCAGAAATATTTTGGACCACGCCCTTCAAACACTCGCACATGCGGGGAAACGCCCTTTTTGCAAAATTCCCCCCATTATTTGATTCATGTTAGCTACAGTAAATAGCAAAGTATTTTACAATTGTTATTGACACAAGCATACAGTATACTGCCCCCCCCCCTCAATGAGTTTTTCATCGTTTTTGGAGAAATCTCGAGGATCATATTTTAGAAAAGTGGGGGGGGGGTCCGGACCCCCTATTCCCCCCTTGGGTACGCCACCGAGGCCACCCCTCAAAAACCATGACCTATCAGATAGAGGTGCTTGATGTAAGTGGTGTCCAGGGAAAGTCCCAGAACCTCACGCAATTGACAGCCTATTTATGGTGAAATGTTCCTTCAAACTCTTCAATTCTTCAATTGGATTCGCTCGCATCCAACCTACTCCCTACCAATGAACTTCATTCTAAATTATTTTCAGCAATGGATCAAGGGAGCAACTGATTTGATAATTCTGCTGAATTCGCACCACCAGGAGAAGCATCTGATTTGTGTAGGGGTCTTTTTCAATGTTATCAAAACCCTATCTATGGTATCAGAGTCTCATATGATATGCAATAGAGAGAGTTAAGGGGCAGAAATTTTGAGTAGAGGGAGAAGTAGAGATGAACTGTACTTATTCACCCAACCCTTCTTTTCCCAGATACCTTTCTTTCCTTCAGAGTATTTTGAGGCACTGCCAGCAAATGTGTCAAAAATACTCTCTCTATCTACAAATCCCATTCAAAATGAACATATGAAAGTAATAAACCTGAAATTTTTAAGACCTAATGTTACGTCGAAGGCACAACCGATATACCAAAAATGAAATATTCATATGACATGTTGAGCAGAATAAGAAGCTATAAAATTAAAAATTATAGATATATAAACCCGGCAGCTAACTGTAAGTATTTGTAGCAGTTATAAGCTCGGGCATTTCGCATTGACCTCATGATTTGATTGTAACACCGTTTGTCGCGGAATGACGTGAAAGATTATATCAAAATTTTGGATAACCAGCATTGTGCTATTTACGAGTAAAAGGCTTCAAAATGCTTCCTTTAAGAGCAAATGCTTTGAATGTCTCTATGCTTTCCTTCTCTGAACCCTGAAAATGTTTCTATGCTATCCTTCTTAGCAGTTTGAAGTTTTTTGGAACGAGCAAAATGCATTCAAAGGCGTCACAATATATCATCTGGTACCAGTGAGCATTACATTGCATTGCAGTGATCATGACATTGTGAGACAGCGTTCTCTTTTCTGCTTCTTACCAAAGAACACCCAAGGAATGGTGGGTAAGCAAAAGGGTAACAGAAGCACAGCTTGTATCTAACGGACTAGTGTTTCTTTTCTTTCATTGTTGTTTGGAAATGAGTATGAAGTATATTTTTACAAAATCTATTTAGAAATAAATTAAAAGGAAACATTAGGCGTTTTCCAGGAGTTTAGACATGAAAAGAGGTCCGGAAATTGGCAGTTTGGCACACCCCAGTTTCGAAGTAGCAAAAGTTATTTTTGGCTAAGATCGACTAATGGAAACTGAACACAGTCCAAACAAGGAAACATTTTATGGAACTATACCACATGTTGACTGATTTGTTGATGAATAGATGGTTCATAGGTTCAAGTTCCGGATATGGAAATAGCTTGCCGACGTAAAACATTAAAGTAAAACATTATCTTAATTCGAAATGGCTGAAATTGAAAATTCCTAATGTTAGATAAATTTTATATCCTGCTAACGCGCAAGTCACAAGTTGCCTACGTTTAAAGAAACATAAGTGGACGCTGTAAAATCTGCTACACGTCTTTATGGTTTTTGTACGAACGTATGCTTTGAAGTTCCAAATATTATAGAGTTAGGTTTGATTATTGAGTAAAGTCATTGTCCATAAGAATCGTGAAATATTCCAAATAATTCGATGATGCTTCTATTGGTCATCTTCGGGCTAGATTTCTAATAGACAATTTCTTTTTAAATAGCGTGTAAAGATCAAATATGACTCATAAGTTTACTTATTGCCTGTGAAAATGTTTCGTTTGTTCAAAAAGTTAGGCGTGTCTAAGGAGAGGTCTAATGGTGACAATTCATTAAACAGCAAATACAAGAAAAACCCATTCTGCCCACCATTGTTCTTGCCATCATGTGTTTTCTGTCTCTGCACGAATTGCAACACAGAAATTGCAAGCACGTACCCTTCTTTGTAACATTAATCTATTGTTAGCTTTTATGATACCACAGATTATGTGAAAATCGAATCCAAGCAGGTTGATCAGCGTTTCAGCGTTTTACAAGTTCCGCCAAACCATTCGATCAGAAAATTCGATTGAATTTTTCAAAGAACGCCTCTCTATGTTGGCTTGTCCTTAGAACTTAGATATTGTCTTGATATTTTCACATGCAATCCTTTGACACCAAAGGTTGGCAATAGGTAAGACTAAACGAGTAAATATCGAAATCTAGTCTGCAATGGTGTAGCTTGACCTTCCAAACTGAGGGGAGGGGGGTGGAGTGGATGGAGTGGAGGGTCGTTAAGAGTAATATTTACAACCCCTATACTGTGGCGGTTCTAGTAGACTTTTAAGGGTCTGCAGCACAGGCTACGGTTTTAGGGTTTTAGAGACTGCGGGGCACGAAGCCAAAAACATCTGCGGGGCCCTTGTTCTTTACAATTTCTATCTTTCTTCTTAGGTGTGGGGCCCCTTTTGGCAATCATAAGCGCGGGGCCTGGGGCTATGGCCCCCTGGACCCCTTAAAACTGCCTCTGCCCTTGCACTCCCTATACCCACTGCTATCTACGCTCCTTGTGATCTATGCAATACATTTGATTGTGATTTTTTCATCTTTTCATCAATAGCCTAGTACAAGACAACTTGTATATTTAAGCAGCTATTGACGAACTAACTAAAACAAACTAAATGAAGCAATACGAATAAACAGTAACATATGTCTATATAGCAAGTGACAATATAGCAAGTCTGCATTTCCTCTTGACTCTGATGTCGGAAATTATTGCCCTTTCCTCCGTTTATCAGTGTAAGATTTCAGATAACTATCCCTCGTTTCTTGTTCAGACTGGAAGAGTACTGGGAAAGTTTTGAAACTTGAAATGTCTTCGCGATCACATTCAACAATACTGTCGCTTCAGAAAAGGCCGAAACAACCGCCCGTTTTTAGAATCGTTCGATTGGCCACACCCCTCCGATTATCTCCACCCCCGTTTACTCTAAACCTCAAAGTACAAATATACAGACCGCTGTTTGAAAAAGTAAACAATCAAAACTTACAGTTTTGCAAAGAACCTGACGTCAGATTACATTCAGTTCACTGTTTTTAGCAACAGTTGCGCCTTTGAAAATACCAGCGATTTGTTGTTGCGGAAATGAAATCAAGTAAAGAGAACTTTATCAGACATTCCTAATGATTGAGAAACAATTACGGGGGAGGGGGGGGGGCGCAAACGTAGATGTCCGAGGTGACTCTGTATTTATTTGTAAAAATTGTCAGAAAATTGAGCACTACACCTATATTCTTACGACAAATCGTGGTCAAACAGACATGATTAGAGATAGAACTAAGAGAAATTGTTCTACACCAGGGACTGTGGGAGCAAGGGATTGAGGGGGTTAGCCCCCAGTAATTTCCAAAATGTACCTAAAACCATGCAATGAATCGTCTTGTTCCTGGCTTTTAGCACATTCCCTCCCAATCTTTATAGCCATGAAATTGTACTCAGACTCTGCTTTGAACACCGTCTTCCGTCTTTCCCCTCCCATTTCTAGTACTTTCTCTTCAACAAAATCAATTCTTACGCTTGTTATAAAATTTTAAAGGTATGGTAAAATGGAAAAATTTTAAAAACATAGCAAGTTCCTTGCAGATTTACTCTTTATAAAACAAACACAACACAGCCAACGTAATTTACAATTTAACTTCAAGCATGACTATGTTAAACAGAAAACCAAATGCAAATCTGGCATCACAAAATTGCGAAGCAGTTTACAGAAATTTTTCATAACAGACACATAACTCTTTAAGGACAAATCTCTATTATTTTCGCATCTGAATCCTTGAGCAAAAACCTACAATTCGACACTGAAACGTTCCTCGACCAACAAGAAAATCCGCTAACATAGACATTAAAACACGATGGAATCCTTTGATGGGTTTTTGCTAACTTAAGCAGAACAGTTTCAAAACAAAGGCAAAGTCAAAATCTTCCCTAAAAAGCGATTTTAGCGCTCTAAAAAAGACGACCATTACAATATAAATTATGAAACATAATCTTTAGAATAAGTAATAAATCTCAACTTGTATAACAACACTCACCTAAGCGCATAACGTTCTAACATTAGAAAGAAGACATGGCCAGCGTAGGCGAATCAAGAATTGCATGCTCTTTTCATTGCAATTGTAACAGAAAAATGTAAGCGATATAAAGACAATCAGAATGCGACAGTTTATGTTAAGAATAACCATGCATAACAAAACAGACAGCGAGACAATTCAAAAGGCATCCTTTCGAATCAGGGGGTCTCGCTAGTCATAAAGTCTGATTTTAATTTCTTTGTCATATTTTTACTCAAACGCTTTCTAGTCTATGCCAACTCTAATTTAGATATTTATAAACCCTATATCTAAAGTTTTCGATTTGTGTATAAACTGTACAAGTATTTTTTTCTATAAGAAACTAAGGTCCGGTGCTGGTAGGCAGTTTCTTAAATTTTCTGGCCATTTTGCTATCAAAATGTCTCTTAAATTTCTTAGGTAATGAATTTTTTTAAATGTGCTTCCAAGGTAAAGTAAATAGTTCACTCACATTGAGAGATAAACTAACAAAGTGATCAAGAAATTTTGTTTTCCTAGAATGACTAACTCTGTTGAGATCTGTAAACAGTTAAGCTCATTGGACTTCATCAATGTCAAGTCCAAACAAATTTTTAAATGGAAACTACTTGATTGTTCAATTTACTGAGAAATACAGTGATTCTCAATGTCAAGACTGTTTGGAGCGTCAACTCGGAAAATTAAAACTGCAAATTATAAAAGTCTCTTAGCTTTTTCAATTTGGGTAGGGTTGTTTCTTAACTTTCGAAAAATTGAGCCTACCGTTTCTTATAACCTGTTTCTTATTAAAAATGAGTGTATTTAATATTCAATGATCGAGGAGGGTGGTAATGTTCCATATCTTTGAGACAATGAATTTGTGTTGAAATTAGACATGGTACATGGTACCTGAACGTAGCTGCCTAAAATAATTAAATAACAAAAACAATGTTCTTAAGTAATGACGTCACAAATGCATGTTTTCAAGAATTTTTTAATCTGGGTCGAATGAACTGAAAGCGTATCATGAAATACCTCTAAGTACAGTAAGTACCCGCATATAAGAAACTGCTTATTAAACTGAGGCCTTATAGCGTTTCTTATCAACAGAATTTTTTTTCTTTTTATTTATCCACTAAAAGATTACAAAATAGATTTACAAACTATGCTACTTTGCCAAATTACTATACAACTATACACTACTACTTTGACAATACCCCGGGAAGCAGAAGGCTATGACTACCCCGGGGCCATTTGAACACAGAGATTAAAATCAATATAAATTTAACAGAAACTTTTCTTCATCGTGGTTTAAGTTTCTTATCAATAGATACTGTCAAGTTAAATCAAGTCAAGCTATATGACAGTACCGTCCATTGACGTGTATTCAATATTACTGGTAGTAGTGTATGATATATAATCTACAGTATAATTCTTCATGTCAATAGAATACACACTCTGCAACCATCCTAGAGCATAAACAGAAAATATAAAACACAACTGTTTATACTTGAAAAAGAGAAACATTTCAATTTCGGGCCTAAAATTGTTTCTTATAAAAGGAGCCCCTTTTGAAGAAAACGAGGCCTGTTTTTATGAAAGGGGATTTTTATAAGCGGGTACTTACTGTATGCAAAATTAATTAAATGTGTTAAGAATTGGCTGAAATTTGAGGCTCGAATGTTCATAATGTTGTTCTTTATTCAAAATTGATTTTTTGAAAGAAGGAACTAGAAATTGTTTCTAAAGCTAATGGTGTTTCTAAGAAAAACCTTTTTGTGGCAAAGATAATTAGCTGATAGATCTTCTCTGTTTTGCTGACATAAGGGTAATTTTCCGAAGCCACATTGCTTTTCTTTTTCTAATTTTTCATCTGATGCTGTTATGTTGTTACCATGTTGTTATTTTTTGACAAACAGAGCATCGGTGTCTCTTAAAGATAATGTTTTCGAAAAATATTGTGTACTTGTGCAGGGCCCGCGTCATCAATTTGAAACGGGGCTAAGGCAAGTAAAAGAAGGGAGCCAAGTCTTTTTTCCCCTTTGAATGCAGCTTTAAAACTACTTGCTTCACAAAAAAGTGGGAGGGGGCCATGACCACCCCAGCTACCCCGGTGGCGCGGGCCCTGTTGTTAAGCGATGAATCGTCAAAAGCCTTACGTTCGGGTTCGGTAACTAGCTTGGTTGCATTCAGGGTCGGCAAGGACAGGGAAAAGATAAGCAGTTTTCACTTTGCTAGGATACTCAGAGACTGATTATTAAATTAGTTGTTAGCAGCATACACGCTTCAAACCAGAACAAAAACATTTGATAACTCGTGATTCATAACATTTCCTGGAGGAAACATGGCAACATATCAGATTCTTTTAGAGTAGGTTGGCCAAATGGACAACACCAGTCCCTCCTACGACAATTTTGTGGTGGCTTAAGTGAAACTCAAGTGTAAGAGAATTGGACTGGATATAAAGAGAAAACCCTATAGTCATGACATAACATACAGTTAAAACTCCATAGTTTATAACAGAACATAAAATATGGGTAAAATTATTCAGTAATTTTTTGGAGGTGTCTTTCAACGATTCATTTTTTAAATGAAGGCATAAAAAGGGGTTCATACCTTTTCTAAATGCTAACTTTGCAATTAGATCTGAACAATTAAGAAGAAGATGTACCAAAAAATTAAATTAAAAAGAGAATCTCATGGAGCATAATTTCCAAAATGTACGTAAAACCATACAAATAATGTCCATGTTTTGGTTTTAGGCATGTTTAGCCCCCTCCCCCCCCCCGAAAAAAGAAACGTTATAGCCCCCTCACTCTGTAATATGCTCCTAGTTCCTTGGCAGGCAGGGACAACCAGCCCCTTTTTATATGCAGGAAAACACTGAGGCACTAGTGCCAAAGTTGCTAATGCTCTGGGAGGGAGAGGGCACAAGTATCTTATATTCTATCCTTATTTTTAATGGAGAATCCCCTATGTTACGATTGTTCTAAAACGATGGTGCCGCCAGTAAATCTATCCTTTCAACGGTACTGGAGGCATAAGGATGATGTAGCGGAGAAGATATGTCGTAGGCTGTAAAGTTATGCAACAGGAGATGAGACAAGCGTGGATGCAACTTTGCGCAAGAGAGCAAGCTTAGTAAGCTGTCATCCGCCCTTGCAAAAAAGGTGTAGCACGAATAACAAAAGCACCATTATGATTATTCAATTCACGTTAGATTCTTAGCCTTTCATAAGATAAAAGGCGTGTTGTGCCGGCAATTTTGCCAATATTCGCAAATATTGAGACACGATGGTGCCATAGACCGTCATAAACCGTGTAGCCTTTGGTCATCACTCTGCAGAAACACGTGACCATGGACCGTTCAAAAAAGGAGATCCAAGTTACATACGAAAAGCAGGCTGAAATTTCTGTCTGCTGAGTGAAATACTGTGACTTGCCTGGTCCAGTTCTGGTTTACCTTGCTTTCTTCAAAACTAAACGAAAAACGTTAACATTGCCTAAACGTCAAGCCCTCAGTGGTGCAATCACTTAAGATCCCTTCTTGCCAACGATTAGCAGCCTGAACAAAAATATTCTAAAGTGGTTTGTTTTCAAAACATATGCTAATCTCGACAAAATGCTTTCTGTAAGACGAAAATAATTACTGTTTAATTTGAAGAGAGTGTTTAACTACGCAAGAAACTTGTGGTTCGCCAGAAAGTCACATGCGCGAAGGAGGCGGGCAATACGGGGGCAGACTAGCACGTGTTAATAAGAACATTGCTTCTCCTTCTTCAAATCTGCAGCTGACAATGCGTAATTTTTTCAAGCCTGCTGCTTTTATATGCAATCTTCATTGCAACTTGCACTCTGCAAGTAACTGAACATAGGGGACTTCATTAACATACATTTTCTTGCAAAGAAAAATAAGCAAGATCCATTAAAACATAAACGCACGTCTGGAACGCCCCCGCCTGATACCTCTGGTGTCAAATGAGAAAATAAGATTTTTTACAAACAGAATTGAAGAAACTGAGTTTCGTATTGTGATTTTCTTGCCGCCCTGTTTACTGAAGGCATTTACTGAAAGCCAAGGCAGTCCTCCACAACAAAGGCAGGCTTTATCAACAGTGCATTAATGGAGTTTGCTAAATCCAAACAGCTCTTGCGCACACGCAATGACTTTCCGTCGTTTTTCAACCTCTTATGCCTATCTGAAATAGGAAGAACATCATCTGTGACGAGCATACAAATACACTCCTCTTTTTCTAGCCGGTTAAGGCGTAAGAGACAAAGGGGCTGGGAGGGCTGCAGCCCCCTATTCATTCAACACTTGTCATATTTCAGGGTCCACTCTGGCAGTTCTAACTCGATGATGCAACAATATTCGCGCAAGATCCATACTTAGCCTCACCCCTCCCCCAAAACGTTTTGCACCCATGCAGCCGGGAATAATAATTGACAAGATACTTCGAGATCGTTCAATTCACAAACTTAGGGGAGCTGTTCTAAACCAAACACAAAAATACTGCAAAATATAAAAGGCCATGAAAACAAAAGACTTTTGAAACGCTAGAAGTCCTCTTTCGTAAAGTAATGATTTGTGGAATGGATGATTTAAAAGAAGACAGACCGACTTTCACGACCTTGAGTAAAATTAGCAGCAAATTAATCCTTTAAACCGCAAAAATAATAATTAGAAGCGTCTGCGTTTTAGTACCGTCGTGGAGCGTTACATCTCTTTTGAAATCAATACTCTAATGAGGACTTAATTAAACTGAAAATTTCAATCTAAATTGAATCTTAAGAATTTGCTAAAGGGCTAAAGGCATATTTAGTGGGCTTGAAGTAAGCGTTTATATGTTGTTTGTTCCAGGTTGTTTGTCCTTTGTTGGGTATGTGGTGCGAAACTTTTATACTAAAATGTAAGAAACAGACGGTCTACGGTTTATGATAATGACGACGGAGAAGATAACAAAGAGGATGATGATGACGATAATAAATCTCGAAATCGTGGAAGGCCATGAATGCGAGTGAACACAGCTCTGCTGAAAACGAACCGTCTTGTCTACATTGGCCAAAGACAAGAAAAAAGACAGTCGGTCGAGGATTTGTAACGTGTCACTTCGAATTACCCATCGCGGTACTAAGAGTAAATCACTTGTCCGACGCTGATTAATATGCCGAAACAGGTGGTACAAAGTTCCCACGTCATACCTGCAGTTTTTCTGTAGGTAACGAGAAATTTTGGGGCATGAACAGTGAGAATTACAAGGGCAGAGGAACAAAGTTGCTTGAAAAACATTCGACAGAGATTCCGAGAGATTCCATTTCTTGATCAAATAGAATAGATTTGACGGTCAAACTTTGGCATTTGTGGCTTTTTCATGAAACATTCATCACTTATATGTGATTGACCAAACTACTTAATGAGTGACAAGAAAAGGGGGAGAAAGAATTTCAATTTTACACTCGTGAAAGGGTCACAAATTATATTTATAGTTTAAAAGAACCAAAATCATAAAAATTTAACTTTCCAAATTAACCAATTATGTCAATAAGCACAAGCTAAGATATTCCACAACAACCATAAATAGAACGGGAAAAATTTAAAGACACGGGACTAAAGACATTAAGGCAATCCGTCTATTGTCGTTTAATCTATAATACAAATGTACTGACTAGAATAAAAAGTCCTTTAAATTAAAAACATACATAGGCAAGTTGTCAATGCTATTACACAATATCAAACCTCTGGCCTAAAAAATCTATCTCCTCTACAATATTAATCTGCTTTACGTTAAATTTGCAAATATAACCTGGGCCTATCGATAAGGTGGATTGTTCTATTAGATCTGTTCGAGGCGATTATTCGGGCAACCGTTATAGATTACGGACATACCTCTCTCCGTGTTTTGCTGCACTGCAACCAAAGATTGTCTAATTGCTTTGCTGCATCATTTCCCGTTGCATTTTAGCCAGCATTTCTTGCATCTTTCGTAGCTAAAAGGAATCGTTTTGTTGAATTACCTCAAGCACAGTCACAAACCCGCATGCTGTCAAGCTTACGACTGCAAGGTGTCATGTCAAACAAAGAAAATAAAGGAATTTGTGAATAAATTTTCAATGGCCACCCTCAAAATGGTCGTTTTCTCCAAGTCAATTGCAAAGGCTTTGTTTATCCATCGTAGCATTTTCACTTTCCAGGGCTAGTCTTCGCACATAAAACGGGAAATTTAAAGCAGTTGCTCAATTGTTGGGTGCTTGCGATTAGAGAATTAATTCTTATTAGAGCACAGAGGTAAAGCTAGGACCTAGTGCTTTTCTTTCTTTTTTTAAGTTGGTGCAATATCTAGCAACACCAAAGCTAATTAAGACCGATAAATCTAAATAACCTATGTTGAGATGTGTTTCTTGCAGAGGTCACAAGTAAGATTGAACGGCAAAAATTGTGATTTTTTTCTTGAATATTTGCAAAGTTTGGGAGTATTTTATTTTGCTACATCTACGTTCCTGCGACCCTGCTTGCAATACGAACTTTTTAAACAAAAACAGAATTCAGCATACGAAAGTATCGCAGCAAAAACCATAGGCAGCATCATTTCGACTAAAAACCAAGAGGCATAGGAAAATCGGTCAACTGCCATGTTCTCGAAATTGAAATTTCTCAGTTTTGTTTCAGGTGTCTTTGTTAAGTATAACTTAATGTTGAGTTGGTGATAGCGTTTTTATAAAGAAACCAATGTGACAACGATAGGAACTCATGCGCAAGCTTGAGGGTAAAAACGGCTTTCTGATAAAAATTGAAGGAAACAAATTTTGTTGGATCTTATTTTAACAAGGGCAAAGAATTTTGATAAAAATGAAAAAATGCCTTATAATATAGAATATAGAAAGTGCCCTTACGTCGGTACAAACTACGATTATAAAGTGACCAAATTGATTTAGGAATATATTGTGAAAATCTACAAACAATTGACGAAAAATGGGCAAATTATTATATAGTTATCACGATAAATTATGGGACAAAATTGTTTACTGTTAAGCCGTGAACGATGAATCTTATCAGCTTATCAGCTTTTGAATAACAAGAACAGATACAAAACTGGAACAGGTTCAAAAGCAAGTTAGAGGAAAATAAAATTAGCATCAGGTGTTCTGAATACCAAACATCCAAGTGAGGTAGTGGTGGGGGGGGGGGGGATACAATCCTTTTTTTATAAGAAACTGGCTATAAGAAACGAGTACTGGACAGAAAAAATTAAAAAACCCACATCTAAATACAGCATCGATCGGAAGCGAATCTCTTGACGTGATAAAAAAGGTCACGAACATTTCATAACATCATTCATGACATCATCATTAAGAAGCTCTTAAGAAACAATGTGCATTGAAATTTCCAGAACATTAAGAAACTGGAGTACTTAATATCGACCTTTGTTCCTTATTAAAAAAAATGAGTGTAGGGCAACAAGAAAAATATGTAGAAAACAAGTACATAGGAAAAAATATAAGAAAAGAACAAAATTATAGATAAGAACAGAATTTGTAAGAAAAGATATTAATCCTCATACAAGGAAAAATATTTTTTCAAATACTGAACTCTTGCTACAATCAAGCTGCTTGATTTCAAAAGTCATGTTGTTTTCGATCTAGTAGATAAATCAATTATTCTTTTCTCTAGTACTTGTGACCAGAACGGATGTACAAGTGACTCACCCAAAAACATAATTTTTACCTAACATCGAAACCCTAAGAAGAGCACTGACCATTCCTGAAAATGCCACAGTATACCAAAGGGGAGGTCCTTATATGCATTTCAGGATAAAAATAATCCCAAGTTTTCACCTTTCCCATTACAGAAATAAAATAGCATTTGGTACAGCAAAATCTAAAGATAGGATTCCGATTTGTGTAGACAAAAGGGTTCGTTTTCCTTTTTGGACATTCGCACTAGGTCAGAGGTTAGAGACCGTCCATTGGTCGAAAAACAAGGAACCATTCAAAAGCGCCTTCCATCCTCTGGCGTTACTCTCGAACCGCATCTGGATAGAAAACTTTAGCTTACTGTCGATCATTACCTGACGTTTACACTCTGGGAAATGTCGGACGAAAAATACTCTGTTTTTCTCTTTCAATGATCAGGGACGCCGGAGCACATTTTGGATTAGTGGGGGGGGGGGGGGGCGTGCCTGGTAATATCTTCTAATACAGAAATGTAAGACTGGACTCACCTCTGCTTCCTTTTCCATAAGCAACATATCTCGTTCATCATGGATCCCACTCTGTCGCTTTCTCCTGATTAAAAAAAATGTCTAATTTAAACATCAGTCAACAAAAAACTTGAAATAATAGCTTTGATAAAGCCATATCAAAAGAAATTGAATATATCATTGATAACGGAGCAGCGTAAAACTATTCAATAATTTAGCAAAGCTTCTAAAACTGGCTTTTTATAAAAACTTATTTATCGACACTTACAGGTGCCGTTAGGACTTATTTCTATAGCATGTGTTTGTAAGGTAAAGAAAAACGCTGCATTTCCACTCGTCTAAACTGAGTTTGACATAGTAACCGATTTGTATAGTTAGAAAAGCATTTGACCAAAGTAGTATTAAATACCAACTCTATACGAGGTTTTTATTTAAACTATTGTTTAAATTTGACAAAACACCATTTTACGTAAGCAGGTGATATATCTGATCATGAAATGCCAAATACTTATTGGAGAAGGGTAGTTTTTGAACGCTTATTCTAATAATGTGATTCATGAAATCTTTCAAGGAGTTCTGACTGGGCAAAACATTACATGAGCATATCTCATGAAAAACAAACAATGCTCGTCCAAAGAGCGATCGGGCGAAACAATTAATTTAATTTTCATAGTTAGGCAGTTACCCCTTCAGTCAGAATGATAAAGCTGCCACAGAAAGCTGAAAGATGCCTCGTAATGCTGAAAGATGCCTTGACGCGTTGGAAAGAAATGACATTTTAGAATCAATGTCTACCTAAAACTTGTCCTATTCACATGATCAAAAGGTCTGATTCATGTGGCCAACCCCCCCAAAGGAATCATTCAGTATTGGTAGAAGGATTGCAAAACACTTCTGACCTTTACAAGCTTGTATAAAAAACATCATTTCAAATCAAGATAAACGTTTCAGCTGTCAAAAAAAGTTTGTGGAACAGAGACTGACGAAATCTATCGTTGTATATGCTACTTTAATCAAACCCTTTGATATACACAAAATCTATGTGGGATGCCGCACCCTGACTGCTTTTGCTTTGGCACGGGCTAAGATAATCTACTTAAAAAGAACCATACCTATCGTCCACTTTGATCATTTTTGCGGGGTTGAAATTGCCGCCAGCTAGTTTTTGAGCGCGGAAATTTTCATAGTGTATGTCATTTGTTACATCCTTCAAATCCTGCATATGTGTCCTGCAAAAGAATTTCTGTTCAGTTATTGAAATCAAGATAATAATTACTATGATAATAATAGGACAGATTACTTGACAAGTTTTTGGTACCGCAAAACTTGAAGATTGCACGAAATACCGGAAGCATAACATACTAAAGAAATTTTTGTACGACACTCTTTAGAGTACAAACATAGGTAAGAAACAATATATTTGAATCTGCAGAACTTTTAATGTGGAATGGTAAGGTTGCCGTGACTTGATCTTGGCAATTTGATAATATGGACAGCTAATGTTGTGATGGATGTATGTATCAGATCAACAAAGTAGAAGACGGAAGCCTCGATTATCGATGTAAGAGAATCGCTTTTAATTTTACAATATATCAAGAAGTATGTTAGATAATCTTGGCTTCTTCGCATTGAATATCTCAATTTAATACGACAGATAAAATACCCTTCCAAACAGCATCGGTGATTTTTTAACAGAAGTTTTTGTATTTTCGTTAAGGATTTCTTACCTAATCAGCATATTTCGCAACATCATGAAATCACAGTGGTTTGGGTTCTCAACTGAAAAATAATGAAAACGTCAGCCTTTGTCAACTGCCAAAGCTCTACGTCCTTCGAATAAAAACAGGTGTACAAGTGTAGATAGCAACATAGCTTTCTTGCATTTCCATCAGGCATAGTTAATAGACTGCCAACGCAAAGACTTGTAAAACAATGCTCCAGTGCGTCCCTTGGGCCAAGTTACGTGCTGTTGTGAACGACAGTAAAGTAGAGAGAAGGATGTTTAGGCCTTAAAATAGTTGAGGCTTCGAGTAGAGTCTTCAAAGAAGCTGAAAAAAGATACGTCGTGGAAACAGAACATTTGAATTTATGGACGTTCAAGTTAAATTGGAATCGCAAGTTGATCAAATGGGCATTTTAGAAATATCCCAGGAACGATTTCGACAGCTAAGGGTTTTGATTCCGAAATATTGAATAATCAAATGAGCCTCCTAGCATTGACAAATTCCAAAACAACACAGAATAGAGAAAAAAATGCAAGGTACCTAAGTAAAGTTTTCATGAAAAACCTCTTAGTTGAAAGAGGACCAAAAATTTATAACCAGGTGTGGATCAAAGTAACATGAGAGAAAAGCGGTGCAGAACCGATCTAACAACAATTACTATGTAACTAACATTTATCAAGAAATCAGTCGAAGAAATTCTTACGTATCAGCGGATAAAAGAAGAAACCAAAATCTTACCATCAACAACACCCCATGGGTACGACCTTCCTCTGACCTTTCTCCCATTCACTTCGATTACACTATTGCTCCCAATAACAGCAAAGGGAACTCCTTCTTTCAGTTCTTTATTTATTTCAATAAATTCTTCGTCATCCTCTTCTTCATCAGAGTCGGGAAACTGATATATTTGGATTCCATGTCTTTGTACTTCTTGTAAAACCTGAAGTGATTATCTAACGTCAACTGCAACTCTTGTCACTGAGCAAGTTCCAGAATCACTAACCATAGAGACTCGTGCAAATAAATTAACAGGTTGAAAACTTTTTCTACAATCATTTCAACTTCTATTACTTTTTTAATTCGATCAAAGTAATTTCTGCATCTACATCTGCTACAAAAGTAGCATCTTTACTTTGTTGCATTTTGCTGATAAATGCTAATAACATCTCAACAGGGTGAAAATCCTTGGCATAAAAGTTAAAGCTATCATCGCCTCCAAGAAGTTTCATTCTTTCCGTTAAAACTTGTGAATTCATTTTTTGGTTCCTCGTGAACATTTCAAAACACATTCATATGAACATACCCTTTCTTTTAGTGTCTTCATTTCTTTCTTCGTAAGTGTGTCTGCCTTGGCGATAACAGGAACAATATTTACTTTATCATGTAAAGACTTCATAACAATAACATCTAGAGGTTTCAACCTGCAAAGAGACAACAAATATTTTATCTTTAGCCAAGATGTAAGAAGACTCAGAGACAAAAAGATTGTTTACGCTAGAATTCATGAGAAACTTCACAATTTAGATCCTCTACTTTCAAAATCGACAATTCCACAATTCAGATCCAATTCAGAAAATTTCGATGAACAGATGATCAATCAAATAGTGATTTTTGATATGGGCCAATCAGATCTAATACCATTCTCTTAATTACAGTTATTGAATGCATGGTCAAACGTAATAGAAAAAGTTTACAAATATTAACAAAAGCATTATTAATTGTGAGTAAAGTGGAATAAGATTGCAATGAAAAGAAAAAGAGAACTAGATTGAAATCAAGTATTTGAATAAAAGCTCCTGGTATTTAAATGGTTTTTTCCCTAAGCATGCCTTTTTACCTCCTGGTCGTTATATTTCATCAAAACAATACATTTCTAACAACACGTGGATATTTGTGCAGCTTCTATAGAGGTTGTCCATCTCTGAGAAGAATGTCCTCATCCCTCATGAAAAGACTGCGGTTGAGTACAAATATAACTTGTTTCAAATGAAGCTTACAAACTAACTGCTATTCATTATCTATAAAATTTATGAAAAATTTATGAAATTAATTACACATTTCGTTTATATGGGTTTATTCTTTTAAGGTCCCCGAGTATCACATATACCGAAAACAACTAACGATATATCAATGGCTGTAGCCTTAGTTTTATTGTTAAACAGTACATAAATAAGGTTTACATAGCTGTGGTCAGAGGAAACAGTGTATAATACTTCAGAGTTAATAAGGCTAAACTGGTATCAGTCTAAAGTGGTGTCACAACTTATGCTCAGGTATGGATAGAAAATTAACTGGTTGCTATTCAAAGAAGTAAACTGTGAGGAGTTTCAGAAGAAATAAAGTACTTTGCCACAAGTACTTTAGCACATGAGTTGTTTAGGCCTTTTTCAACAAAATATATTCAGGCATTGAAAATTCTTGTACACAGGGCTTCTGAGTTTAGTAAAAAGTAGATACGATTTTAACCAGATGCCTTTATTGCTGAAAGGGTGTCCTCAGTGCATGAGACGAGCTGAATATCATATAACTGCTCATTCGTACTTCACTGAGCAGATATCTCGATCAAATAAATTATCTTTGAAAATCACTTACCCATGTCCAATGGGGCTGATAAAATACAGGCAGCAATGAACCCTGTTATCCACGATATTTCTTCGATTTAGGCCCGACTCATCAGTCAGATACGAATCGTACTGTCTGTTAACGTAATTCACAATGGCTTCCCAGCTGAAACAGAATTATATTTATGAATTCAGGTGTTTCGAAAAGAACGATTAAAGATTCATAAACAAAAATTGTAGAGTTTTAGTTTCGTTGTTCTTACTTTGTTCAAAGGTTAGCATTGCTGCTAAATGACAAATCGCAACGTTCCTAAACAGAACAGTCAAAATCACAGCTGGTGGCAGTTATGATGTCCGAGCTGGACTTTCATGCCAAAAACAGAGTACGAAAAACAATTTTAGAACTTATAAGTGGTTAAGAGTATGAAAAAGTATTCATGTATCTCAACGATCCAGCACCATTATAACTGAGTTCTTTTTTCGCTAGGAACTTAATCGTGTAACTTTCGCACTACAACAAGATATGCAAATGTTAAGGGTTGATGTGTTGTATGACTCTCGCATGGTCACCAAGATATGCAAATGTTAAGGGTTGTTGTGTTGTATGATTCTCACATGGTTACCAACATGCGTTAGATGCTTGGCACAGCAGCAGTGTCCAGGTCTATCAGCTTACCTTTTCTCACTGTTGACTGCATCACCAAAGCCGGGGGTATCAACCACAGTTAACCTAAGTCGAACGCCCTTTTCCTCGATATCAACACTCGACTGTTTGATCTCAACTGTCTTTTTTATTCTCTCTGCAAACGACAAAGGAAAGAGATCTTATGTTTGGCAGTCAGAAGAGCAGATAAAATAACAGGCGTCTTAATCCTGCATATTTTAAGAGAGATTACGCTAATGAAAAAGAGAGATTGTACAGCCAAAAAGACAGTGGTGACTTTTGGTTGAAGAATAAGCAGCTCTATTTCAAAGAAGCTTTTTTCGTAAACCCCCCTTGCTGTACATGAACAATCTTCTTTGCTCTTAAGGAGCTAAAATACCCCAAACTGAAATGCAAAAGAAAATGAAGTGAAATTAAACAAAGCCTGTGTAGATATCCTGTCAAGTGGACTTTTGGCGAAACATTTTTTATATCAAGGTAGGTGTCGCAAAACTTTGGTTAAGAAAAAGAAAAGAAAGGAACGAAACTTTCTTCACAGTGCTAATAGAATGCATCTGTATTATGTGTTTTAAAAGAGGAGAAAACATTTGATGACTTGCAAAACTAATGAAGGAAAGCATCGATAAATCAGTATTACGTCACATACCTGCAGAACTAGGAATCACTCTATCTTTGTATAGGTTTGTCAAAAACAAACTATCAACTAGGGTTGATTTGCCTAGGCCAGATTCACCTGAAAACGAGATTAGCAGTTAAGAAGGCTCGCAACATAGAAAACGATAATAAAAAGTTAACAAAGAATAGGGCACTAAGGTTCCGTTCACAGGTCACAATATCGGTTGTTGCGATTCAAAACCAGTGTCCTAATACCAGGATGGACAGGCCTTTTGTTTTCAAGCTGGGTTTCTGTTTTGAGCTGTTTACAGCATTGCGCTGAGACCATTTAGTGACAATTCCTATTCATGTTAGCTCGGACAGTTTGAACAGAACGGTTTTACTTTAGTTTAACCAAATTCGAAATAGCTTTATAAAAACGACTGCCTTACATAGGACAATGAAAACTAGAAAGTAATGACGGTAAAGACTGTATTTTGCTGTGGGAAAGTCGAAATTTGAAACCCTTGGTGCAATTATCAGGCTGCAAAATGAGAAATTTTAAGCTCAGGCTGAGTTTAACAGGGGTTGAGATTTGTATGTCGCTAATTTCGATAGGCACTTACAAGGCAGATGTTAGCACTGGTCGAGATCAGGTGGCGCTGGAAGCAGAATTTTGTGTTCTTATTTATGTTTTGCTTTTAGTTTTTTAAAGGCTTTTTAAAGGTTTCTAAAATCAGGTACTAAATACCAGGTACCTATGGCTCGGATCCTTATAGACGATTTTGTGTAGAACGGGATGCGTGTATAGGAGCACAATAAAATTGTTCATACACTACAAACAATTTCCATCAATCAACCGCTTACATATCAACACGTCCGAACTGATAGGTACTGCCGTTTGTATGGGATTGGGTCGAAATCTCAGCCCCGGCTGAGATGCCGCGTTGAGTTCAGTCCTTGTTGTGACTTTATCATGAAAACGATACCCGAGATCCAATGTCGAAGAAAAAGTAAAGAAAGTCGATGCACGGGTGAACACAGGTAAAAGTTGTAATAAAGGTCAGCAAATATTGACATGAAATATGTTAAAGGTTTTACAAAAGAAGGTAAATAAGAGTGAGTTTAAAATGATAGAAAAACTTAAAAGTGGGCGGGTCTATTCAAGAAGAAGACCTTTTAATACTAAAACAACAATTCCATACCATGATGACTGTGTGAACCAAAAAGTCCTTATTTAGGTAGTCATTGATGACGATGTGCAGATAGTGAAATAGCTAGACACTCTGAAAATGGATATAGGGCCCTGCAAATCTTTTTCAAGCTACACGTGGTAACAGAAAACATATATGACACCCGTAAATGCTGCCTGCTATAGCTTTGATGACTTAGATGAAGATAACTAATGAGTACTTGATGACGTATGAGAAATAATATAAATCCTTTCGCTAATAACCAACCCCCGAGTTTTTAAACAGCATTTGCAGTTCGGGCAGCAAGAGGCATGCAACGCAATTCCCACTGCTTTTCAACCAATGATAATATTCATCGAAAAATATGTGAACAATAAAATTGATTGAAATATCATATCACGTGACAGGCTTTTTCACTGTGTACTTGGCCCTCTGCCCTCGCATAAAAACGATAAAGTAAAGTGAATTTTGCTCTGATGAAGCGCCGTATGTTGGGGCGAAATATTAGCCATAACTGATTTACGTGTGTTTGTTGTTGTCAATTCTCGTCGCGTTGCAGTATTATTTATTTACAACAAAGTGAATTTTCTCGGGTCTCGGCGATTGGAAACGGTCCTGCATTTACTGGTTTTCAAGCTCTCCTTTTCAAATATAGATACAAACTAAGAAAGACTCGAGAACTTACCAACTACCATTAACGTGAACTCAAAGCCTTTCTTGACTGACTTCCTGTGAACTTGATTTGGTAAATTTGCGAAACCAACATAATTTGACGGTTCCTGAAAAAGGAGCAAAGCACTTTGTCACAGAATGCATAATAAAAACTATACTGTTATGGCGTTTTAATATTCTAGACTTATTTAATAAAATTTACCAGGACTTGGGGTTAACCATGGGCTTTTGCTACACTTTCGTGAAAATAAATTCAGATTACCATATCCAGCAAACTTAGATTAGGAATCAACATATGCAATGCAGAGCCTCAAACCCCTTCCAAATCAATTCACCCCTCGTCAAACGAAAAGCAGAGTCTGAACCATTTTGCTCATATTTACAATTCTAAAACACATGAAAAAGAGACCCTTTAAAATCGGGAATAATATCGGAAATCAAGTATTCCAGTTTCTGCCAAAGATGCCAGATGAATGCAGGGGTGCAGATTTTTTTACAGTAAGACAAGGATAATTCTATTTTGGTACTTTATTTAACAATTTACATAAATTAGATTGCATCTCTCACAAAGTTAAAGCACTCTGTTGCTTTCAGGCATACAATTGATCAATCAAAGTTGTGGTAGCACGAAAGCGCCTTTAGGTTGTGCCTGTGGCAATGACGAAAACCAACGATAGCATCTGTCAGGAAAAGGCTTATGAGATGAGTTACTGAATGATTTGCAGAATAAGCTACTAATTAGTCTTGCAAATATATCACGTTTCGGTGATTTTCGAAAGAACATAGCAAATAAGAATATTTATAGTTGTATCCGGGACTGTATGTAGTTGAGATGATAACCAATCTTAGAAGTGCAGATTACGGCAGCTATGTCAAGCTAATGACAAAAGAAGGCACGACAGTGCTATGGTTAACCACAATGATATGAAACTATACTCAGTTATTCTTCTAGATGTCAAAGTAGTAAATAATTGCATAATTTTTTTCCGCAACAAAAAAAAATAAGGTCTCGGTGCAGTTGGGGCGTGGTAATCAGTTTGCATTTTCGGTACTAAAAGTTGTTGGCCGTTGAGCCATCAAAGCAGAAATTTTAAAAGACCTTTTCTTCTATAATCATAGAAAAAAGGTTTGTCATGGGCCTGGTGACAGCCGCTTAATCCCATTCTCCTTTGTCATTGCTAGAAAACTCACGCTTTTTTAGTGACAAAAGCTGAATGCAGGAGAAAGCAGCTTTATGGGGAACAGCGGGCCCAGTGTCCCCCTGAAAAGGAAACAATATCACTCGGAAGTCCCTTTTGATGTGCTCACTAAAAACACTAAATAGGACAATTATGGTAAGCCGTACATCACATTTCCTAAATCTATAAAGCAACTACCGAAAGTAGAAGACATGAAGAATAGCAGTGAAGTTGCCGACAAGCATCGAAAGAGGATGCAACGGAAATCTCCTCACAATACAGAGTTGCAATTGAGGCTTGATCAGATGACACTACAGGCAAACAAAAAAGAGGCCTCGCCAATGCCAGTGTCATAGCCAGCAAAGCTGCTATTGCCAGAGACAGCTGTCAGGGGAGCAGCTTTATAAACTCATATGGGTATCAGTTTCTGAAGAGTCATTGCTGGTTGATGCACCTTGGCGATGGATGGTCTCAAGGAAACGCCATCGATATAATCAAGTGGTTAATGGCTTAATTGGAGTTACGAGAGACACCAGACATTCAAGCGTAATGTTTACGATAATGTAGCTAGCAACTATCCACCTTTGATGTTTAAGAGACCGATCCAAATAAACAACATAAATATTGGTGATAAAATACAGCCATTTTGCTGGCTTCCTCTGAAATGGTTACAGACCTCGCAAAAAATACATACCATATTGATAAAACTTGACTCTAGCTTCCTGTATCCACCTTTAAACGACTTGCAGCTTCAAAATTACATACGAGGTGGTTTTATGAGAACCTGCATATTTACAGACTTTAAAAGGCAAAAGCGCAGTGGCCCTGGTTTTGTGGCTTGTTGTGACGACGTATTGGGGCAATGTATTGTTTCCGATTCTATAACAAAACTTATCAAGATCAAATAACGTCTATGGCCTTCTTTGTTTTGCTTTGATTAATGAGCTCTTTTGGAAAATCCAGACAGGCTGGCAGAGACAGAATAAAGCAAAAAATGTGATGCTAAAACTAAGTTTTTTCCAGACCTCAGCAAGGGAAAAATAGATAGCAAAGTATTAATTCCCTAAGAAAATGTAACGCTTTGACAAACTTTGAAGAATGTCAAGAATCCTACAGATAGAAAGATTAAAGCCAAGATAATGGAAAATTATCTCCAAAAATTCTGGTGGGCAGCAGAAGTAAATCACGTGATAAAAGCAGATTTGGATGGCAAAATTTAGACATGGTCCCCTGTGACCAACAAACAAACAAGCCACGGCAACGAAGCAATGTTGAAAAATTACTGAATTCATAGCGATTCAGCAAAATTGCGAGTAACTGATGACAGTGGCGTCGCCAGCTCAAAAAACTGAGGTGGACGAAAACAAATTTTCTCGGCCACGCCCTACTAACTCTCGGCAAGGTCTTTTTGGTATTTTTTTATCTATTTCGTAATTTAGTATAGTAATTAATCTTCTTTCTGCCTTTGGGCAAGCACCTTTCTCAAGCAGCTTTTTGCGTAATGGTGCGAAAATAAAAATCGATCTGATCGGCCCACCTAACAACAACCCCCCCCCCCCCCAAATGTTTTTCAACGGATATCGAGAAATTAGACCATCGACTTCTGGAAAAACTGGGATGGACATGTCCACCCCGAGGTGACGTCATTGACTGATGATACTCCGTTCTTTCAGAGGAATAATAAGTCTTTTTTTGGTGCGACACAAATGTGAGCATATGTGAGGGATTCTTTAAACTAGGCTTGTGTAGGACATAAAGCTCTCCTTCGTGGCTTGAACATAGGCATAATATAAGGCTACAATCGAAACAGAGTTTGGAAAAACTGAGCTGAAACGAGCTGTGCAAATTTGAGATCGGTACGTGATGTATTCAGAATTAACATTGGTGGCTAGTGTGGTCTTCGTCCTACCAGTCCTCTAAAGGATCAATAATTATTCTTGAAAATACGCTTCTTTTCGTCTGGATATTTGAGTTTTCGCATTAAAAAGTGACTAACGTAAACAAAGGACAAGTATAAAAATAAAAAATTACCCAAGTCCAATAATCTTATATCTAGCAGAAGGTGAAGACTCAAGCATTCCGATAATTAAAGCAATAGGGCTGTTTACACACTAACTTTTTATATGACTTCATCAATATCCAAATGTTAGTGGGTACTAGAACCTCTCTAAAGGAGGGTTCTAAAGATCCCGATTGGTTTGATCAAAATCTGACTACCATCTAACCACTACTACTTCTGCTACTTATTTGACTCTACTTCAGAAATGAAAAAAGTCATCTTATTTACATGGGCTCCGACAAAGGTTGAAAAGTGGGGGGGGGGCCAAGGGAAAATTTAACACCCATAACAAAATATTTTGCATAAAACTCTACTGTTTCGCAAAAAGTGGGGGGCCAAGGCCCCCTGCCCCCCTTTGTCAAAGGCCCTGATTTATCATCAACCAAAAAAACAGGTTTGGAGAATTGGCATAGGTTGAGAACCGTCTTCGAAGAAATCTTAAAAAGGGACCCCCTTCTCTCTTTTGACAAGCTAGACAGCTATTTTGGAAAAAAATAATCCCACCGAACACATGGGATTATGGTTATCCAATAACGCAGATGAAAGCCTTTATTTCGACAACAGTGTTATCAAAAAGATGTCAATATTCGGGTTTTAGAGCATAAGCCAATCTAGGTTTGTCAAATTACAAAAGAACCCAAATCACGCTTGAAAAGTTTCGCAGCAAGCTGTCCGCCGAAATACCTTCATTTAAGAACTTGGGTTGTTGTTCACAATACAAATCTATCGCCAAAAACCCTTTCCAACGATACTCTTATCAATACCATACTGCAGCTAGAATTTGTCTTTAATTCTGGACTAGGTCAGTACTCATCTCTTCCTGTAACTGTTCACAGACCATTTAATACCGAGACACATTTGCAAACTTCTACAGGCAAAAAAGGGGTGTTTACACTTCTTTTCGCAAAAATTTCAACAATAAGAAGCAAATATAAAAGAGTTAACACAATTATCCTCACCTTTCCCTTGACGTCGTTAGCTTCCCTTGGATCTAAAATTGAAAAAAGCAAAATTTACATAATTACATAATAACTCTTTGGTTGGTCATGTTTTTCTTCAAAGCATAATCTCCGAAGAAGCATCAAATCCACGAATTTTCGAAATTCCTAATATATCCTTCAATTGAGAACAGTTCCTTGTGACTTTCCTTGAAACAGCTGCTCAAGAAAGGTTCAAGAGAAAATCAATCACTCTTACCCATCATGGAAAAATAGAAAATGTTTTTCCCGTGCGGTTCGAAACGCTGCTCCCTTTTCGTACACGATTACACGAAAATATCATCTAACCGAACTATCATCCATTCAAAATTCCTACTTTCCATTCGAGAATACTTCTCAAAGATTACTTCCGACTAATCCGTAAGTCCTAATAAACAAGGCAAGGGGGATTTTCAATGGTAGAGGGCAAACATTCGGCATTATTGGAACAAATCCGTTCAGAAAGGACAGGAATTATAAGCAATAACATAGCACTATTGAAATTAAGATATCTTAAAGATTTTTTGGTATGGTTATTCAAAAGACTTTTATCTGCCTTTAAACAACAGCTAGTTATATATCCCTGAGAGAAAAGGAATTTCTCAGAGTCAACAAACGTGAAACCTCAGTTGTTCTGGGACAAGGCTTTGAAAGACAGGATGTTAAATAAGGATGTTAACTAAAGATGTTAAATAAGGCTTAAATCCCTGTGGCATGTTCCAAACGAATTTTGTCATAATATGTAGAGGAAACATACATTGATAAATCTATTAAGCATGATAAATACCAAACACTAAAACCCTATTTTCACTAGGACCTCCATCTAACTGTGGCAATAAATTTCAGAATCTTGCCAATAAGATACAAATTATTTGAAGACATTGTACGGCTTTCTATTACCACAATTTTTCAAATGATCAATATTGGAGAAAATCCAGTCGGTACCTAGGGTTAAGCAATCAAAGATTGCAAGAGGCCACGGGATGCTTCCATCTTAAGAACAGCCCTAACAAACTAAACTGTAGATTGAGCAACAATCAATTAGCCTGTGTTCCAGACCATTTACTTTCAAGTTATGGGATTGGAGCACACACTACAATCAACATGCTTGCTATGTCCAGTGTTGGTTATGTTTGGTCATCTCACTAACGTTTATCAGTGATTTTAAGCACAGACCGGTCTATGTTAAGCGATGGTTGTAGGAGAACAAAAATATCTATCATTCAGCTTTTCTATTATTTTTAATGCTTTACCAGCATGGCTTGGCAAAATGTTGTGTTTGTTTGGCCACTTGATACTAAGTTGTGCTAAATATTATTAAAGCAGAGAGGTAGGCTAGTGCTGAAAATGCTGGAGATGTTGCGTTTCACAGTCACCTTAATGACAGGAGACCAACAATAAAAATGCAAAAGTGACATGAAAGTTTATCTCAAGAATCTTTGGAGAATCTGAACTTGAAAGCTAATCCAAACAGGTTGGTTCTGGGTTGTTCAAAAGATTTTGAAAAATATCTTGTTTCTAAAAAGGTGACAAAAAATAAGGGACAAACATTTTGTGCCAATAACCTAAAGTTGCTAGCCGTCTTGGATGACAGTGACATAGAAACAGCACATTTGGAAACATACTAAATATCAAAAGTGGAAGAACAACTTGAGATAAAGTGTTGATAGTTGATAGTGAATATAATTTCAATTAGTATTGGCTTGCAAGCATGCTAGCAGCTGGGATCTCAAACCACTCTATCCCTTGATGCAGGCAAGCAATTTGTCAAAGTGCATAAAGTAGAACAAATTGTGTCACCAACTTTCTTCAGAAACAGATCCACAATCTGTTTACTCCCTTTCTTGTCTTTTCTTTTCTCTATGATCAATAATTAAGATCAGCTGAATTGAGAAAACTATTTCTCAGATGTTCCGTAGAACACAAGACCAATAGCTCAGACTGAAAAAGAAGTTAATCCTAGAAATCAGAAAGGGAAATTGTGTGCCTCTAAGTGAGTGAAGTAGAGCAAAAAATTCTGGCTGCACAACCACCTGTTATTCATCAACTTTTGTTTTTGTACTTTCAGAACATTGAATTCAAAATCGTGACTTCAGATGAAGGTAGTATAACCGTTTCTTGTTTTCACAACCTGCACAGCTATCAAGTAGATAATTAAGAGTTAAAGACAAAACAAGGATATATTATTAATATTTTTCAAAATCAATTTGGACTAGGAGCATTCACTGTCTTTGCTTTGAGATGCTGTTGCAGAGGCTATGAGAGGGAAGACCTGTGCTCATACCGAATGATAATAACATGTTTTGATGACTTGTTTACTGTCTACATCAGGGGTGGGCAACCTTTTTGGAGACTGGGCTGAGATCCTTCAAACCTTTCTTTAAGCGGGCCAAAGGTAATAAGAAAAACTAATAACATTGTTGTGATAAAATGATAATAATAATAATGAAAACTTTCATTTAAATTCAAATACACTACAATTACAGAACATCTCATTTACATAGACAGTTTGCAATGATAGATAAGACTGTTACAATCATAAGTGCAGAAAAAACTGAAAAAAATATGAAAATTAAAAAATGTTTCAAACAGAATTTGGAGAAAACATCCTAGAAAGGAAATGCAGATTTATCTTGGAAAGTTCTTGAGAATTTAAAGTAAATTTCAGGAAATTAGTACTAAAATTTTTATTTGTGTCTAGAATAAATGTAATGTCTAGCTTTACTGAGTGGATAGCATCCAACGAAACCCAGGGGCAATATAATAATACCCTTTAACGAAAATCATAAACAAGGCATGACCTTTTTCTGCCCAAGCCAAGATTTTTCTATAATTCTACCCTGGTTTCTTTATATGATATAGCCAGCCAGATACCTTATCATACAGGTCTTTATTTGGACATTAGTTGTACATTTATTTGGACATCAATGAGTATCTCTTACACTACAGAAGAAAAGTTCTGATCTATACTGCCTTGGTACACATGGTTTTTGCACCTATATTGCACTGGCTCTAACCATTTGTATTGCACATGTCAAATCTATCTAAAAGGTGGGCCAAATGTGATTTCTTAGTTGCACATGGATAGCTTAAGCCCTTTCAGTTTGTGTAGTCTTGAAAAAGTGTTTTTGAGGATGGCTCAGTGGGTCACTGACAATAGATCTACGGGCCTGTGGTTGGAACCCATAACAGGACCTAACTTTGATCTAGAGTGAGAGAAGTCATCAGCTCTCTGTAAATCCAGGTGTAGGAATCACGAGGTGTGGTCCCATTGAGATGAACGACCAGGAAACTGCTTGATAAGCATAGTTTCTCAGTATTCCAAAACTACCTTCTGTTGCTAGGTAACAAGACAATAAAATATAATACAAACAGTTACCAACTGGAATCATAACTAGAAGCAAATGGGAGAAACTTTCAATCCCAAAGGAGATAATTGTAACTTTAGGTGTATACATATATTTTGTCAATTTATAATAGACCACAATTTTTTATATCTATAGTATCAATTCCAATTCAGGGAATAAGTAGAACAGTGAAGCTAATGGCAATGATCTGCATCTAATGCTCATCTTTGGAAATCTTCATTCCACCTCTGCATTACTAATAAGCACAATTTGAAATAACCTCTAAAAGCTGTCTTAGATTCATGCAACTTCACCAAAAGACACTTGTTCTCTGTTTCCAAAGACATGTTTCAACCATCTTATTTAATGATCATCATCTGTTCACAAAAGCATGGATAACGTGTTCGGAACTCTAGGCAATAGTACCAACCGTTTGGAATAGCTCAGCCCTTTTAAGAGAACCTAGGCTTAGAAATTAAAGGTCAGTTAAAGGTCAAAGCACACTCTACCTGTCTCTACGTTAAAAATAGCAATATGTTTATGTATAATGAAGATCTCTAATAGCAAATAAAAACTCAAATGTTTTAACATTCTGTTCAAACTTCAACACCTCAACAAAGACCACGCCTATTACACGACAATATACAACAAAGCAACTGAGTAATCAACAAATCAAACCTTTCTCTTTTTCGGCGACTACTGTTGACGGCTTGCTTGAAATGTCCCCGGAATTAGAGTTATTATGCCTTCCAATTTGAAGTTCGGATCGAAAACTCGACACATACCTTCTCCCTGACATTTTCATTCACTGTGAGAAGCACCTGCCTTACTATCACCACAACTTACAGACTTTTTCCTAAGCTAGGCCAAGCTTTCTAACAAGAGCGCGTTGTTAAGCGCATTGTTCTGCACTTAAAAACATAATTATTTATTCACTCACCAGATGCCTCTGACATTCTGCTACCTCTTAAACAGCCACAATGAAATCAGGTCACAGAACATATGCCGCGGTTTCCGTTCTCAAAAATTTTCAAGTAATTTTAATTCTACACGAAATTTATGTATCCCTGCCACCATAACAAGGACGCCAAGAATTGTTTGTGAATTTCTGTCATTGTTGTTGCTGCTGTTTCATTAGAAACCACGTGACTGTAAAGTAATCCATATTATTCGGGGGCTCTTTCGGAGTGAGCATACCCCAGACCCTTTATTTTTTATCTTTTAGCGGATGACAGGAAATATATAGTATTGGTCTGAGGTCTGGGTTTTCTAAAGATCTTGTTTTCCAGTGAAAAGAAATGATGAACATTAACTCGAAAATCGCATTAGCTTTATATTCTCACCAGACAACCTGGGCCTTGGATCATCTCCGTGTTTTGCTTAACAGTATCAAAATTAACCCAATCAAATACGTTAAGGCCCAGAAATCCAGAGATGAGACTGTAGAGCCCCTCAACAAATAAGGTAAATAATTTTCACTGACCTTCTACTTTGCGAACAGGGCTACTTGGTTTGTTTTCAACGGTGGCTACTGCAGCTACCTGGGTTTGCACAAGGGTTGGCACAAGGGTTGGCACCTTCCGATCATCTCGCCGCCTGATTGTTATTTTGCTGACTACACTGTTTTCCTCCTTTGAAAATGTTCTCTTTAACTTCTCAACATTGCTAATACTCATTTTGGTCCCAAAGAAAGCTGGAAGTAAGATATCAACGATGGAACTTCCTCATGCTGGGTATGACCATATCTGTGGTATGACGTTTCTTGTCCGTTTTTGCAGGCAACAAGACTGTCAAGGATTGAAGCTATCAACACCTCTGTTTGAGAATGTTTCTTAGCTCACATTTACCTATTGGATTAGAATAGCGGAGGAAAACCAAACAAATAAGATTTAATACTCAGCAAACAACACAACGGTCTTTCTGACATTTTGATACCATTCGCCTTTGTTCTTCGTTACGATTTAGGGAGACATAAAGCCCATTGCAAAGCTTTTAGCATTCCTTGCATGTTCTTCTTGCACGCAAAGTGAATGATACGTTCTTTGCAGGGGGACACTGTCAATAGAGATATTTTTCATTAAAATTTCAAAGCGAAAAAGTAATGAATACCGATTTCTGATATGAAATGAATTTCTGAAAGAGGCTTGCTCAAAGTACCCTGGGTACCACAGCCTCGTATATACGCGTATATACGTATAGAGCGTTCACGCGAACGTAAATATGTACAGTGCCAAAGGGAAAGTTTTAATCCTTAAAACAGTTTAACCAAAATATTGCTCTAGAAAAATTTCGTCCTGACAAAATTTCGGACAAATATTTTGACGAAAATTTCTTCAGAAAAATTCAAAATGAGACGAAATTTTGTCACGATGAAATTTTTTGCATTTAAGATTTTTGAGAATTCGCATAGAAAAACTATTACATGAGGTGAACAATCCAATTTTTGTACCTTTGTATCCGGTTCTTGAATTAACCTCGTTTTCACCATCGTTCGATAAAAATAGTTCTAACTCAGTGGCGTAACGAGGGGCGGACGCCACCCATATCTTGGGTCCAAAAGGGTGAGGACCCCAATGTTTACTGCTCAACTCGCCTTTGCCCAGCCCTTTCTCCCAAATTTTTTTCCGAATCTTAAACTTATATTCACACTAATACTTTTAATTATAGTCTGTTTATAAACTTTCATGCCTTATAGAAATAGGGTAGATAGTGAGTCTCTAAAATAATCTCTATTTTATTTTATTTATAGTGAGTCTGGTACCCATGGTAAGACTCTCTGGATGCTAAAAGTATCTCTTTTGACTCCACTTTTGCATAAACTAAGGACATATACCACTTTAAATTGGCATTCCTGACCTGAGGTTCTGTGTGAAGAATCTGTCTTGGGGGTTAAGCCGAAGTCCGAATGGGTGCTCAATCAAGCCCCTATGTCTCCACGAAGTCGGTACCTATAGGATTGAATATACAGCAACCTGTATGGGTATGTTTCTATTTCTGTGTTAAAAATCCACGACGAAATTTTATCACGACGAAATTCTGCAAAGTTGTCCGAAATTGTTTTCGACGAAGTTTATCCGCCGAAATTTATCTGAAGATATTGTTTATTGTTGATGTAAGAAGTGGACACACTGCAATTCAAACAGTTGTGTGACTAGGGCCGTTGAAAGCAGGAGGGCTGGGGGTCTGGAGCCCATAAACCCATTATTTACCGACCAATGACACAATATACCGATGAGAGCGTATTTTAACCGACTATTTAGCAATACGCCGAAAGCCTGTCTTAAACGATAATTTTAATAATAAAGAATTTCAAAATTTTTTTTATTGGTGTTAAATTTCTCCTTGGTCCCTCTACTTCCCAACCTGTGTCGGAGCCTATTTCGAGGAATGACAAAGTGCGAACAAAAGATAAATTAAAAAATGTACATGCGGAAAAAGATAGAACAACACAAGGTTCAGAACATAGGCAATATCAGAAACATGTAGCATGTGCTTCCCGGAACTGATTGTTATTGTATGTAATTTAATAATGTCATCGTCTCTATCTGAATCTTTGTACTCTGTTGTTTGTACAGTATGTCTGTTGTTCTGTCTTGATGTGTTGATTAACAAAATGTGATGTTGTATAGAATGATTAGATCTAGATTGTAAAGATCAGTTGTTGGATTGAATATGAACATATGAACATATGAACTTGTATTTGTCTTCCTCGCTACAAACAATTTTTGCAAACTGAAAGATTTGATTGCGACTAGTTCATAGTTTATATGGCTGCGTAATCATTAGTGAAGCCAAACTCGATGATTCCTTTTCAACTGTACAGTTTTTGATCCCTGGATATAAAATTCCATATCGTGCTGATAGTAATAGATATGAAACCCTTAAAAATAGAAGAATTGACCATTATTATGAAGAAGAAGGAATTGAAAATATATCTTTTGAATTAAATCCTAAGAAAAGAAAAGTGGGCCATCGTTGGTTCATAAAATCCACCTAATGCTAATAACGAAAATTTTAAAAATGCAATAATTAGAATAGTTGATAAAATAAGCTCTTAATTCATCTTAATTTAAGCCCAACTAATTCACGCCTCAAAGCTAATTCATACCTCATAGCCAGTGGCGGACTGGCTCAGAATTTTTAACCGGCCAC